CCTGGAGCTGGAGGTGCCGGTTCTGGGGGTGCTACTGCTGGTGGCGCTGGAGATGGAGGTTCTGGAGCTGCTGCGGGTGCTGGCGCTGGAGGTTCTGGAGCTGTTGGAAGTGCTGGCACTGGTGGCGCTGGAGCTGGAGGTTCTAGAGCAGCTGCGGGTGCTGGCGCTGGAGGTTCTGGAGCTGTTGGAGGTGCTGGCGCTGAGGGTTCTAAGTCTGCTGTTGCACGGTCTCCTTGGAGTAGCCGCCTTCGTCCGTGTGTGCCTCTCACCTCACAGCAGCTGCACGACTGGTACGGTTGCCGTCAGGGTCGCGCTTCTGGAGCTCGGGGCTCTGCCGCTGGAGGTACTTCTGCTGACGTCACTGGAAATGGGAGTGGTGCTGGTCCCGGAGGTGCTCGTACTGGAGGTACTGGAGCCGCTGGGGCTGGAGGTGCTGAGCCTGAGGGTGCTACTGCTGGAGACCCTGGGTCTGGGGGTGCTGCTGCTGGAGACACTGAGGCTGGAGACCCTGGGACTGGAGGTGCCGGTTCTGGGGGTGCTGCTGGTGGAGCTGGTCCTGGAGGAGCTGGCGCTGAGGGTTCTAGAGCTGCTGGAGGTGCTGGAGCTGCTGGGGGTGCTGGAGCTGCTGGTGCTGGTGGCACTGCACAACGGCGCCTGTTCTTTGCTCCACCGTCTCCGTCGTCTCAGCCACCGCCTGACTCTGTGCTTCGCCAGGTTCTTAGTCTCCCTTCGTCTACTGGTCTTCCGTTACAGCCTGGCTCACCGCTACCTTCTCCTTCTCCTTACACTGAGCAGACAGGGGGTCTTACTGAGCGTCGTGAGCCTGCGTCGCGTCCTGTCTCGCCTGTCCGTTCTGGTCGTTCCGGTCGTAGTGTTCCTCGTCAGCGTCAGCCGGCTGTCCCCGGCACCCACCTCGTAGTCCGTCGTCCTTTCTCTCCTCCACAGCGTGTTCCTCTGCCGTCTCCTCCTGCGTCTTCTCTGCCTACCGTTCCAGAGCCTGCGTCTGACCGCGCCCGTGCTGCTCACCCTACTGTCACGCGTCTGCTAGTCACAGTTGTCACTGACCCGTCGTTTGAGTCTGCTGCTGCGTCTACCTTAGTCGCTGAGCTTGTTGACTTTGCTGCTGCCTGTCGTCTAGACTACGTCTGCGACTAGTCTTGTTGCTGAGTCTGGGTCTGTCTGTCCTCCGTCCGTCGGGGGTGAGTGTGCTCTTGGCACGGACGTCCTTGAGGACAGGCAGGAGGACCTTGAGTGTCTTGCAGCCGCTGCGCCTCATCTCGTGTCCATGCTGCTTGCCCCTGAGGGAGACCCGGATGCTCCAGACATCCCGACCCTGCGCTCTTACGCTGAGGCGATCGCTGGTGAGTACTCCTCTCAGTGGCAGACAGCCATGGACGCAGAGATGGCATCCTGGAAGTCCACAGGCACCTACGTCGACGAGGTTCCCTCGCCTGGGGCGAACATCGTCAGTGGCATGTGGATTTTCAGGGTGAAGCGGCCGCCAGGTTCTCCGCCTGTCTTCAAGGCTCGTTACGTTGCTCGAGGTTTCAGTCAGCGAGAGGGAGTTGACTTCTTCCAGAATTTCTCCCCCACCCCGAAGATGACCACTCTTCGGGTGCTGCTGCACGTTGCCGCTCAGCGTGACTACGAGCTTCACTCTCTTGACTTCAGCACAGCTTTCTTACAGGGCAGCCTGCACGAGGAGATCTGGCTGCACCGCCCTCCTGGCTTCACTGGGTCGTTCCCTCCTGGTACCCAGTGGAGCCTCCGGCGGCCGGTCTACGGTCTTCGCCAGGCGCCACGTGAGTGGCACGACACAGTGAGGACGACTCTTGCTGCTCTTGGGTTTGCTCTGTCGACTGCTGACCCGTCGCTGTTTCTGTGCACCGACACTTCGCTGCCGCCGTTCTACATCCTCGTGTACGTCGACGACTTGGTCTTTGCCACTGCTGACACAGAGGCTCTCGCCCTGGTGAAGTCCGAGCTACAGAAGAGACACACGTGCACAGACCTGGGTGAGCTGCGCAGTTACCTTGGCTTGCAGATCACCCGGGACAGAGCACGCCGCACCATTACCTTGAATCAGTCACACATGGTGCAGCAGATCCTTCAGCGCTTCGGCTTCACCTGGTCCTCGGCACAGGCCACTCCTCTGGCTACAGGTCACGCGCTCTCAGCTCCACCTTCGGACGAGTCCGTAGAGCCGAGTGGTCCTTACCCAGAGCTAGTGGGCTGCCTCATGTACCTGATGACCTGCACTCGTCCTGACCCTGCGTACCCTCTTGGCCTTCTGGCTCGCTACGTGGCTCCTGGTAGGCACCGAAAGGTGCACATGGATGCCGCTAAGAGGGTACTGCGCTACTTGTGCAGTACATCGGGCATGTGGCTCGTGCTTGGAGGACGGGGCGACGTTGTCCTCACTAGGCACTCGGACGCTTCTTGGGTTGACGACCTGGCTACGCAGCGGTCGTCACAGGGTTACACCTTCAGCCTTGGCTCTGGCTCTGTTTCTTGGCGGTGTACACGCTCGTCCTCTGTTCTCGGCTCCAGTTGTGAGGCTGAGATCTACGCCACAGCCATGGCTGCACAGGAGTTACGCTGGCTCACCTACCTGCTGACCGACCTGGGAGAGCGGCCTCGTTCTCCTCCAGTTCTGTACGTAGACAACAAGGCCGCCATTGCCTTGTGTCAGGAGCACAGACTGGAGCACAGAACGAAGCACATCGCTCTGCGTTACTTCCTTGCTCGAGAGTTGCAGCAGCGTACTTTGTTAAGCCTTGTGCCCACGTTTCCTCACTTGCTGTAGACTTTGCTTGTACTGTGATCTATATATATACCTGCATGCTTGCTCTGCTAGGTAGAGATCACTGTGCTGTTGTTGTTGCATATATATCTCTGCATGTGAACTGGCCTTGTGGCCCTTTGCTTGTGCAGAGTGTGTGTGGTGACGTTGTGATCCACCCTGAGGTTGCTTTGCTTCTTTTGACTGTTCTTGTGACCACTTGCTCTCCCCCACTTTGCCTATGGGGGTGTGTCAAAGTATATGCATGTTATATATGTGTAGGCTGTAGTGGGGTAGCCAACATGGGGTACAGTAAGTTTAGGGTTTCATACTTGTACCCAACTCTTTCATAGTTCATCCATTCCTGCTGCTAGATTCTAACACAGGACGCCAGTAGGTAGTGCCAGCACTAGGGCCGGTCATGATCTGGTACTGGCAGGGGCCGACGTCACGGCCACCGCGACGAGCCCCCAAGCTGGCTGGGCCGCTGCTGCAGCCAACGCTACTCGAACCACCAGCCCCCCACGGCTGCTGAGGGCGCCACAACTGCTGAGGGCGGAGCTGCTGCTGAGGGCGCCACTGCAGCTGCAGGTGCCACTGCTGCTGTGGGCGCCACTGCTGAAACTGCCGTTGCTGCTGTCCCTACTGCTTGAGAACCCTAGTGGACGCCATGATAAATGCCAGGAGCGTCAGGAGCTAGGGACGGCTGCAGTGAAACAACGAGAACAACTAGGAGCGCCAGGTGAAACTAGGCGAGGAACGGCTGGAACACGGAGCAAACTGAGCTAGGAGCGAGGAGCGAAAACGATTGGAGCTAGGCACGGCTGGAGCTAGGAGTGGCTGGAGCTAGAACGGCTGGAGCTAGAGACAGTAAGTGCGGCTGTCGGCAGCCGCTAGTAGAGCCAATGGCAGTGGAAAGTACGTGCGACAGTTAGGGCTGCAGTACTGACGGCTGCGGTATATAGGGAACTGTGCAGGTCGTCCGGCAAGCAGGAATGCGGGCGACAGTTGCAGTAGTCTAGGGGCAGGGCGACGCGGGGGCTAGGGGCAGGGCGCACGGGCGCGCACGGGCTAGGGGCAGTGCGCACGGACGACGTGACGGGCTGGGGCAGGGCGCATGGGCGACGTGACGGGCTGGGGCAGGGCGCACGGGCTACGCGACGGGCTAGGGCAGGGCGCACGGGCTACGCGACGGGTTAGGGCAGGGCGCACGGGCGACGCGACGGGATGGGGCAGGGGCCACGGGCGACGCGATGGGCTGGGGCGGAGGCGCGATACGGAGGGCGCGTAGGGAAGGGCTAGGCGCGGAGGCGCGGATGGCGCGTTACGGAGGGCGCGGAGGGCACGTTACGGAGGGCGCGGAGGTCGCAGAGGGCACGTTGCGGAGGGCGCGTTACGGGAGGCTAGGGCGCGGAGGGCGCTAGGGCGCAGAGGGCGCTAGGGCACGCGACGGAGGGCGCGTAAGGCGCGGAGACGCTCTAGAGCGCGGAGGGCACGAGGGCGCGGAGGGCGCTAGGGCGCGTGACGGGGGGCGCGTAAGGCACGGAGGCACTCTAGGGCGCGAGGTAGGCTAGGCTAGGCAAGGATGCTAAACCTACAAGTGTTGTACTCCCTAGTGCTACTCACTGTAGCCTAAGCACATATAACAACATTTGACACTTTTACAGGTTGAAAATTTTGTCAACCTTACAGCTTCCAAGATAGTACACATGCGGTTACGGTATGATTGGTGGTGGTTGTGCAATGTGCAAGAAGCCTGCCCAACCCTTGAAAAAACGTCTTATCTCAGAGATCTTACACTTTGGAAATGATGGCAGTTTCGGGGGTGGTGGTGCAAGAAGCTTGTTCAACAGTTGAAAAACTGTTGCGAGACTGTAAAAAATGGGCCTTTATCCATCTGTATGTTTACCAGAAGATTATTATAATACTGTAGATGGTGGTGCAAGAAGCCGGGTCAACGCTGGCGGGGATGGCCCAAACACGTCTTCAGGCAGATAAAAGGGTAGGTTCAGCCTCTGATAGGAGAGAAGGTAGAGAACGCGGTAGAGGGCGCCACATCAGAGGGCGCCACATCAGAGGGCGCCACATCAGAGGGCGCCACGTTATGGGACTTGGGTGGGGGTACCGTGCAAAAACGAAGTTAGCGGGTGATGCATCAACCCCAATCACGAAGTGATTTAAAGGGGGAGAAAAGAAACAAGTTGAACAGTTTTTTCACCTGAGCAAACACCTGGTCGGAATCACTGTGGTCCTGAGGGCGACCAGCTGCATCCCCCACGAAGAATGAGCTGCGTGGGACGGGAGGCAGAGGAGGAAGGAAGGTGGCAGGGAGAGGCGGCAAACAGGGGAGACAAAGTGGAGTATTTTGAGTCAACTAGAATCACTGTGGTCCTGAGGGCGACCAGCTGCATCCCCCACGAAGAATGAGCTGGGGGGAGGAGACAGGCGAGGGAGGCAGAGAGGAGGTGAGTAGGGAAGGCACACAGGGGAGTAAAAAAGGAGTGTTTTTGAGTGGACTCAAATCACAGTGGTCTTGAAGGCTGCAGCAGCATCTCTCATGAAGAAGGAGCTGAAGGGAGGAAACAGCAGAGGGAGGCAGGTGGTGAGGAGGCAGGGGAGGCAGAGGGGAGTGTTGTGAGTGGACTCAAATCACAGTGGTCCTGAGGGAGACCAGATGCATCTCCCACGAAGAATGAGCTGCGGGGGACAAGAGGCAGAGGAGGGGGGCAGAGGAGGGGGGCAGAGGAGGGAAGCAGAGGAGGGAGGCAGAGGAGGGAGGCAGAAGAGGGAGGCAGAGGAGGGAAGCAGGAGGTGACGAGGCAGGGAGGGAGGCAGACATGGGAGGAGGCAGAGAGGAGTGTTGTGAGTGGACTGCAATCACTGTAATTTGGAGGGCTGCAGCAGCACCTCCCGCGAAGAATGAGCTGAGGGTAGGAGACAGTAGAGGGAGGCACGCGGTGAGGAGGCATCAATCGGAGGCAGGCGGGGGAGGCAAGGAGGCGAGGAGTCGAGAATGCCACACACACTCACCTCTCCCCATCCACTCGTCTCCTTTCATTCCCACACACGCACAGCACTAAAACTGTCTCCTTTCATTCCCACACACGCACAGCACTAAAACTGTCTCCTTTCATTCCCACACACGCACAGCACTAAAACTGTCTCCTTTCATTCCCACACACGCGCAGCACTAAAATTGTCTCCTTTCATTCCCACACACGCACAGCACTAAAACTGTCTCCTTTCATTCCCACACACGCACAGCACTAAAACTGTCTCCTTTCATCCCCACACACGCACAGCACTAAAACTGTCTCCTTTCATTCCCACACACGCACAGCACTAAAACTGTCTCCTTTCATTCCCACACACGCACAGCACTAAAACTGTCTCCTTTCATTCCCACACACGCACAGCACTAAAACTGTCTCCTTTCATTCCCACACACTCACAGCACTAAAACTGTCTCCTTTCATTCCCACACACGCACAGCAGGTGACTGACCTGCCTTCTGGTTTGCAGAGAGGTGACAGAAGCCCCTCTAGTGACAGCAGCGCCATCACATGCCACAACAAACTCACTCACCTCTCCCATTCCAAGTGCTCTCTCTTCATTCCCACACGCGCACAGCAGGTGACTAAACAAACCCCCTTGTGGCAGGACCACCACCACATGCCACAACAAACTCGCTTGCCTCTCCCCATCCACTGGCCTCTTTTCATTCCCGCATGCGCACAGGAGATGCCAGAGCCCCTTTTCTTGTTTGAACAACGACGAGTGAGCCCTCTGTAGCGGCAGAAACACCACCACATGCCAAAACCCACTCGCTCACCTCTCCCAATCCACGCGGTGTCAGGGCTATCGATAAGCTTGGAACCTTTGCTCGCACCAGTAAATTTTATAAGTTACGTGCACACCTCCATGAAACATGAACATTCCCCATATAAAATCCGCGTGAACTGAGACGATTTTTGAGGCGCCTAAAAAATCCTCTCCCATTGCATGTGTTTCCTAATTCATTCCCACACACACAGCAGATGCAAGAGCTCCCATTATGGTTTCCAGAGCAGTGACAGACCCCCCCCCTTCCCCCCTTTGTGGCACCAGCACCATCACATGCCACAACACCCTCACTCCCACCCTCACCTCTCCCATTCCACTTGTCTCTCTTCATTCCCACACTCGCACAGCAGATGCCACAGCCCCCCTTCTGGTTTCCGGAACAGGTCCCCTGAGTTGCTGCGACCACAGGAGATGAAGATCTGGCGGGGAGGACGGGATAGTGAAAAGGTAGAGGAGAAGGGGAGAGGGCAAGAGAGGAAGAGAGGGAGTGGGATGCTGATACGGTCTCCGGAACAGGTCCCCTGAGTTGCTGCGACCACAGGAGATGAAGATCTGGCGGGGAGGATGGGATAGTGAAAAGGTAGAGGAGAAGGGGAGAGGGCAAGAGAGGAAGAGAGGGAGTGGGTTGCTGATACGGTCTCCGGAACAGGTCCCCTGAGTTGCTGCGACCACAGGAGATGAAGATCTGGCGGGGAGGACGGGATAGTGAAAAAGTAGAGGAGAAGGGGAGAGGGCAAGAGAGGGTAGCCCATATGGGGTACAACCAAATTTAGGGCTAGCACTTGTACCCATCCTGCTACTAGTTCATCCATTCTCGCTTAGTATTCTGACATGGTATCAGAGCTAGTCCTGTCCCACGACCGTTTTTTTAGGGCCCACCGTACAGTTCACTGTCCGTGGCGCGTTACCCTGCCAGTAGCGCCCTACCCTGTCCATCGCGCTGCCCCATCAGTCGCGCTCCTCTGCCCGCGCGTCGCCCTGCTGGCTGCTGCTCTGCCTTGCCCTGCCCTGCGTTGCGCTGCCTAGCACGCGCTCTGCCCTGCCCTGCGTTGCGCCGCCCCGCGCACGCCCTGCCCTGCGTCGCGCTGCCCGCGCACGCCGTGCCCTGCCCCGCATCGCGCCGCCCTGCGCACGCCCTGCCCTGCGTCGCGCTGCCCGCGCACGCCCTGCCCTGCCCCGCATCGCGCCACCCTGCGCACGCCCTGCCCGTCGCGTCGTGCGCCCCTGCTGCTCGTCGCGCCGCGGTCGCGTCGCGCGCCCCTGCTGCCCAACGTGCTGTGCGCCCCTGCTGCCCGTAGCGTCGCGCCGCCCGTGCGCCCCTGCTGCTCGTTGCGTCGCCCGTGCGGGCTGCCCCAGCCCGTCGCGTTGCCCGTCCGCCCTGCCTCTGCCCGTCGCGTCTCCCGTGCGGGCTGCCCCAGCCCGCCGCGTCGCCCGTCCGCCCTGCCCCTGCCCGTCGCGTCACCCGTGCGGGCTACCCCAGCCCGCCGCGTCGCCCGTCCGCCCTGCCCCAGCCCGCGCGTCGCCCCTGCCTGTCCGCGCGCCGCCCTTGCCTGCCCGCACGCCACCCCTGCCTGCCCGCGCGCCGCCCCTGCCTGCCCGCACGCCGCCCCTGCAGCCCGCGCGCCGCCCTGCTGCCCGCGCTTCGCCCTGCCCCTGCCCGTCGCGTCTGACCTGGCAGCCTGCGCGCCGCCCTCTGCAGCCCGCGCGCTGCTCTTGCCTGCCCGCGCGCCCTCCCCTACTCGCGCGCTGCCCTACTTGCAGCGCGCCGCCTGCTCTGGCTGCGCGCCGCCCTTCCTTAACCGTGCGCCGCCCCGACCTACCCTAGTGCCTGCTCGCCGCCTTGCCTTCCCTGCGTGCTGCCGTGCTGGTCGCACACCTCCTTAATCTGCCCGCTATGACGTCTTTTCGTGGTAGCGGTGGGAGTGGTGGCGGCGGTGGTGACAGTAGTGGGAGTGGTGGCGGCGGTGGTGACAGTAGTGGAAGTGGTGGCGGCGGCCGTCGTGGCAGTCTCGGTGGAGCTGTTCGGTGGGGAGTTTCTGGCGGTGGCCAGCTGCAACTCCAGCGGCATCCGCGCGAGACCCTCACGCCCCAGCAGCTTCGTGAGTGGTACTCTAATTGGAGTGGTGGTGGCGGCCGTAGTGGCAGTCGCCTGGAGCTGTTCAGAGGGGAGTTTCTGACGGTGGCCAGATGAAGCTGCAGCGGCGTCCGCGCGAGACCCTTATGCCCCAGCAGCTTCGTGAGTGGTTCGCTCAGCGTGGAGCGTCTCGGAGTAGTGCTCCCTGCCCGTACGCCATTCGTACAGGTGATCGGGCTGGTCAGACTTGCGGGACAATTGGTCACACATAGTCCCGCTGCTTCTCCTGTCTGACAGCGCCTGCCGTGCAGAGTTTGGCGATGTGGCTGAGCTTCCCCGCTGGCTAGAGCTGCTTAGGCGGGATGTGGATATCTTTGCTCTTGACTATGATACTATCCTTGCTGTCATGTATGCATTGATTGTTAGTGCTGAGGGTGACTGTTACCTGTGTGTGTCACTCGACCCAGATATAGAGGCTGCTGCTCTACGTGCTAGTGAGTCTGCTCTCTGGTACTGCGCCTGCTGAGGTCTTGCACACCCTAGCGCTTGACTCAGGTGCTTCCCGCTGTTTCTTTCACGACAGTACCACAGCCACACCACTCCCTGCACCTATTGCTGTCCGACTGGCTGACCCCTCAGGGGGCCCAGTTCTTGCCCGTTCCTCCACTGTTCTGCCGTGTCCGGCGGTTCCATCTGGCTCACTCTCAGGTCTTCACCTCCCCTCGTTCTTTACGAACTTGGTGACTACCGCTGCCCTCCAGGATGCGATGGTCACCACCACCACTCCTAGGGGTCAGCGTGTGTCGATCGGCACGTGTACACGGACGGGCCGTCACCTGGCCATGTTCACCCGTCGGCCTCGGTCGAGTCTGTACACACTGACTACTGAACCTCCTCAGGTAGTTGCGTCTGGTCAGCTGTCTGCGTCAGGTCCGGTAGAAGCCCCCTGCTCGTGTCGCCTCCTGTCGCACCAGACTCTTCTTTGGCACCACCGCCTTGGTCACCCCTCCCTGCCACGCCTCCGTGGCATGCACTCCCGCCTCCTTGTCTCTGATCTCCCCAGGTCTCTGCCTCCCCTCCTACCCTCGCCTGCCCCTCCCTGCCTTCCCTGTGTCAAGGGGCGGCAGCGCGCCGCTCCTCATTCCTCCTCATTTCCCCCGACGACTGCTCCCCTGCAGACTCTCCACATGGACGTGTGGGGCCCAGCCCACGTCCGTAGAGGCCGCGAGAGATACTTTCTCTAGGTTGTTGACGACTACTCGAGTTACACCACGGTTTTCCCGTTGCGCAGCATGGGGGAGGTCCTTAATGTTTTGATCCCTTGAATTCGCGCTGTCCGTTTCCAGCTCCGCGAGCGGTTCGACACGGACCTTCCCGTCCTGCGTCTGCACTCTGATAGAGATGGTGAGTTTGCCTCCAACCTCTTGCGGGACTTTTGTCGTGAGGAGGGCATTCGCTAGTCGTTCACGCTTCCGGGATCACCGCAATAGAATGGGGTTGCTGAGCGCCGCATAGGCTTAGTCATGGAGGTCGCTCGTACCTCCATGATCCATGCGGCTGCCCCCCATTTTCTGTGGCCGTTTGCGGTCCGGTACGCTGCGCATCTGCTCAACCTCTGGCCCCGTGTCTCCTTGCCGGAGACCTCGCCGACACTGCGTTGGACCGGAGAGGTTGGCGATGCGTCGGTGTTCCGGGTCTGGGGATCTCGTGCCTTTGTCCGTGATACCTCCGCAGACAAGCTCTCCTCCCGCGCCATTCCCTGTGTCTTCCTTGGTTTTCTCTCTGACGTGCCTGGCTGGCAGTTTTACCACCCCTCCTCGCGCCGTGTCCTGCCCTCTCAGGATGTCATGTTTGACGAGTCGGTTCCCTTTCTACCGTTTCTTCCCCTGCCGCACTGCCCCTTCCCCCCCCCCCCCCGCCGCTTTTCCTCGCACCAGGTCCTCCTCCGGTAGACCCCCTCCCCCCTCAGGGTCCTGCTCTCTCAGGTGTGTCCCAGGTAGACCCTCTCGAGCCTGTCGAGGTAGCTTTCGACTCTGGTGCTGCTGGGGGTGGTGGTGCTAGGGGTGCTGCGTCTGGGGGTGCTGAGCCTGGGGGTGCGGAGCCTGGGGGTGCTGAGCCTGAGCGTGCGGAGCCTGGGGGTGCTGAGCCTGGGGGTGCTGAGCCTGAGCGTGCTGAGCCTGTTGGTACTTTGTCTGCTGGTCGTCGTACGAGTGCCTTGTCACGGCGGGAGCCTCTCTCTCCACCGCAGCTGCGCGAGTGGTTTGCTCGGCGCTGGAGCCTTTGGAGTGGCGCTACTGGAGCCAATGGTACTGCAGGCGCTGGAGCTGGAGACCTTGGAGCTGGAAGAGCTGGAGCTGGAGGTACCGGAGGTACTGGAGCTGCTGGTCCTGGCGGTGCTGGAGGTACTGGAGCTGCTGGTCTTGGCGGTGCTGGAGGTCCTACGGGTGTCCCGTCACGGCGGGAGCCTCTCTCTCCACCGCAGTTGCGCGAGTGGTTAGCTCGGCGCTGGAGCCTTCGAAGTGGCGCTGCTGGAGCCGGGGGGCCTGCCGCTGGAGGCCCCGGCATTGGAGGAACTGGAGCTGCTGATCTTGGAGGTGCTGGAAGTGCTGGAGCCGCTGGAGCTACTGGAGCAGCAGGTGCTGCAGGCGTTGAAGCTGGAGGCGCTGTCGCTGGAGGTAGCGGAGGTGCTGGAGCTGCTGGTCCTCGAGGTGTTGCAGGTGCTGGAGCCGCTGGTCCCGGAGGTGCTCGTACTGGAGGTGCTGGAGCTGCTGGAGCTGGAGGTGCTGCAGGAGTTGGAACTGGAGGTGTTGGAGCTGGAGCTGCTGGAGGTACTGGAGTCGCTGGTCCCGGAGGTGCTCGTACTGGAGGTCCTGGAGCTGGTGGTGCTGCAGGCGTTGGAGCTGGAGACCCTGGAGCTGGAGACCCCGGAGCTGGAGGCGCTGGCCCTTGGGGTGCTAGTGCTGTCCATGCTGGTTCTGACGGCGCTGCGCGACCGCGACCATACTTCGTTCCACTGCTTCAGCAGGTTCTTGGTCTCCCGTCTTCTACTGGCCTTACTCCTCCCTTACTGTGTCCACCGCCTAACCAGTCGCAGCCGTACTTACAGCCAACCTCCCCCTTGCCTGTTCCTTCTCTTTACACTGAGCAGACCGGAGGGCTTACAGAGCGTCGTGAGTCTGCGTCTCGTCCTGCCTCGCCTGTTCGCGCTGTTCGCACTGGTCGTCGTGTTCCGCGTCAGCGTCCTCCTCCTGTCCCCGGCACGCACCAACTAGCACTTTGTCCTTTCTCTGTTCCACACCGTGTCCCTCTGCCGTCTCCTCCTGCGTCCTCTTTTCCTGACCTCCCTGACCCGCCGTCAGACCTTGCTCGTGCTGCCAGTCCTACTGTCACACGTCTTCTAGCCACTGTTGCCAGTGACCCTTCGTTTGAGTCCACTAATGCGTCTGCCCTAGTTGCTGAGCTTGTTGACTTTGCTGCCGCCTCTCGTCTCGACTACGCCGCTAGTCTTGTTGCTGAGTCTGAGTATGTCTGTCCTCCGTTCCGTCGGGAGTCAGTGTGTTCTTGGCACGAACGTCCTTGAAGACAGGCAGGAGGACTTTGAGTGTTTTGCTGCTACTGTGCCTCATCTCGTGTCCATGGTGATTGCTCCTGAGGGAGACCCGGATGCACCAGACATCCCAACCCCGCGCTCTTACGCAGAGGCGATTACGAGTCCCTACTCCTCTCAGTGGCAGACAGCCATGAACGCAGAGATGACATCCTGGAATTTCACAAGCACTTACGTCGACGCAGTTTCCCCTCCTGGGGCGAACATAGTCGATGGCATGTGGATTTTCAGGGTGAAACGGCCACCGGGTTCTCCGCCTGTTTTCAAGGCTCGTTACGTTTCACGAGGCTTCAGTCAGCGACAGGGAGTTAACTTCTTCCAGACCTTCTCCCTTACCTCGAAGATGACTACTCTTCGGGTACTGGTCCACCTCGTCACTCAGGGTGACTACGAGCTTCACTCTCTTGACTTCAGCACAGCTTTCTTACAGGGGAGCGTGCACGAGGAGATCTAGCTGCGCCGCCCACCTGGCTTCAGTGGGTCGTTTCCTGCAGGTACCCAATGGAGCCTCCGGCGGCCAGTCTACGGTCTCCGCCAGGCGCCTCGCGAGTGGCACGACACACTGAGGACGACTCTTGCGGCTCTTTGGGTTTTCTCCTTCGACTGCTGACCCATCGCTATTTCTACGCACCGACACTTCGCTGCTGCCGTTCTACATCCTCGTGTATGTCGACGACTTGGTCTTTGCCACTGCTGACACTGAGGAACTGGCCCTAGTAAAGTCGGAGCTGCAGAAGAGACACACTTGCGCAGACCTGGGTGAGCTGCGCAGCTATCTTGGCTTGCAGATCACCCGGGACAGAGCACGGCGCACTATTACCTTGACTCAGTCATAGCAGGTCCTTCAGCGTTTCGGCTTCACTTGGTCCTTGCCACAGTCCACTCCTCTGCCTACCGGTTACTCACTCTCAGCTCCACCTTCGGACGAGTCTGTAGAGCCGAGTGGCCTGTATCTAGAGCTTGTAGGCTGCCTCATGTACCTGATGACTTGCACTCGACCTGACCTTGCCTACCCTTTTAGCATCCTGGCACGCTACGTTGCGCCCGGGAGACACCGACCAGAGCACTGGAAGGCCGCTAAGAGAGTGTTACGCTACTTGTGCAGTACGTCGGGCATGAGGCTTGTGCTTGGAGGACATGGTCAAGTTGTCCTCACTGGACACGCTGACGCTTTTTGGGTTGACGACTTGGCTATGCAGCGGTCGTCACAGGTTACACTTTCAGCCTTGGTTCCGGCTCCGTTTCGTGGCGGTCTTCCCGCTCGTCTTCTGTTCTCAGTTCCAGTCGTGAGGCTGAGATCTACGCAAGGGCCATGGCTGCACAGGAGTTACGCTGGCTCACCTACCTGGGAGAGCCGCCTCGTTCTCCTCCAGTTTTGTACGTCGACAACAAGGCCATGATTGCCTTGTGTCAGGAGCACCGACTGGAGTATAGGACGAAGCACATCTCTCTGCGTTACTTCTTTGCTCGAGAGTTGCAGCAGCGTGATCAGCTTCGTCTTGTTTACGTGGCTTGCTGGGCCAACACTGCTGATAATTTCACCAAGGCACTTTAACCTTGTGATCATCAGCGTTTCTGTAGTTTTAGGCGTCTACTTGGCCTCACTTGTTCACTTCTTGACTTTGTTTGTACTGTGATCTATATAATTATACTTGCATGCTTACACTTGCTAGGTTTTGATCACTGTACTCTTTGTTCTCCATTATATAACTCTGCATATGAACTGGCCTTGTAGCCATTTGCTTGTGCTCAGAGTGTATGGTGATTTCGTGATCCATTCTGAGGTTGTTTTGCTTTTCTTGATTGGTCTTGTGATCCCTTGTTCTCCTCCATTTTGCCTATGGGGGTGTGTCAAACTTATGTGTCCCATATGGGGTACAACCAAATTTAGGGTTAGCACTTGTACCCATCCTGCTGCTAGTTCATCCATTCTCGCTTAGTATTCTGACAAGGAAGAGAGGGAGTGGGTTGTTGATACGGTCTCCGAAATAGGTCCCCTGAGTTGCTGCGACCACAGGAGACGAAGATCTGGCGAAGCGGAGGAGAAGGGGGGAGGGGAGACGGAGAGGCGGGAGAGGGGAAAGGGAGAGAATGAGGTAAGATAAAGTTTCAGTTGCAGGCGCACTATAACGTCCGAAATGGGTCCTGCGTTGCTGCTTCTCTCTCTTCATTGTCTACCCCCTTCCGCAAGGCAAACGCGACTACATGCATGCTGGCACTACATACGTGCATGGGCATGCAGCATGCCAGCCTAGTTTTGAGTCGACTCAAAACATGCATGCTGGCACTACATACGTGCATGGGCATGCAGCACGCCAGCCTAGTTTTGAGTCGACTCAAAACATGCATGCTGGCACTACATACGTGCATGGGCATGCAGCACGCCAGCCTAGTTTTGAGTCGACTCAAAACACGCATGCTGGCACTACATACGTGCATGGGCATGCAGCACGCCAGGCACCATGTCATCCGAACTGACTCTCCCATCTGCCCTCTCCCATCTGCCCTCTCCCATCTGCCCTCTACCCCTGCAACCCTGCAACACACACCTGCATGACCACCCCTGGCACCATGCGCATAAATCCGTTCAACCAGCCCATCTTGGAATCCGATCACCCAGCAGCACACCTAGTAAAACACACACACCTGCATGGGCACGCTAGGCACTGAGCGCATGAATCCATTCAGCCGGCCAATCTTGCTCTCAACGGCTGAAGCTTCACCGTGCCAGGCGTGCCCATGCAGGTGTGTGGCGTTGCTTGGTGAAGCTTCCTCCCTTACATAACCTCTACTTTGGCACCACACACCTGCATGGGCACGCCTGGCACGGTGCGCATGAATCCATTCAGCCGCCCAATCTTGCTCTCAATGGCCTTGTGGCGCTGCTTGGTGAAGCGATCGATGTTCGACTCGTTGGTAAAGATGACCTGATGGGGGTGAGGGTGATGTGGCGGAGGGGTAGAAAGGGGTGCAGGGTTGACATGGGCCACTCTCGAATGTGCTGGTGAAGCGATCGATGTTGGACTCGTTGGTAAAGATGACCTGGTGAGAGTTGACAAGGGTGGCCAGGGTTTCGGGTTCGCGGTTTAATGGTCCGGGGAAGCCATGCCAGTTGCGCGATCTGGCTTTCAATGGCCTTGTGGTGCTGCTTGGTGCAGCGATTGATGTTCGACTCGTTTGTGAAGATGACCTGGTGAGGGGGGAGTGGTGAAAGGGGGGGGTTAACACCAGGTATCAGGCTTCGGTCGCCCTTGTGGCGCTGCTTGGTGAAGCGATCGATGTTGGATTCATTTTTGAAGATGGCCTGACATGGGGGGGTGACACAAGGATCAAATTAGGTGGAGGGTTGACATTGGGTTTCAGTTCAAACTTGGGGCCATTCTTGAGGGTGCTGGGGAAGTGATTACCGCTGGACTCGTTGGTTAAGATGACCTGGTGAGAGTGATGTGGTGAGAGGGGAGAGGGGGGGGGGGGAGGGGGGGTGGTTTGACACCAAGTATCAGGCTTGGGGTTGCCCTAGAGTGTGCTGGGGAAGTGATTATCGCTCGACTCGTTGGTTAAGATGACCTGGCATGGAGGTGAGGGTGATGGGGCGGAGGGGAGAGAAGGGGGTGAAGGGTTGACAGAGGTCACTTTTGAGGGTGCTGGGGAAGTGATCAATGTTTGACTCACCTCACTAGTGATGATGACCTGGTGAGTTGACTTTTGATTCGACTCAAAAGGTTGACAGAGGTCACTCTTGAGGGTGCTGGGGTGGGGAAGTGATCAATGTTTGACTCACCTCACCTCACTAGTGATGATGACCTGGTGAGGGTGATGTGGAAATTAGGCACTGCGTTTCAGAGTTGATGCAGGGTTTTGAGTGTGCATGTGAAGCTATCAATGCTGGAATTATTGGTGAAAAGGACCTAATGTTAATGTGGAGGGTGGACATGAGTTTAAACGTATGACTTGACTACTATGCTTGATGAAGCTGGTTTCCGAAGTGCTTAAGCGATTGCTTTTAATGCGCCTAAAAAAAGGAGGAATGAATCAAACTATTAGACATGATCCAGCGAGCAGCAGTGGAGGAATGAATCGGGACTCACGATCTTGTAGCCTGCTTGGTGAAACTGCTGCAGAACGCTGGGAACGGTATCGAACATGAGCGACCAGGCGTTGGGTCCCATGCTGTGGGGATAGCAAGGAGAGGGAATTGACAAGTGCGCAACAGTTGAGAGAGATGTGGGATGGAGCTGCGAACACTGGGAGCTGTGTCAAGCACGAGAGAGCAGGATTGGGGCCCATGCTGTGGGAATGGGAGAGAGGAAGAGATATGGATGGAGAGGGGATGTGAAAGAGGAATTGAGAAAGGTAGGAACAGTCTCAAACATGAAAGACCAGGCGTTTGGTCTCATGCTGTGAGGATAAAGGAGAGGAAGGGACAGGGGGATTCGAAATGGGTGGAGAGAGTGACGCGCGGTGGTGCTGAGAAGACTGGGGATTGTTAAGAGAGCACATGAGGGACCAGGAGTGTGTGCCCATGCCTTGTGAAGAGAGGAGGGACTTCTGAGTCGATTCTACAGTTATCTCAGGTGGAAAGCAGGATGTGCGGTGGTGTTGAGAAGACTGGGTTTGTCAAGAGAACACATGAGAGGCAACAGACACTCATTACCATCTACAGCTCAAACAGTCCCTCAACACACTTGAGAATTCTTAAAAACACCCTGCATGCACACTGTCATGTTGAATACCAAGTTCACTTTCACAGCAACCCCCTTGCGTCGAGTCACATGCGAACACTGGTGCCCCTCCCTTGCCACCTCCAAACTCACATGCGCAAACGGAGTTGACGAAGCAGCCATGATCCGACGGGATCAAAGGCACGTGATAATTAATCTGTTTTGAGACATCTCAAATCAAAGGCAGAGAGACTCGACCTCCCCCCTCCCCCTCCTCAACTGATTCTATAGTGAAGATTTGATCCATACTGGCTGTCTAAGGAACGTTCTAAGCTAGCGCGTAACCAGGCTCTTTCCGCCATCAATCCATGGAGTTTGTCTCGCTGTCCTATACAGCACGAGTTGATGGAAATAAGGCCTCCGCAGCCCACCTGTCCGCTTTTGACAGCAGCCATGATCCGACGGGATCAAAGGTAGAGAGACTCGACCTCCCCCTCCCCCCCCCCCTCCTCAACTCACACGTGCACGGGACACACACACTCCTCCACCCCTAAACCTACAGTCCCTGAACACACATGCGCAGTGTGTGCACACCCTGGGTATCAGATTCATGTCCCACAGGACAACAGCACCCCACTCCCCCTCTCTGATATTAAGACGCCTCACAACAACTGGATAGCTAGTTCACTCACACAGCACAGCACCCTCCTCCCTGCGCCGCGCCTAAACTCACATGCGCACATTGGTGTTGACCAAGCAGCCTTACTGGTGTCGCCTCACACATGCACACACACTTGCGCCCCTCCCTTGCACCCCCACCTCACATGCGCATCACTCCTCAACTTCCCCCCTCTCAACTCACATGCGCACATTGGTGTTGACCAAGCAGCCATACTGGTGTTGCCTCACACATGCACACACACTTGCACCCTCAACTCAACTCACATCACTCACATGCACACTCGTGTGCCCCTCCCTTGCACCCTCAGCTCAACTCACATCACTCACATGCACACTCGTGTGCCCCTCCCTTGCACCCTCAGCTCAACTCACATCACTCACATGCGCACATTGGTGTTGACCAAGCAGCCGTCGAAATCAAAGGCCGCGATTCGACTGGATGGCTTCAGATCAGGGCTCTGAAGGGAAGGAGTGACAGAAAGGGAGGAAAGAAAGGATAGGATGGGATGGGATGGGATGGGATGGGATGGGATAGGATGGGATGGGATGGGATGGGATGGGATGGGATGGGATGCATGAGGGAGATTTGAGTGATGAGGGCAGGGATAGGAAAGGAGAATGGAGTGTGATTTAGGTGAAACTTCGAGGCTCAAAGGTTCTTCACCCAAAGAATAGGAGACTCCTCACACACGGCTGCAGAGAATAGGATGAATGAAACATAGCACACGGAGAATGGGTAGGCATCGCAGAAATACCACGTGAAAGATGACTGAGGAGCATGAGAGCATGTGCAAGTGCATTGCAGAAGGAAGGTTGGAAGGCATAGCAGAAATACCTGATGAAGGATGACTGAGGAGAATGCAAACCAGCCAGGAGGCAGAGGAACGTCCTGGGAGGAAGCATAGGATGGTGAGGGGGGGCAAAGAAGAAAGAGTAGCCAGCTGTAGCTGATCCCCTGTGTTTCACAGTGGGAATGGTGGTGTGAGTGGGATTAGTGTGCATGAGAACAGTGGGTGGGGATCAGGAACAAACTACCCAGACGATAACATGTTTCAGACAGGATGAGACAAACAAGTGTTGATAAAATTTGAAACCTGTGTTGTAAGAGAAGGTACCTACAATCACTCCTTGACAATTCGTCTCAAAGGCTACTACAACCTTCCCCAAATGTAATACCCACCTAGTTAAAACCACTTGCAAGCTTCACATGCTGCTGCGGTAGAGGGGTCCTCTGTGGTACGTGTGGGTCCCATGATTCCACATCTGTCACTTGGCAATTCCACAAGTTTCATTTGTGCAAGAGTACCCAACCCCATCCCCTCCTACTGACGCGATTTTTTAGGCGCCTTAAAAATCCCCATGATTCCGCATCTTTGTAATTCCACAAGCTCCAAAAGGGCGGGTCGGGTCGACCCGCCCGGGTCGGGTCGGGTATACCCGGACGGGTCGGGTCGACCCCTGACCCGTCAATGTGATTTAGGGACGGGTATCAGCGACCCGCCGGGTCGGGTTGACCCGTCCCGTCCGGGTCGCGTACCCAGTCAAATGACAGGGATACCCGACCCGTTCTCTGATTAGGGTACACTTTGGAGAGGGGGATCAGGTGGTTTTGATGTTTTTTGTTCCTCGACATCTTGATCTAGTCCCTAGACCAGATCAAGCTAGTAGCTCTGCACCGCACCTACCAAGCCTCCTACAGTCTTCACTTCAATGTTAGCACTACTTTGCACTTTATATTCAGGTTAAGAATAGGCGCGCCCGACATTTCGCAGCGTCGCGCGACCAGGGACGCAGCAGCGCGATCGCAGCCACGCATTAGCGCGATCGCGGCTCTGCATTAGTGCAGCAACATTGCGCCACGCATTGGCGAGATCGCATCCCCGCAATAGCGCGCTCGCGGTCCCGCATTAGCGGACGTCCGCCACAGGCCCAGCATTAGCACGATAGCGGCCTTGCATACTCTGTAGCATATTTTGACCCGACCCGACCCGACCCGACCCCTCTGTAACCGGCCCGGGTACGGGTCACAAATACCCGTTCCAACGGGGCAGGTCGGGTCACCAAAACAGAGTCAAACTCGACCCGCAGACCCGACCCGACCCGACCCGTTACTGTAACGGGTCGCCCTAGACGGGACGGGTCGGGCCGGGTCGGGCCAGATGCCCATGCCTACATTAAGCTAACCTTGAACTCCTCATTACCTTGGTTTCAGTTCGACTTGAACCGGACTGAACCGAATTCTTTTTAACTAATAACCGGTTCGACTTGAACCAAGTCGAACCAGATCGGATTTGGTTCTTGCTCATGTCTAACTGTTATTAGGAGTGGGAAGCTTGGTTGGGTTCGAATATGGTCATTTTTTGTCGAGCGAAGAATTGTGCACCGCAATCGCAATGCTTGACAATCCGAGCAATTTAATTTTGTCGACCCCACCCCCCAAAAAAACAACGAAAAAAAAAAAAAAACAAACAACAAAAAAACATGCATCGTCCAAACGAGCGATCAAGTCTAGCATCACAACTCCAGCATTTAAAGCTTGATATTAAGGGTCTCGAATGTCGAATCCAACTTAATTAGCCATGGTTGGCTCATTCGAAGTCAAATAGGCTCGTGGGGTCGACCAACTTACGAATCTCCCTTATTCCATAGTTCACGGTTCCTTTTTATATAGTCACAACTCCTTTTCCATAATTTGGTCTCGAGTTTTTGTCATTATCGAACTCGCACAAGCACGACTTCTGCGTAGTAATGAGCACGAACCAAACCCAAACATGTTCGGGTCGAGCCATGTCGAGCTGCATCTACCAACAAACCGAACCGATTTAGATCAAGGGAATTTTTTATTTGGCCTTTTGAGGTTCGAGGTTCGGCCAAGCCTGGTCGAACCGTCGAACCCTAGAAAGTACGACCGAACTACAAAAGGTTCGTCACAAAGGTGAACAGGTTCTCTTCAAGTCGCCATTTCGTTATAATCACATTGAAAGTGGCATTGTGCTTTCAAGACATTCTTTACCCGTTGAGCGGGATCTGGGGGTATGGGAGGTGTAGATAGATACGCACGTAAACTTCCCCAAACGGAAGCTTATCCTTCACACCACACCTATGTGCAAATACGTGGGTGTGCGGTATGCTTGAGTGGTCCAGATAGGGTCGGATTTGGCATTTCGCTGCCAGATCTTCGCGTATCAGGCATTCTTCAGCGGGGATTTGGCACTATCATGGTTTGAACAGGTGGCGGGCAGGATGCAATGCTAGACTTAGAATGTGAGAAAAAAAACTAAAGGTCTACCCTAATCTCGTTTTGTCAAGCAGGTTTCCTGTCTGGCGCAAGGGAAACCTGCTCGTCTCGTCGAACCCCACGATGTTCGACGCTGGCATATATTTTCGTGTTAAACAATTCGACCGACCTTTTCCCGTCCGTTGCGAACGTTTTACCTAGAAGTAAGTGTTTTGACAGCTGTCAAACCAGTTTGGTCGAACCGAACCCTAAACCCTGAACCAGACAGTAGTTCGGTTCGATGCTCATGCATGTTCACGAGAAACCAATCTTTAGGGTCCACAAGCTAAGGGGTAAGAATAAACAAGTCAAGCAATCCTCACTTGAAAGATCTACAAGAGTGTGCTAAATATAATAAAATATGAGATTGAGGGCTGAAACGATCGAGCACATGCAACTTTGGAACTTCGCACTACCTCCTAATCCTCCATGCACAGCTGCATCAACGATCGATCATCGACATGCTAACACAGACAACCATAACTCAAGGGTATGCATGCACACAAACATGCTCAAAGCTGAGCATCTAATGCTGCCATGTGACAAATAGCCGACCAAGCATTTTTTAACTGTTAAGCTGGTAGGCCCAACTTAGGGCACCAGTATGCGAGCGGGCACACAAGGCAACCTCTTACTCCTACTCCTCTGACCCCACTAAGAACTCCACCCCCTCCATCCGCTTCTGTCAACCAATTTTACTAGTACCTTCTTCGGCCACTCTCGATACATCGCTCCTCGTACGCTTGCGAGCTGCAATAAGCTGGACGACGTCGCGTTCTACTAACCAACTAGACGATATCATGCCCGGCAACCCACATAGTGGGTTCAACATAATCAGGAGCTCGTGGAATTGTGATAGCATGGGTAGGACAATGAACAACAACAAGGAGGTTTGAGCGGGTCTACAAATTTTAACTGAAAAAAAAAAAAAAAAAAAAAAAAAAAAAACGATTTAGGCCGAGCCAGCAGAAGGAATGATCGCCAACAAACTCACTGCTGGTGAATCCACCGCTTCAACTGGGAAGCCTACATCGGCTGCCACCAACTTTGCAATGGACGGGGCTTGAACAATTCAGGGACCATATAGCAACTGATATCCTCTAGCCCTTCTTCTACAGACTCGTGTGCAACAACGGGAGGATGTGGCCCTCTCCGCTGTGCCGTCCCACTTGGCTCGCCCTGGTATCCACCAGTAAAAAACGAGTCAAAGTTAGTGTTCTATTCAGATGCCTTATAAAGCGCCAATAGGTAGTGTTCTCGATGGAACCTCACCATGTGTCTGCTACAGTTTCTAATAGCGATTCCTTTAAATTACATGCGCGGCTTGCACATCCTCCAAGTCAGTTTAGCAGTGGGCCACTTTGCAAATCCGGTTCCTTCTTAAACAACCCACCTTGAAGGATTTCTACCCACCCCGTTCGGCAAACCCGCACTCACCTTGTACATCCCCTTGAGTGACTCACGGGATAAGAGACGACTTTTGAGGCGCCTCAAAAACTAACCAACCCACCCTAAAGGATCTCTCCGGCCCACCCCATTTGGCACACCCGCACTCACCTTGTACATCCCCTTGAGTGACTGATGAGAGAAGGTTCCCAGAACTTTCTTCACAGCAGGTGAAGGAGCAGGATGGGTAGCGGAGCCTGCGCTTAGAACCTGCCACGATCAGTGAAACAAAAGGTGAAAGAAGAGGTAGCGGAGCCTGCTTAGACCTCGTATGCCACTCACATGTAATTCACATGGCAAAATGTCTTCACGCCATAAAGCATTCAAGCACACCAAACCAAACCACTGCGAGCAACTGTCTGAAAGGAGAGGTCTCAGCAGCATGTCCCTTCTCTTTGTGCTATGCGGACTATTAAGTTGCACTAGCACCCCCACCCGGGAAAGGTTTAGAAGTCACGTTACCTTGCTCCTCTTCGTCTCAGGTCCTCTGGAGTCCTCACTGTTGCTCTCATCCGCGTTACAAGCACCCCCTGCTTCAATCACACCATCCGGCACCGCTCCTGCCCTATCCCCCTCCCCTCCAGCAGCTCCTTCCATCACCCTCTTCCCTTTCCCCTCCCCCCCTCTTTCAGCAGCGACGGCAGTGGCAGCAGCAGCAGCATCGGTGGCAGGTTGTGAATCAGGAAAGGAAGCACCAGGAGCAGCAGGAGCAGCAGCAGCAGCAGAGGCTCTCGTGAGAATGGCCTGGAGGGATTGCTGGTCAGACGGCTGGGAGTGGGGTGTGGGGAGGAGGCAAGGAAAGAAAAGAAAAGAACTATTATCAGACTCGCTTTCAGCAGCTCTCGTGAGAATGGGCTGAGGGGAGGGATTTCTTGAGTTGGACCGTGGTGGTGCTGACAGAGGAAGACCGTAGAAGACACTCCTCCTGTGGCCCCTAAAAAATGGTGATGGTGTGTGGTGTAAGAAAGAAAAGCAAATTCTGTTGACCCTCGCCTCCATTTGTGAGAATTTGTGAGAATGGGGGGGCAGGATATCTGGTAAAACGGCTGGTTTTAGGCCAAAAGGGAATGCTTGCCTTCCCTTGGGGTTACTGAAACAGCTTGCAGGGAGGGACGGTTGATGGTGGTGGTGAGTAGGGTAGTGTGAGCGGAAGTGAAATGGATTTTTCCACCCATTTTGTTTCCAACAACTCTCGTAAGAATGGTGTGAGAGGTGGATCACTTTTGAGTCAACTAAAGCATCCTTGTCATAAGAATAGACTGGAGCGGAAACAGGTGCTCCTGCTGCCTGCTGTGCTGCTGCTGGTGCACGGACGGATGGCTGGACTGGAAGCATGAGAAGAGAGAGGACGGGATTTCCGAATTTTAGGGTTTCAATTTCGAAGTTGACTGCGGCCTGCCATTTTCTCCTTTTGCCGTTACTTCAAAGGTCTGCAGAAACAGCTGGTAGAGAGGGGTACGGTTAGGAAAAGAGTGAATGCAATCTGCGTTCATTCTGGTTGTAAGAACCCTTGTGGTGTAGTTGTCTGGAGCGTTATTTTTCCGGTGAAGGCCTGGACAAGCACGGTGATAGCTTCGCACCTTCAATCGCGTGAAGCCCTGTAAGCTGGATGGTGACTCTATCGAAAGTGAGTTGGCCGCAGCGACGCAGGGAGCATGATACCTGAGAAGCCATAAAGGTTTCCGGCATAGGATCATGGAAAGACAGCTCTGAGTATCCAATTATATAAATGTTAAAATAAATCAGTAGGAGAAATGTAAGGTAACTCAATTGAAGGACACGACGAGGATTCGCACCATTTAGTGACGTCGAATCCGCCATTGCCTTTGGTTACGACGCCGACTCGAACGTCATCCTTAGCTACCGCCTTGCTGCAGTGCCGACACGCGGCGCGGCCTGATCGCGCGTACTCGACCACTGCTCGCGCCGCGCCCACAGCGGCGGTTGACATAGACGTGCTGCACCCTCACGCTAGTTAAGAAATACCTAGTGTCGCGATAGCTAGGGAAAATGCGGTGCAGTCGCGTCTGAAGAAAATGGTGTATGAGATAGCCGAATTGGGAACATGACCCCGTAATAATGCCACTCTCTCCGCAAATCGTCCGGTGCGGTTCAGAAGGTTTTCACACGGTAATCGGTCGGTGGAACCCGAATTGCACGGTACAGCCCAAACATTCAATCTAGGACGGGGCTGTTTTAAAGCGCAAAGCACCTCACTGCACCATACCGTTATCAAGCTTGAGTGAGGAGGTGGGACCAGTCCACGACGTGGCCAAACGGGGTACGTGAATCCTCGATTGATATTTACGTTACGTGGGATGCCTTCGATGCTTGTGATTCGTCTATCCAACTTCGCGAGCGAATCGCCAGCAGACACCGATTCCAGTGGAGACCACGAACCCACCAATTTCAGCAGGGACCAGCCACGTTCGACGAAGCTCAGATCGCTTTGAGTCGACCGAACTACGCAACAACCCGAACTTGAAATGCGAACCGATCGCAGCCAGGTCTAAGGTCTTGAAACAAATGCTTTGGAAACCACCTTGGGTTGAGATTAGTTCCTTGCAATTCCCACCTTGAAAATACCTGCCTCGAGAGTACCTACCTTAGGGAATGCTTGGCTGGCAATGTGCGAATTCCGAGCATATGAAGCTAGCGAAGCCTACCAACCTAGGTCGCTGGGTTGGACTCGCGCAGTTAGGTGAAACGCCCGAGCGCTTTACTCCCTCTCACGGTTCCCTGCCTTTCATATTGATCGATTCTGGTTATTTCTGTCCTGTAATTCGCGCTCTGGTTGTTTGTTGTCTCTAGTGGCATTACATCCGTTACATCACCTATAATCCAGCGAATTTATTCCTCCCACTCTTCAATGGCGTACTGAATTTGTAGAGATAAACACCCTGGCGTTTGCTGCTTTTACCGAGTACAGAATGACGTCATCGCCTCATTGCAAATGCTAAATCCGTTCACAAATACCAATCTATTCCTCCACGGTACACGTGAAATTAGGTTATAGCGAGTATAAAGGATGTGATCGCCACTCTCACGACATCAGACGGACCCACGCAGCATGTTTTGAACCTGTACACGGCTGACCTCCGCACTCAAGGGGGATTTACTCTGAAAAAACAAGAGGAGATGGATCCGAAAGTCCGTCTTTCTGGCGTTCTTTTGGTCTTCGCCCTGTTCTTCATCGCTCTCTCTCCACAGGTCGCCTTCTTTTCCCAGTCATACCCCCATTGCTTTCAATCTATGAAGATTTTCGCGGGTCGGCCTCACTTTTACTGTGGAATTGCCTCACTCCTGACGGTGTTGCCACTCCTTGCGCGTGGTGCTGTGATTGGGGGGGGACGGGTGAGTGGGGGAAGGATGGGGGGTGGATGGTGGGGAGGATGGGGATCAATGGGGACGGGCAAGGATGAGGGGGAGGATGGGGATAAGGGGGACGGGGAGGTGGGGGGACAAGGATGAGGGGGAGGATGGGGACCAGGGGGGCGGGGGGATGGGAGGGGCAAGGATGAGGGGGGACCAGGGGGACGGGGGGGTGGGAGGGGCAAGGATGAGGGGGAGGATGGGCTAAGGATGGGGGGACGGGTTGAGTAAGGGTGGGGGCTGGGGGGGGGAGGGAGGGGGGTTTGAGTGAGGAGGGGCGGGTGGGGGAAGGAGGAGGGGAGAAAAGGGGGTTTGAGTGGGGTCAGGGTCAGGAGGTGGTGGGTGGGATTGGGGAGGGGGTGCTTGCATGGGCAGGTGTATCTGTGCAGGTGGCATCTGCATCGCTGGTCAAATCAAATCAGATCCGATCTTCCAAGGATGTGATCGGGCAGGTGGTGGAGTTTGAAGCAGAGGAGATTAAAGCCCTGGAGGGCGGCAACGCTCGTCCACAAGCGAGTGAAAACAGGATGGGAAATGGGAGTGATAACGGGGATGTAAATGAGGGGGTTACAGAAGGCACACAGCAAGAGGAGGAGCGGAGTTGGTGGAGGTGGGATGCGGGGAAGGGCGAACTGGTGCAGAGGGAGGGGCCAGAGGGGCTGGCTGACGGGCAGGAGACACTTTTGTGGCTGCCCGAGATCGTGTACGATGATCTGGAGCTCATGGACCTGAGATACTTCCAGGTGGGCGAGATATTTTCTAGGTGGGGGATATTTTTCTTCGGGCGGGCTGCGGGCAAGATATTTTTCAAATGGGTGAAATATTTCCAGGTGGGCGATATAATATTTCAGGTAAGCGAGGTATTTTGTAGGTGGGAGGTGGGCGCGAAATTTCAGGTGGGCGAGATTTCAGCGGATGGATGAGATGTTTCCAGGTGGATAATATGTATATACATTTTTTTTTGGTTGAGGTTTTCCTATATAAATGAGTACGAGGTTAAGTCGTAACTTCAACCGACATCCCAACTTATGCACACCCAACCTGGATCCCTTTATAAAGACCAACCGATTTGTCTACAGAGGTAGAGAAAGGGTACTTGAAGTTTCATGTGACAGCCTGGCCTGTATCATGCATACCCCTTTTTGGCAACCAGCTTATGTTCCTTTCATGCGCACCAATCTTGCCACTTCCTTTCCCCTTTCCCCCACTCCATCAGTGCCTGCACTGCCCGGCCCCTGCCTGCCCCTCCTTCTCTTGCTACCACACTGCCTGCAGGCAGGCAGGCGGGCAGGGTGCTGGCATGCACTGGGTGCGAGCGATCCTTTATTGAGCGACTCAATATCCAGACACACCTTCCACCTTCCTTTCCCTCCCCTCCCCTCCTCCCTTCTGAGAGCCTGTGCTGCCCGGCCCTTGCCTGCCCCTCCTTCTCTCGCTGTTAGAGGTGATCAGAGACCAGCTTCCGACCTTCTTCCCCCCCTCCCCACATTGGCCCGCCACCCCTTCCACCCCACTCCCTCCCCTCAGGGCTTGCACTGCGCGGCCCCTGCCTGCCCCTCCTTCTCTCACTGCCGTACTGGCCGCAGGCAGGCAGGCAGAGTACTGGCGTGCACTGGGAACGACCCTTTATTGAGTGATCCGTTATCAGGCAACAACGGTGGTGCATCCAGTCAGACAGCTTCAACGGACGCGTCAGGGACATCATCTGTCGGCGCGTCAGGGTCGGACTCGATGGCCACCGTAGGCTCGGCGTCTGCGGCGGGCTTAGGCTCGGCGTCTGCGGCGGGCTTAGGCTCGGCGTCAGTAGACGCGTCTCCTCTTGTGGACCCCTCCCCTGTGCTCACCTCGCCTCCCCCCAACCACGTGAAGGACAATGCGACCTATGATGTGGCTGTTGCCGAGCCGTTTGCTGCACAGGTGGGTGGGAGAGAGTGGCTCGCTGGTGGCAAGAGGTTGCAGGGGATGAGATGTGGTGCAGTGTGGTTGGTAGATGTGGTGTGATGTGGGAAAAAACAGTTCTGTCTTCTCTACGTCTCCTGCTCATCCCTGCAGGTGTTCCTGCTATAGAACGTCTTTATCAACGACTGTTTTGTAGCAACTCAAGCATGCTGTTCATCAACGATCAACGACTCACACAACTCACCGACCGTTTTTTAGCAACTCACACATGCCGTCCGCTGTCTCTTTCTCCTCTTCTCCTGCTCCCCCCTGCAGGTGTTCCTTCTAGAGAACGTCTTCATCAACGACCGGGGCATGGTGTTTGATGCCATGTACCACTACCGCCATGGGCTGCTGTGCAGGTATGTGGTGTATGGTGGTACATGCATGTATGTGAGAAAGAAAGCACGCATGCGCACGTGCGCACTCTGCGACTGATCTAGAATGCGCATGTGTGCAGCACACATGCCGTAGGTGCGAGAAAGGAAGCCAGCCAGAGTGCGCATGTGTGCAGTGAGCTGCTCTGATAGGCCTGTAGCCATAGCTAACTCCCTCGCCTCGCCTCTCCTCTCCCCTCCCCACTCTACTTCGGTCTGTACACAGGGAAGCAAACCTGAGTGCGCATGTGTGCAGTGAGCTGCTCTCATCGACAGTGTTTCCCCTTCCTCTCCTCCCCCCTCAACCCCTGGTTAGGTGCTGCCCTCTCGACTTCGGCCTATACACAGGGAATGAAACCAAGGTGCACGTGTACAGTGAGCTGCTCTCACGCATTTGCTTCTTCCTCTTTCCTGGTACCTCTTGCTCTCCCCAGGTCCTGTCCCCTCGACTTTGGCCTATACACTGGGAATGAAACCAAGGTGCACGTGTACAGTGAGCTGCTCTCATTGGCCAACTGGAATGGCGGGAACTTCTACCATTCGCTGCTCGAGGTCATGCCGTCCCTTCTCTACCTGCGGCCATTCTTGGAAGCAAAGCCGGGCATTCCCATTCCAGTCAAGATTGACCAGGTTAGGTGCGGTGTGGTGCGGTTCAATGAGGTGTAGTGTCCTTGATCGTTGTCTCTGGAATCCCCATTCTCAACCCAACCTTCTACCACTCTCTCTCTCCTTGAGGTCATACCCTCTCTCCTCCACCTGCGGCCGTTCTTGGAAGCAAAGCTGGGCATTCCAATTCCAGTCAAGATTGACCAGGTGCGGTGCAGTAAGGTGCAGTATGGTGAGGTGCCTTGCTCGTCCTGGGCAGGGCAGTGAGGGGAGGTCCAGTGCCTTGTATGGTGTGTGTCCAAGCCAATCTCCACTATACTGGACCGGAGTTGACTTGACTTTGAGTCAACTCAAAAGTCAACGAGGTACAGTCCCTTATACGGTGTGTGGTGTGTATCCAAGCCAATCTCCACTCCACTGGACCAGGAATTCCCGACTTTTACCATTCGCTGCTCGAGGTCATGCCCTCGCTGCTCTACCTGCGACCGACCAGGTGAGATGAGGTGTGGTGCGGCTCTGTGCGGTGAGGTGAGGTACAGTACCTTGTACTGTGTCTCTACAAACCCTTTCTCCACTGGACCAGCAATCCCCCGCTTCTACCATTAGCTGCTGCAATGCAACCGCATTGAAGAAGTCGTGCGGTTGAAGTTGGCATGACTTCATCAGCTAAGAAGTTGTTAGAGGAAGAGAAGTCGTACCATGTCTTCTCTTCCTCTAACATCAACGCCTCAACGCTCAACTTCAAGACAGTTCGCAAGGACCACCCCCTATTCGCCTGCATCTCACCCCATGCCCTTCCCTTTTAAATCACCGCTTGCCCCGACCCCTTGCTCCCAGGACAAGCACGCTCGCCTCTTCTCACTCATCAACGTCAACGCATCAACCCTAAACTTTCAAACAGTGCGAAAAGACCACCTGTTCTTTGCTCGCCGCCTGCACCTTACTCCATAATCTCACCCCTTTGCCCCAACCCCTTGCTCCCAGGACAAGCATGCAAGGCTGTTTTCGCTCATCAACATCAACGCTTCAACTCTCAACTTTCAAACAGTTCGCAAGGATCATCTCTTCTTCGCTCGCCGCCTGCTGCTGCCGTCCATTGCGCAGTGCGGCCGCCCGTCCGCCGCCCTCGTCCGGCACTTGCGCAATCATTACCTGCTCCCGCCGTCCGCCCCGAGAATCAAATCTCGGCACGAGCTGGCACAATTTTCCAGCTACGCTACTGCTACAACTGTTCCTGTTACAGCTGCCGCTACAGATGTTGCTGCTGCTGGCAATGCTGGTACTGATGCCACAGCTGCTGCTGCCTCGGATGGTGCTGGGCTGGCTGCAGGGGGTGGTGTGCTGGCGACGCCTGATTGGTGCGTGGTGGTGGGTCAGCGCGACACAACGAGGCGGATTGTGGGGCGAACGCACATACTGGAGGAACTACAGGCGTTCTTTCCCAAGGAGAGGATCACGGTGAGTGGTTGAGTACGGTGAACACATGTGTTGTGGTGTGGTGTGTGGTAGACTCATGAGTGACACCACGAGGCGGACTGTGGGGCGAACACACATATTGGAGAAGCTGCAGGCATTCTTTCCAAGAGAGAGTATTGTGGTGAGATGGAGGAGCATTGTGGTGAGTGAGGAAGAGCCGTGATGAGTGGATTGGTGTGTTTCTCCGTGTGTCCAGTGCGGTACTGATTGGTGCTTGCTGGTGTATAGTGTGACACCACGAGGCGGAGTGTGGGTTGGTCACATACATTGGAGGAAGGTTGTGTATAAAGGAAAGGATCGTGGTGAGTGGAGAAAGGTTGTGGTGAGTGAATGAGTGTGGGTCTCCTTGTGTCTGGTATTGATTGGTGCTTGGTGGTGGGTCAGCGTGGCACCATGAGAGGGGATGTGTGTGGGGCGGACACACATCATGGAACTGCAGGCGTTCTTTCCCAAGGTGAGGATCGTCCATAACCCCTCGCTAGCCCCTCGTGGCCAATATGTGCCCTTGCAAGGGGACATATTGGAATATGCCCTGTTCTTCCGGTTCCTTGCATCTCACTCCAACGCCCAGGTGTTTCGAGGAGACCTCCCTCTGCCTGAGGCAAAACAGCAATTCAACCGCGCTCGACTGTTCATCACCCCTCACGTGGCCAATATGTCCCATTGTGTGCCCTTCTCTTGCCCGTCTCGTCATCCCCCTGCCCCCCAAACATTTGCACCATTTCTCTCCCAGGTGTTCCGAGGAGACCTCCCTCTGCCTGAGGCAAAGCAGCTATTCAACCGCGCCCGATTGTTCATCACCCCTCACGGCGCCCTCATGGCAAATATGGTCTTCATGCCGCCCGGTGGCTTTGTCCTGGAAGCACGGCCGGAAGATTTTGATAACAATCTGTATGATTATTTGGCTTATGTGTGCGATTTGCATTATTATCTTGTGAAAGGCGTTGGCGGGAAGGATACGGATATTAGAGTGGATATGGAGGAGATGGTTGGGGTGGTGGATGAGATTTCTAAAAAGCTGATCGCACAAAACTTGTAGTGCATTGTATAGGACAATGATAACAACAATGGAGTTGCAATGCAGCTTTTTTGCTAGCTAGATCACTTGTAAGAACAGGTACTAGAGATATTTTAATCATTAGCATGTTCAACCAGGGTAAGGCCTGACAAGTGTGTTATCACCTTGTAAGAAACAACAAAAACTACTGTTCTATTTGGCATTGAACGCGACTTGGGAGCCTTCGCTGTTCGCCAATTTCCATCAGTCACACCGCGATGCACCAGGTCACGACGGGACGGAATTGTAAATTGGCCTCGAGCTCACGTCAGTCAGATCAGAAGTCCCAATTTGGGACTCCCAAAACTCACCCGAGGAGCCTGTAAATTGGCCACCATGAGCTTGAAGTTCCGAAGTCACTCGTGCATTCATTGAAAGCACCATTTTGTTGACGTGCCTTTTCACAGGGCGAGGAACGAGGGCATCAGCTGGTATGCAGCAACTCATTGCTGAGCACTCAGTGCCCGTCGGGACGCTATTCGCTACTCAGCAGCCCAAGTGAACACCGATCGCACAGGGTCCATGAGCGCCCGCTGCAGCTGCAGTTTCGAATGCCCGTGTTCATTACACATCGGCACAACAGACGTGCGAGCGGAGCCAGCATGATACCCGGCCGGATGCGCTGTGCGTACGCGAAACTGATTATAGTAGCTCGTCACCCCTTGCGTCGTCACGCGAGCATCCACTGAGGGCGAACTCCACGGCCGCTGGCTGCTCGCCGATGGTTGCGACGCCGCGACTGACGCGGACAACGGTGTTTGGTACAACGGACTGGGCAGACGGCTTGTCACCGCTGCGTTCGCCGCGGTCGCGGAGTGAACCGGCGCGCCTGCACGAACAGGGGCGGCCGATCTCGCAGTCGGTGAAATCTGCTGCTGCCTGCTATCGCGCGCGTGACGGTAACAGCTGTTCGCTGAGTCTGCTGCCAGCAGTGCTGACGGCATTGGGCCTTCTGGTCGTCTGTATGTAGCGGCTCCCCCTTGCCGCCAGACGAGCGCAGTCATGATGTCGTTCCAAAGCACGGCGGTGTCCTTCTCGCCCAGTGCGTGCACGCTCCGGGAGCGGCGGAGCGGCACGTGACGGATCCCTTGCGATCGCGCTTCTGAAAAGACGGATTTCAGAGGCTGCGCTGGCCTTCGGCGGCTATCCGAGGAGTCTTTTCCCTCCAATCTTGTTAGCACGGGCTCGCTTTTGCTGCGCTTAAGCCGACGCTGTGCGTGGATATCGTCGCGGTTGTTTCCAAACACCGGCTTGCAAGTCGCGCGATTCCACGAGTCGAGTCGCCGCTGGGCCGAGTCCAGCGACAGGCGACCTCTGTCGCGACCGCGACGGCTCATGTCGCGTGGGCCGTCGTTGGCGGCTGTGAGAGCGACGAGATGCTGTAGCTGCTGCAGTGACAACCCGTGGCCTGCGACGGGTTCAGTCGACGGGGACTGTGGTTGTGCGCTTCGGTGCGCTCTGGTGCGTGCGTGCGGCGCATCGTGAGGAGAAGATGTGGGTTTTCCTGATTGCGGCGTCTCCGGTTGAAAGCGAGTGGTCGGAAGCGGTTGTGAGTGCGGCGAGGCGCTTTTTGCACGTCTGGTCGCAGTGGCGCTGGCAGCGGGATTTGCGGGCGACGAAGGCTGTGACAGTAATGCGAACTGCTGAGCCGTAGTCACCGTCAATGCACGAAACGCAGCCGTAGCAGACCGATAAAGAAGATTGTCGGACGTTTCAGAAGCCATTGTTTGCTCTGTGATTGAAGCACTAATAGTCAGGGGGGGAGTCTTGAGGTGAAAGGTGAATGAATGTGGACCAGAACCCGTAACAATTTATGCTCTCATCGCGATTTCCAGTGCCAATACGCTGAGTGGGTGGCGAAATGAAACTGCTTCACCTTCGTAGCACGGCTTCGCCTGACTCTGAATTGTTGGCGGGACAGAATGTCAGTCCTGGGCGCGTGGGTTCGACGTTGGGGAATTGGCGGTGAGTGGGCGAACATTTGGTATGGGGTGCGGTGATATTGTTCGCATCTGGTACGGTACGGATTCGCGAAGAAGAAAATGATCGCTAATCTGGCAGAGGTGAAAGGTGAACGAATGTGAGGACCACAACCCGTAACAATTTATGCTCTCAATCACGATTTCCAACCAATCCGCTGAGTGGGCGGTGATATGAATAATGAAACTGCTCCAGATTCGTTGCATGTCTTCGCCTGACTCTCTGGATTGTTGGTGCAACGGAATGTCAGTCATGGGCACGTGGGTTCGATCGATGTTGGGGAATTGGCGGTGGCAGGGGCGAACATTTGGTATGGGGTGTGGTGATACTATACGCATCCGGTACGGTATGGCAAAGGACGTAGCAATTCATGGAAAAGTGCCAGTTTTTTCAAGAATACGTCCTGTTGTGTGAATGCTGAAACTAAAACCCGAGCGTGTCAAGATCTATGACGTCAAGCCTCTTAAACATGATGTTTTTAACACTCGTTATACCAATCTACTGAGCACTTATTATAGGAGTAGTACCACTCAGTAGTATTACTCAGTAGTACTAATCGCTATCCTACTCTTACTGGCACTATATGCTTTAATCCAATGTCTGCAACTGGGAAGAAAATCCCACGAGTACCTTCGACTTTTTATGTGAAGAGGGGTGGGAAGGTTGGAGGCTGGGGTTGGGATGGGGGGGTTGCTTGGTGGTGGGAGCGATGAGGGTTGTTCACGAGGAGGGAAACAAAAACTAGTACACTCTTGGGCCAGCCCCCTAGAGGTTCCCCGAACCGAGTTTGTGCTCACTTGCGATCACTATTCATTTCCACCCAAGTCAGTTTTCAACCACGTGGTGGCATTCTTCAAATCTCTCCCCCAACCGTACTTGTTCAACTTTGGCGGTGTTCCCCGTTAGTGTCTCGTCCGTTTTGTGGCGCACTTCACAAACAGTCCCTTACCATGGTGACAATAAATCTTTCACTACTGTGGAAAGACCCTATCGGGCCCATTTGTGCCTTTCACTTCCCACCTGAATCTACTTACGAACGAGGGCCGAGCCAAACCCTATCAGTTTTTTCTGCACCAAACCCTATCGAGCCAAGCAGGGCCGCCCAGGCGTGAAGCAGTTTTACGTTTGCCCCGACTACTGACACGGTTCCATTCTGCCCGACCCCAGCCCTGTTTTAGCTGTGTTAGTAAGCGATGTTACCACATGTCGCTAATGGTGAAAAGTTCGCCGCCTTTTCTACAGTACGAGCCAATAACTCCGCCATGGCAGTCTGTAGTGCAGACAATCGGCTGAGGTAGGGTGATAGCGGGGTATAGGATCATCGATCTACCACGATGCGCTTCTAATTGCGGATCGCCGGTTCATGCTTGCGTGCTTGCACAATCTCTCACCATGCTTCGCGCCTCTCGTATTTTAGTAGGAAGTTGCGCGGGGAAGTGCAGCACGTGGCATGTGGTCGAGTCATCGTCTCACTCAAATGACATCAGCACACTCACTAGGTTATCCTATCCTCACATGATGATGCAGTCCGGCGAGACTCCCACTGCCTCTCGCAGGAGGGCGAGGACGACGTATCACCGACGAAATCTAGGATGCTGGCGAATCGTCGTCGTAACGTCACGTGTTCGTCGGAGCCAATGAGAGTCCACATGGCTCCAGTGCCATTCGGCGGGACTGAATCTGTTCACGTGGCATCGATTCATCGCGTCGCTCAAAGGACATTCGCAAACTCACCACTGGTTAGAAACTGGGGTCGCATCTAGACTCCCGACGGTTCACCCAATCCGAGACTCCCAGCCTTTCCGCCTCTCCGCCTCTCCAACTCCCAGTCCGAGAGCAAGCGGACGACGTATCACCGACAAAATCTAGGATACGCGCGAATCGTCGTCGATATCGTCACGTGTTCGTCGGAGTGACAGTGGAGGCATGGCTCCAGTGTCAGTACCATTCGCCGGTTCGCATTGCTTGCGTCAGCTGAGAATGTCGGAAGTTTCCGACCGGCGTCAGGTTTCCTATCTGAGAGTACCACTCTTAGTTGTAAAGTACCAGACGACTTTGATTCGAAGCCCCCTGACATGGCTCCATTCAGGCCCCTGGCATGACTCCATTCAGGCCCCTGGCATGACTCCATTCAGGCCCTACTATAAACTCGATAGGCGTTCCGCCGCTGTCCATTCCTCATTGTTACTTGGGTTACCACCTCTCTCTCAAACCCCACTGGTTTACGACTTCGCGTAGTCTCCTCCCCAATCCCCTCCTCTCCTCGGTTGTGAGTCTGGCAGTCTTCAGTGGTACTCTAGACACTCGCTTGCGCTTTGCGGCTGTCAACCCGCCAGTTCCCCGCCTTGCAACGCGGTCCACAGGGTCTCTTAACTTGATCCAACCCACTGGAATCGGATCGGGTCGGATCTCTCGTGAGTACTACCGGTAGTATGAGGCGTCGGAGTTACTGGGCGAAAGCATTGGTGAGAGAGCACGCGCCAGGAGTACCTAGGATGAAGAGAGGCCGCGACGATAACCACGCTGACCACCATAGTGAGGGTGCGGGTGCTACTGCCAGCAATGGTCGGCGACTTTTGAGTCGACTCAAGAGAGGCCGAGACGACAACCATGCTGAGGCTGACCACCGCAGCGACGGTACTACTGCCACTGCCAGCGATGCTTGGCGTCAGCACAGGATTTTCCGTGCCTGTGCGTCAACTCCTGCTGCAACCAGCCCCGCAGCCACGCCAGCAGCAGCAGCCACTCCTGCAGCAACCAGCCCTGCAAAGTCGACTCAAAACATAATCAGTGCCTGTGCATCAACTCCTGCAGCAGCCAGCCCCGCAGCCATGCCAGCAGGATCCAGTGACAAGGCGAGAATGACTGCCGAAGTGGCCGACACGACAACCGCCGCTCAACAACACAACGAGGGACCTGAACAGGAGCCACCTTTTGTTGGGATCGCGCGGCCTATGCAAGAAACTGATGGTTTTGTGAAACGGCAGAGTTGTGCTGCAGTCACGTCGAATTGCAACGCACCGGGACCAAGTTGGGCGGATTACGTCCGGAGCAGGGAGAGGCTCGGAATCACTGTGCTGTCTGCCGAGCCTCTGCTTCAACCCCATTCTGGAGCGAAACGTTGCATCACAGCTCGCCGGAACATGTCTCAAGATCTCACAGCTCGCTATGGCCACAACAAAGCCGAAGTGCAGGAGTCAAGTTCTGAGGCGCCTCAAAGCAAGCCGCTGCTTCAACTCGATGCCGGAGCAAATGGCTGTGTTGCACCTGGCTTTGGATACAGCAAGGCCGAACTGGCTTTTGAGTCGACTCAAAAATGTTGTGTTGCACCTGGCCATGAATGCAACAAAGCCGAACTGGTGGAGGGATGTGCAGGAGAGCTCATGCAGCAGCGTGCACGCGAGCAAATGCAGCTAATGGAAGGACGGACACGCGTTGATAAGCCTCCTTGTTCTCGAGTGGTCGTCCCTGACCTGAATCTACCTGCATGTGAGGATCCTGGTTTGCCAAGCTGCCAAATCGATTCTAGTAGAAGCGCTGACTTGGGCGAGCTAACTAAGAGTTGCCAGGTCGTTGGAAGATCACACGGAAGGAATTCTTCTTTAGACATCAGTCCCCCTCCTGGTATTTCTGGGGTACATGTAGCTGATTCTAGAAGCGCTGACCTGGGCGAGTTGAACTTGGGAAGTAGTCACAGGTGGAAGCAGCAGGAGCAGGAGCAGCAGGAGCAGCAGGAGCAGCAGGAGCAGCAGGAGCAGCAGCAGCAGCAGCAGCAGGAGCAGCAGCAGCAGCAGGAGCAGCAGGAGCAGCAGGAGCAACAGGAGCACGAGCAACAGGAGCAGGAGCAACAGGAGCAGGAGCAACAGGAGCAGGAGCAACAGGAGCAGGAGCAACAGGAGCAGGAGCAACAGGAGCAGGAGCAACAGGAGCAGGAGCAACAGGAGCAGGAGCAACAGGAGCAGGAGCAACAGGAGCAGGAGCAACAGGAGCAGGAGCAGCATCAGCAACCTCAGCAAGAACACGAACCACAGCATCCGTGCCATAGGTGTGCTGCTGAGAGTGCTGAGTTAGAGACAAGGAAAATGCTGATACGAGAAATAAACCTGTACAGGGAAAGGAACCTTCGGCAAGCCTAGTAGAGCATGTACGGTATATGCAAGAATGCTTCAACTCTGCGGCTTGCTTCTAGTGTTTCTACGTGTTTCTTGTTGTAGCCTTGCATTGCAGTGTAACAGTGTTGCTTTTGACAAATAAACTTCTGTACAGATTGAAATCTGTGTGGGTTTGGCCACGTTTAGATTTGTTTTGTCAGCTTGCTACGTAGCCTGCTCCGCACAATGTAGGCGAAAAGGAGTTGGGCTGCGGCAGAAGGAAACAGGGGGAATGGGGCTGGGATATGTGATGAAAACACGGGGAGCTGGGCTGGGTGGGGGAGACAGGGAAGGGAAGTCGGGGAAGTGGGCAGGGAGAGGCTAGGGGAGTGGGTGGGGGTTGGGCTGGGAGAGGCTAGGGGAGTGGGTGGAGTGGGGCTGAAAGATGCGACAAATTTCTAATTCCCAAGCTATCAGGGTGTTTTACAACTCCTGAATCCTGATATGCACGGATGTTAGTTCACCTCACTTCAGAGCGTAGTATGACTGACCGGGTACAAATCTGACTCATGCGCTTCTGTCCAGGGCATGTCTGACTTGAGTTGGTTCAATGTGGTTCAGCATGGTGCGGCACGATTCACGAATGCGAGTGCCTGGACATGAGCCTGATAAGAGGGACGTGGTTCATAGGAACACACATACGGTACTGGAAGACCTTGACGGGAGGGGAGTGGAGGAGGGAGGAACGAGATTTGAGACGTCCCAGAACTCGCTGGGAGACGGGGCAGAATGAGGAAGAGAGTCACACGACGGCAGGAGGGAAAACAGGGAGTGAGAGAGATGAGGGAGATGGGGGCGAGGAGCGCGAGGAGCAAGATGAGGGAAGGGAGCAAGGAGAGGGAGTGGGACAGTGATACGGACAGATACAGAAAAATAGGAAATGAGCAGCAGGCAAGAAGGGAACAACACGATAGAGAAGGGGCAAATAAATGAGGGGTGGGGGCGAAGGATGGGGGGATGGTTCAAAAAAGATGGTGGTGGAGAGAGAAGAGGGGGGGAAGGGGGAGGGGGGTGGCGGGAGAGAGGGGGATGGATGGAGAGGAAGAGGGTTTCCCTGCCAGCGAAGAATCTTTTCATACATCACAACGCACCGAGGAACAGGATCAATAACACTAAAGTATTACACTGTTTGATGCGTCCAGGAGTACACACCACGATGTACCGATTCCACTCTCATATTCCTACTCAAACAGTACGAACTGAATCAAGACCCAGGAATCACCTAAGAATGTGACGAAGATCCACTGTAACGCATTCGCACATCACTTCTGGTAACCGTCGCCAGGGCAGTCGTTCAAATGTCGCTCTTGCCCGTAAAAGTACCACTTCCCGGGGGTCGGCGGAGCGTACTCCGCGGAACCCCCCCCTGAGCTCCCTCCCGCCCCTGCAGCCTCCCCCGAAGCCTCCGCGCTCGCTCCGCCTCCGCGGATCCCCTCCATGATTTGCGCAACGGTCAGCTCTTCCTTCTTAGTCTCGAACACCGCGCGGCGCCGCTCGCGGTCGTGGTACTTAATGTTAAAGACGCGGTCGAGATCGCTCTGCGGAATCGACGCCTTGGCGGGCGGGTTGGTCGGCGCAAAGGGGCGGTACTCCCCCAGCACGGGGACGGACTCGCGGAACTCCGCGGACGCGGTAGGCCCCGTGTAGTTCCACGGCGGGCGCACGTACTTGGCGAGCGCCTGGCGCGCACGCGCGAGGAGGGAGGTGCCCGCGGGGGGAGCCATGGCGGAAGGGATCGGCGGAGAGGATCGGCCGAAGGCGGACCGCGGGAGGGCGATCTGTGTGTGAGATGTGAAGATGGAAACTAGTATCGGATGCGGAGAAATGCAAGGACGGAATGGGAATGGGATGGCGAGCGCGGTCGGCGGTGGGAGAGTGCGGGACAGCGAAGAGCGATCGGCGGCGGGAGTGGCGGCAGGGGCTGGTGCGTCGGATGTTCCTGCTGCTCCCTACAACAACCTTCGCTGCTTCCAGAATTCTCGCTGCTGGCGTTTTCAACGAAACCCTAAAATGGTTTGCTTGATTGCTAGCTTGAAATTCGGTAACGGGGAAATCGCATTGAAGTGTATATTGACCTAAAATATATGTTATCGAAATACTCAAAGAAACTTATTGAGCATTCCTTTTATAGAGAGATTGTGTCCTGTATACAACGAGAATATACCAGCTGAACTGTATTGCACTCTAGGTTTGTTATAACCTCACATTCAGCCAATTGCCTTCCCCCTTTTTGAACGAGGTTCGAGGTCCCTGAAAGCCCATGAATTATTTCACTGGATTCGCTCCCAAGACAGATACTCGGCGTATCCAGGTTCGGGTCATGAGCACTGTTCCGGGCATGCGCGATTTGCGGATGACCCAAACAACATAGAACGCATGTTTGGGTCACGCGACCCCCATATTGCCGCGAGGGTTTTCGCGCCAAAATCCAGCTCACAACAACAGTCGCATCCAATGGAGGGATGCCAGAACATTTCGAAAGGTCATTAGCGAGACCCACGCAAAACCACGTGACACTTACTGAGAAAACACAACCCCCAAAATTCCCGGAGCAAATTCCCAAATGTTGGGAGCGCGACGCGAGAAATTTTAGACACACTCGGGGACAATTTGCCGAGTGGTTGGGTGCAGAGGTGTCAGGCGTGGGAAATCACCCACGTGTGACACTCGACTGCCGATCGACAAAAAGTTGGTAGTAACACCACAATCGTGCAACCAGGTGATTGGCTGTGGGTGGGTCGTGCACGTCAGTCGCACAACACCTACACATTGACCCAAAGCCGGGGCCGCGCGCGGCTCGGCAGCCCACTTCGGGTCATGCGCAAATTCCGCATGAACCGAACAGTAGCCAGAACAGTGCTCATGACCCGAACCTGGATACGCCCTCATTGCTTGCTAATCAGTCACCAACCATACCCCTCTGTTCGAGCAATCGGCTGGTTCCGCGCTACTATAACTGAATAATTGTAACAGTGTGGCAGCCGAATGCTGCCAAGTACAGTGCAGGTGGGCGGAAGTCAAGCGCCACCTCACCAACTGTTCGTTGGTCAAACGCCTCAATCTGCAGCTGGGCGACCAGGTCCTGACGCGCAGCCCAACACAAACCCTCGCGCGAAAATTACGAAACGCAGAACACCGAAGTTCCGACCGCTCGCCGACTTCGCCAACAACACCGACGAAATTACAGCCCCGTAACCAAGCTCGCCGTCCAATCCCGTACCACAATAATTCTCTGAATTTCACGGCAGGTTCATTTCAAAGGGGTTGGGTTACCATTGAGAAATTCAGAGAGAGTCGCGACTTGGGAGTGCGACTCGATATTTGAATGTGCTCTATAAAATTGTACTGTGAAATTTGTGAAGTCATAGTGCAATTTCCAGAGAACTCCAGAGATCACTCTATCCTCGTTTTCCTAGCCTACTAAGGCTGCTACTTCCCTGCCAGCAACGTTTCAATAATCAGCTGGTTAATTCTGTAGGCTCAGAAAAGTCAGCTGATAACCAAGTGGAGGTGTCGCTGCTGCAGCTGTTGTCATGGCGGCAATGCAACAAGCCGCGTCGCGAATGTCGTTCGTTCCGTCGTCGGGCTTCGACGCAGACCGATTAAGTTTCGGAGCGTCGCTAAGAGTAACCCCAGTTTCGCTAGGATTAAGGAGTAGCTCGCGCATTTCGTGTGTACCGTGCAGAACCGCTTATCTGCAGGCTCCTGCTCAATCTCCCTCCCCAATATTCTTCCAATCAGCTTCTGCCACGCAGACGCGAGCAGTTCGTTCAAGAAACTCAGCTTCGTGTCCTTCTCTACGACCTGGTTCACACATTCCGCGTACAGTCACACCAGCGGGACAGGGGAGCGAGAATCTGCGTCACTCTCGTTATAGTATCATTGCCGCGGCTGCTGGCGCTGGATCGACGAAAGCTGCTGCGAAGGACGAGGGAGGGGAGGAGGAGTTGAAGCAGGCGCACAAACTGTTTGACCAGGTGAGACTGGCGTTGACTTCCGTTGACTTTTGAGACGTCTCAAACGGCTGCTGCGAAGGGCGAAGGAGGGGAGGAGGAGCTGAAACAGGCCCACAAACTGTTTGACCAGGTGAGATTGCCGTTGACTTCCGTTGACCTTTGTTGACTGGCGTGCGATAGTTTCGTTGTGGTGTATATTTCGCGGTCAACGGCGGGTGTTTAGTCAGGTGTCTTCATGGTGACTTTTGACTGTCAAACCCGCTTAGGGGTAAAACCCTTGTTTATATCCTAAACCTTCAACCCCGGAATGGAACCACGGACGGTTATAACGCGTACAGTGCCTTTCCTCCTTTCAAGTGGCGTTATTCGTGTAAACATGCCAGCACTGGTACCGTTCTCCACCCCCCACAACCGTGGAAGGAGTAGTGGGGGTTGCACCCTGAATAGATGTGGGCAAGCTGGGTCAACGAGCGTCAAACCCTTGGTCAAACCCTTTCCCTGTCTGTCTTTGCCTTCCCGTCCTTTCAGGTGGTAATTTGTGTGAAAGTGGGGGATGGGGGCAACAGCGCAATGCTGCACCCTCCCTGGCCGTGGAAGGCGGGGGAGACGCCTGGGCTGATCCTGTTCCCTTCTACCCATGTCCGTGCTCTTTTTTTTTCCAGACTTCAGGTGGTCATCTTTGTGAAAGCGGGCGACGGGGGGAACGGGGCGGTGCTGCACCCCCCACGGCCGTAGAAGGCGGGGGAGACGCCTGGGCTAATCCTGTTCCCCTGTATCCATGTCTGCTGTGATTGTCTCTTCCCCTGGCATTCAGGTGGTCATCTTTGTGAAAGCAGGCGAGGGGGGGAACGGCGCAGTGCTGCACCCCCCACGGCCATGGAAGGCGGGGGAGACGCCTGGACTGAAGGGAGGGAAGCTCAACGCGAGGGAGGCGGAGGAACTGAGGAGGAAGCTTCGCAGGTGAGGGAGGGGAGTGATTGATTGAGGAGGCTGGGGGAGGGAGAGGAGAACTGCGGGAGAGTGGGGGAAGGGCATGTATGTTAATGGAAAGCCGGAGAGTGAAGATACATGGGGGGTGAGGAGAGGGAGAGAGAGGCGAGCACAATTCCCCTCTCCACACAGTAAGTGTGAGGAAAGAGGGGGAGTGTGCTATTCGCTGCAACCCCTTGTCCATCCCCACTCCCATCACCGTCTCCATTCAAAAGGGACGCAGCTGGGCTGGCCATCGTGCCCATGGGGGGGCATGGGGGGGACATTGTGATTCACACAGACCCCTCCCTCTCCACGCTGCTGCCGCTGCCTCTGAAACCCCCCACGTGCAGGAAAGAAGCGGAGAAAGCCAAGGCTATGAAGTGGGTTTCACGTTGATCCCTCCCTCTCCACGCTGCTGCCGCTGCCTCTGAAACCCCCCACGTGCAGGAAAGAAGCGGAGAAAGCCAAGGCTATGAAGTGGGTTTCACGTTGATCCCTCCCTCTCCACGCTGCTGCCGCTGCCTCTGAAACCCCCCACGTGCAGGAAAGAAGCGGAGAAAGCCAAGGCTATGAAGTGGGTTTCACGTTGATCCCTCCCTCTCCACGCTGCTGCCACTGCACCGGGACCAAGTTTGTGGCCTCCTCTCTCTCCTTACCCTCTGCTCTCCCCCTCCAACCAACCGCAGGAAAGAGGCTGAAAAGGCCAAGGCAATGAAGAGGGTGGGCACGTTCAAGAGGGACGCGGATGGGCTGGCGATCGTGCCCATGGGAGGGCATGGGGGAGACATTGTGATTTATGCTGATCCCTCCCTCTCCACGCTGCTGCCGCTGCACCGCAAGAAGCGGCACGTGGCGAGGAGCGGAGGACACGTGGATGCCAAGGGGGGCCTGGCAAGGAGAGGGCCTGACGGATTGCAGGGGCCAGTGCTGCGGATAGGTGTCCCAGTAGGTAAGCCCTGTGCCAGCAACAGACCCCTCTCTCTTGCGTGACGCGGAGTGGAGGACACGTGGATGCCAAGGGGGGCTGGCAAGGAAGGAGAGGGCCTGACGGATTGCAGGGCCCTGTGCTGCGGATAGGCGTGCCTGTAGGTAAGTCTTGTTCTATTTAGCACACACCACTCTCGTACCTGGAGGAGTGGAGTGGAGTGCACGACGACGCCAAGGGGGGGCAGGCAAGGAGAGGGCCTGACGGATTGCAGGGGCCTGTGCTGCGGATAGGTGTGCCAGTAGGTAAGAACCTTTCTCTCTCACCCTCTCCCTCACAAGCAGAGGGGTGGAGGGGTGGAGGGCACGGTACGGTGGTGAAGCGCAAGCGGGGAGGCAAGTTCCTGGCTAATGGTTGTTTTCCCCACTCATTTCCACCCCTTTTCACCCCTTTCCACCCCTTCTCACCTAACCCCTCCCCTTGCTGCACCCCCCCACCAGGCACAGTGGTGAAGCGCAAGCAGGGAGGCAAGTTCCTGGCTGATCAATCAAGCCTTTCCAATGCAAACGTCCACCCCCCTCCCAACCCCTCCCACCCCTGCCCATTCCTTTTCAACCCCTTCCACTCCTCCCTTTCTTCACACCCACCCACCAGGCACTGTGGTGAAGCGCAAGCCGGGAGGCAAGTTCCTGGCGGATTTGGCAAACCCTCCTTCCACTCCCTTCCACCACTTTCCACCCCTTTCAACCTCTCCACCAGGCACGGTGGTGAAGCGCAAGAGAGGAGGCAAGTTCCTGGCAGATCTGGCGAACCCGGGAGATGAAGTGGTGGTGGCGAGAGGAGGACGAGGAGGGGTGAGTTGAGTCTAGGTTAAAAAGTAGGAGCGGAGGGGGCCTGATTTGGGGAAGCAAGGGTTGGTCAGGGTGCTGTTTGTCCCTCCTCCACTCCTGGCTGATCTGGCGAATCCAGGAGATGAAGTGGTGGTGGCGAGAAGAGGACGAGGAGGGGTGAGTGAGTTAGGTCTAGGATCTAAACGGAGGGGGAGAGGGGGCTGAGTTGGGGAAGCAAGGTTGGTAAGGGTGCTGCTGTTTCCTCCTCCTTTCCTGGCAGATCTGGCAAACTCGGGAGATGAGCCAGATCTGCGAGGAAAGAGGAGGAAGAGGAGGGGACAGCAGGGGCAGTTGATTTCAAGGTTTTGTTTTTCGTCAGGGTTTTGGTGTGGGCGCTGTTTCTCCTTTTATCTTTCACGTATGATCTTCATTATGATCCCTCTTCGCCACTTCCCTCCCTCCCCCCTTCACCACCCATTCTTCCACACCTCACATCAGATCAGTGTGTTGTGTACGAGCTGCCGGCTTCCAACACGACCCACGTGCGCCCTGTGAAGGCACCCGCAGCGCAGGGACCAGCAGCAAGGACCAGATCAGCGCCCTCTCCCCTTACCTTCCCCCTCAGATCAGCGTGTACGAGCTGCCGGATTCCAACAAGGCCCCACCTGCGCCCAGTGAAGGGCCTTGATGCATGCACTAGCTGTAACCAGCAAAGACTGGTTACTGCTTGTTCACGCAAAACACGCGCACATAATCCCGCGTCGCGTCTCTCCACTCCCATGCATCCCCTCAGATCAGTGTGTACGAGCTGCCTGCTTCCAACAAGGCCCACCTGCGCCCTGTGAAGGCACCATTGGGAACCACAGTGATGAGCACACCAGAAGACAAGGTGAGGGGTGGGTGTGGGATAGGGGACATAGGGAACATAGGGGGGGATTGGTCAATAGGGACCTGCACCATTGGGACAAGGTGGGTAGAAAAGGGGGGATACGGTAAGGTGGGTGCAAGGTGGGGTATATTCACGACAGTTGGTGGGGGTTGAGAGGGTACGTGGTTGCCTGCTGCGTCCAACAAGGCCCACCTGCGCCCTGTGAAGGCACCATTGGGAGCCACAGGGATGAGCGCACCAGAAGATAAGTTGAGGGGTAGGAGAGGGGGGGCGTATGGGTGACTTGGTGGGGAGGTGATGAGTTGCCTGCCTAAGTTGCAATAAACGCTCAGGCCTGTTTGCGTTTAGCGGATATCCGCTTGCGTATACACGCAACACGCTATACGCAAGCGAATCCGCTATACGCTCGGCAAATTTGTTTTGGGGCTGCCCGGGCGGAAAAAAAATCGAACATACGGAAAGATGCGGAATTTCACGACGTGCGTTTTGCCGAAGGCGAATTGCACGAACGTGACTTGTCCAATTGTGGACGTGGCTTTTTGCAGAACGTGAATTGCACATACGTGACTTGTCCAATCGTGGACGTGGGTTCAACCCACGTAGTCGAGATTGGTTGTGTCAATTTGTCAAGTCGCGTTTTCACGTACACACTTTGTGCGCTCTGTTTGTTACCGCATTGAATCCCCTCCCATCTACTCACTCCAACCAAATGTCCCAATGTTCCCTTCTCTCGTTGTGCTACTTAGTGGGTTGCAAGCAACTACGCAATTCATCAGTTCCCCGTCTCTTTCGTAATGTCTAGCCCGCCATGCACACCGCCATCCGTTCAGACAGTGCAGAGTTCTCGGATTGTTCGACCTGAGGGTAGGGATTACCTTCCTGACATGCCGGAACACGCTGTCTTCAAACATTTCAGCCTCATTGTGTGGGAAGAAGGCAAAGCACAGCAGTACGAGTGTAAGTACTGCTTCAATGTTTTCACCGGTGCAGCCATTCGTTGCGCGCAGCACCTGAGCTCGTGGAAGGGAATGAAGCGTCGCGAGGTGACGCTTTGCAAGGAGGCACCGCAAGACGTACGCAACGAGATGCGCACCAAATACGAAAAGATGGCTGCCGCGATCGAGGAAAAGCGCCGAGCAACATCTGCTGCAGCTGCGGCAGCACAGGCTGGCGGAGGGAAGCGGCGCATAACCGACTACTTGGAGGGAGATGCCGCTGCGGCTAAGCGGGATGCTCACGAGGGCCTTGCGCTGATGTTTGCGGCCTGCAGAATCCCGGAGGTCACCATGGACCACCCGCTGTTCATCAACGCCATGCTGCTCGTCAACCGCGCCGGCAACGGCTACGTCCCCCCCAGGAGGACTTTCATTGGCGGGGCTGGACTGGTCGCTGTCCGCAAAGGGATTGAGCAGGGGCTGGTGGGGATTAAATCGAGCTGGAAGAAGACGGGGGTAACAATTGCGTCCGACATGATGACGGACAAATGTGGGAGGGCGCAAGCGAACGTGCTTCTGATCAACGACTCCGGCGCCGTCTTCAGGGAGGCGATCGACTGCGGTATGGAGCGGAAGACGGGGGGATACATAGCGGGGATTCTGCAGCCGGTGGTGGAGGAGGTAGGACCAGAAAATGTCGTCACGTTTTGTATGGATGGGGGGTCGAACTATGCCGTGGCTGTCCAGGAGCTGATTGCCAAGTGGCCCCACATTCAGCAGGTCCCTTGTGCCACGCATGTGATGGATCTCCTCCTGGAGGACGTGGGAAAGATGGGGTGGGCAAAAGGGGTGGTGGATCGGACTGGGGAGATGTGTTCGTTCGTTCGCAACCATCATTGGACGCGCGCTTACCTGAGGACCAAGGAGTTGGTGGAGGGGAAGGTGCTGCAGCCGCTGAAGCCAGCGGGAACACGGTTCGGGACACAATACATTGCTGTGTCCCGCCTTTGTCAGTTGCGTAGCACCCTCAACGCGATGGTGCTTTCCGACAGGTGGAAGGAGTGGGCCTCGGGGTCGCGGAAGGAAACTGCCGAGGCCTTTGCTGCACGGGTCCTCGATGACGCATGGTGGCGGACGGCAGAATTCTTCTGCAAGCTGATGCAACTGCCCTACAAGGCGATGCGGCAGACTGACGCAGATGCCAATGGGATGATGGGCCGGCTCTACGATGTAATGCTGCAGCTTACCGAGGATGTCAACAACATCCTGGACGAGGATGAGCAGCAGCTGAGTAGCGCGGACAAGGAAAAGATCCGCAGCATCATCAAGGACCGCTGGGATAACAACCTCGCCTGCGCCATGCACGTTGCTGGCCGAATCCTCAACCCCGCCAACCAGGAGGAGGATATCTTTGGCAGCGACGCCGAATGCACCCGGGTTTTCAAGGCGTTAATCAACCAGCACGTGGAGTTCCTCATCGGCCACGACGGGAAGGGGAGGGATGAGGGTCCAGATTACTTGCTTGCCTTGGGTGACGGGCTGAGGGCTTTCTTGGACATGAAAGGCAGTTTTGGGATGCCGGAGGCACTTGCACAGAGGGAGAAGGTGAAGGCGGGTAAGTACAGCATGGTGAAGTGGTGGCAGTGGAACGGCACAGATGCACCTCACCTGATGCGCTTCGCCGTGAGGGTGCTATCTCAGCCTGTATCGGCATCCCCTTGTGAGCGTGGGTGGGGAACTTGGGATGCAGTCCACACAGCCCGCCGGAACCGCCTCGGATCTGCAAAGTGCCAGGACCTGGTTTTTGTTGCGCACAACTGGAATGTTGTGCGCAACTGGCACTCGCACGCAGATGTAATGCCGAAGGTTGTGCCAGGGATTGGGGACGAGCCTCCTATTCCCGAGGGGTACAACGGGTTGGATGAGACGGAGGTGGAGGAGGAGGAAGGCGAGGATGACGTCCTGGAGGACGAGTACGCTTAGAACTAGGGTGGCAGGAGAGTATTAGTGACATGTGTGTGTGTATGGTGTCGTAATCTTATTATGGGGAAAAAAAAACTGTGTTGCAAAACCCCCAAAATGCCTCACCCCTCCCCCCCCCCCCCCAAACATCCCCAAGTGGTTTTTTTTGCCCTGCCCGGGAAAGTTTTTTCCCTGCCCGGAAAAGCGTATTCCAAAGTCGACCCCCAAGCGGATAGCGTGCATACGCTAGCGTATATACGATAAGCGTATATACGCTATAAGCGTATATTGCAACTTAGTTGCCTGCTGCGTCCAACAAGGCCCACCTGCGCCCTGTGAAGGCACCATTGGGAGCCACAGGGATGAGCGCACCAGAAGATAAGGTGAGGGGTAGGAGAGGGGGGGCGTATGGGTGACTTGGTGGGGAGGTGATGAGTTGCCTGCTGCGTCCAACAAGGCCCACCTGCGCCCTGTGAAGGCACCAAGAGGTGAGGGACCACAGTGATGAGCGCACGAGAAGACAAGGTGAGGGGTGGGATGGGGCGTATGGATGAGTTGAGTTGAGCGATGGGGGGCTGACAGGTATGTGGTTGCCTGCTGCGTCCAACAAGGCCCCCCTGCGGCCTGTGAAGGCACCACCGGGAACCACAGTGATGAGTGCTCCAGAGGATAAGGCGGAGGTCGGGGAGAAGGTGGGTGGTTGACACGTACAGTATCAGCCAGTACTGTATCAGTACCGTTTTAAAAAAAGGTATCAGGGAAAAATAAAAGGATAAGAAAAGAGAGTCGCTAGGAACGTGCTTCTCCTTTTCCTAGCACCAATTCCCCGCCTTTTCCTAGCACCAATTCCCCGCCTTTTCCTTCCGTTTGTTCCATACCCCAAACACTCACAGCAACTGACGTACTTTTGAGAAGCCCCGGCCTTTTCCGTCCGTTTCTTCCATCCCCCAAACACCAACAGCAACTGACGTACGGGTTGCAAGGCGAGGAGGCAGCGTTGGAGTTGACACTGCGAGTGGTGGCTGACGTGGGGCTCGTGGTGAGTTAAAAGGGTTTGGAAGAGGGGGGAAATGACCGTTGGGAGGAAGGGTGAAAGGAGGGGATGAGAAAAGAGGAGGGGTGAGGGCCTGAGGAGGCAGGGCAGCGTCACAGCTGACGCTGCGAGTGGTGGCCGATGTGGGGCTTGTGGTGAGTGCGGGAGGGGGAGTAGTATTGGGGCGCATGTGAAGGAGGGGTATAAGGAACGAGGTATGGGGGGGGCGAGGAGGCAGCATTGGAGCTGACGCTGCGAGTGGTGGCTGATGTGGGGCTTGTGGTGAGTGAGTGGGTAATGGAAAAGGGGGGACGCAGCACACGCCAGTTTTTGAGCCGACTCAAAAAAGAAATCGATGTTACTGGCAGCGGTGACCGCAACACTTGCCGGGTTCCAGGCCTTCACACTCCCCATCCTTTTCCTTGCAATACCACCACAGGGCTTTCCCGATGCAGGGAAGTCGTCCCGGCTAGCAGCAGTAACCGTAGCGCGGCCGGAAATAGCAGACTACCCGTTCGCGACCCTCATGCTGCTGCTGCTATCCCCCCTCCTACCTTTGACTCCTGCTCCTCCTCCCGTCCCCTATCAGGGCTTCCCCAATGCAGGGAAATCGTCCCTGCTAGCAGCGGTAACCGCAGCACGGCCGGAAATAGCAGACTACCCGTTCACGACCCTCATGCCTAACCTGGGCCGCATGCCTGCCGACCCTGCTGGTCCGGATGGGGGGTTTGGCGACGGACCTACTCTGGCGGATCTGCCAGGGCTGATCGAAGGGGCGCATGTGGGGAAGGTGGGTACTGGGGAGGGGGGGGGGGGGACTGGGATGTGGAAGGGAGTAGGTGGGAATGCGGGGTACACACACTGTAGGGTTTGGTGACGGACCTACCCTGGCGGATCTGCCAGGGCTGATAGAAGGGGCGCACGTGGGGAAGGTGGGTACTGGGGAGGAGGGTGGGGGGGACTGGGATGTGGAAGGGAGTAGGTGGGAACGCGGGGTACACACACTGTAGGGTTTGGTGACCGACCTACCCTGGCGGATCTGCCAGGGCTGATAGAAGGGGCGCACGTGGGGAAGGTGGGTACTGGGGGGGGGGGGGGGGGGGGGGGGAGGGTAGATTGGATGTGGGGTAGGAAATGTATGAAGAAAAGGCACAAGGCTACGCTTCTTTGAGACAGGCCAACTTTGGTGGATCTGCCGGGGCTGATTAACGGGGCGCATGCGGGGAAGGTGGGTGGGTACTGGGGAGGGGCGCTTGGGTGTGAGGTAAAGGACTGTTTCAGGGGAAGGTACAAGGTACACGATATGGGTGCTTTCAAGACGGGCCTAACCTGGTGGATCTGGGAAGAGAGACACGGGGGAGGGGGGGGGGAAAGGGAGGGGATTGGGGTCATCATGGCCTGCATTGCAGCTTTTTGTAGCGATTGCCAGTCTTGCATGTCCTCCCATCCTCTTCCCTGTTGTAAATGTACATTATATACAACATTCATAGGCTAGAATAGGTGTAGTCCCTTATGTTCTTGGGGGGTTGTGTGTACACTCCAACCACACTTTGTGGTTGGTCAAGATTGGATTTGGTCTTGGTCCTTGGTTGGCACTTGCCAACTCTTGGTCCTAACACCAACCAATCACAACCTAGCTACATTGTAGGGTTTCCTACTCCACAAGGCACCTCACCCATTGGCCAACTTAGTGGCCAATAGGGTTAGCTCCTCCTCCACTCCTCTCTTCCTTGCATGCTTGTACTATAGAGCCTCCTTGGCTCATTATTCAATCATTCTTGAATCCTATCATGGTATTCAGAGCCAAATGGCTCACGTCACCTTCCCTCGATCCTTAGGCTGTAATTTCCTCTCCGCTCCTTTACCCTAGCGGACTATGACCTACATCGGTCCACCCGCACCTTAGACCTAGCCTCCCGCGGCTCAGTTCCACCCTCCCGCACCTCAGATCTAGCTTTCCGCGGCTTAGATCTACTCCTCCGCGGCCTCAATCCTCCCTCCCGCGGTCTCAATCCTCCCTCCCGCGGCCTCAATCCTCCCTCCCGCGGCCTCAATCCTCCCTCCCGCGGCCTCAAACAGCTCCCCCGTGGCAGCAATCCTCCCTCCCGCCGCCACGCCTCAATCTGCCCGCCGACGCGTCCGACCTGCGCGCCGACGCGGACGACCAGCGCGGCGACGCGGACGACCTGCGCGCCGACGCGGACGACCAGCGCGGCGACGCGGACGACCTGCGCGCCGACGCGGACGACCAGCGCGCCGACGCGGACGACCTGCGCGGCGACGCGGACGACCTGCGCGCCGACGCGGACGACCTGCGCGCCGACGCGGACGGACTGTGCGCGGTCGCCTACGACCTACGCGCCGACGCGGACGGCCAGTGCGCGACCGCCGACGACCTGCGCGCCGACGCAGTCGGCCAGCGCACGACCGCCGACGCCCCGCGCACTGACGCGGACGGCCAGCGCGCGACCGCCGACGGCCCGCGCGCCGACGCGGACGGCCAGCGCGGAGCCGCGACCGACCTGCGCGTCGACGCGGACGGCCAGCGCGCAGCCGCGGCTGACCTGCGCGTCGCCGCGGACGGCCAGCGCGGAGCCGCGGCTGACCTGCGCGCCCTCGCGGACGGCTGCGCGCGATCGCCACGACCTCCCCCTTCACCCGCGCCCTGCCCCACACTTCCGCGCCAACCTCCCTCCCCCTACTCCACCCTCCACGGCACCAGCAGCGGCACCGTCAACGGCACCAGCAGCGGCACCGTCAACGGCACCAGCAGCGGCACCAGCAGCGGCAGCACCGGCACCAGCAGCGGCACCAGCAGCGGCACGTGCAGCGGCAGCAGCGGCACCGGCAGCGGCACCAGCAGCGGCACCGTCAACGGCACCAGCAGCGGCACCGTCAACGGCACCAGCAGCGGCACCAGCAGCGGCACCAGCAGCGGCACCAGCAACGGCACCGTCAACGGCACCAGCAGCGGCACCTTCCACGGCACCAGCAGCGGCACCTTCACTGCTTCGTCATCGTGGCGTCGGCGGACTCATTGGTCGACTTGGCGACCATTGACTCTCTCGAGTTGCTGGGCGACAACTCGGCCGCCAACTGGCACTCGTATGCCCACTCCGTTGAGGTGTTGCTCTCCTCGGTTGTTGTCAGTGGATATTCCCTTCGTTCCGTCGTGTTCCAGGAGGAGGGCGGACTCCAGCCCATCGCCCCTTCCGCCCCCACCGGACCTGCTCCCGACGAGCCCGGTCTTGAGCCCGAGCCTCCTGGTGATCCTCCCTCCTTCGCGCCGGATGTCCACAACCCACAAAGCGTGGAAACTGCCATCCGTGCCTACCGCACCACACTCAACGACCACCTTCGCCGTCAACTACGCTATGAGGACGACAAGCGCACCTATGACGAGGCTGCTGCCCGCCACCGCGAATACCAAGCCCGGCTCACCACGTATAGCACGCGCCTCGCCACCTACACCACCGACATCGCTGCGTGGCGCATTGCTGATCGTCGAGCTCTCGCCATCCTCCTCGCCACTATCCCCTCCTCCCTCAAACGAGAGCTTTCACCCACCTCCTCCTCCCACCTGTGGCAACTGCTTGTCGACCTCTTTGACAGGCAGGACGTCGCCACCCTCTATGCACTCATCGAGGAATTCGGATCCATCACCATGGATTCCACCGCCGGCGCAGCCGCCTTCACTCGCCGCGTCCTTGACCTTGCCCGTCGCCTTGCAGCACTTGGTGTTACCTACCCTGACACCGTCATCTGCTACCACCTCCTCAAAATTCTCACCCCTGCCTTTGATGCCCACAAGCTAGCATACATGCAGCTCCTCTCCAAGCATGACACTCCCGCTCAGGTTGCCCAATGGATTATCACCACTGAAGCTGAAATCCTTCGCCACTCCTCCTCCACCGCCGCAGCGGCATAGCAGCGCAGCAGCAAAGGCGGGCGTGGGGGGGGGCGTGGAGGTGGGCGTGGTGGTGGTCGAGGCGGCTCTGGCGGTCGTGGTGGTGCGGGTCGTGGTGCAGCAGCGGCCTTCCCACCCTGTCAGTATCTTCCCCTCTATGGCCCCACCCGAGGCCAACGCTGCAACCAGAGTGTCCAGCAGCAGGGGCCGCAGCAGTACGGGCAGCAGCTTCATCAGCTCCAGCAGCAGCTTCAGCAGCTCCAGCAGCAGCTTGACCTCCAGCCCCAGCTTCCTCTCCTCCCTCCTCCTCCTGTCCCCCAGCAGCAGCCGTTTCCCAGCTGGACCGCCGGGAATGCGGCCTCCGCGGCCCACCTCTCCGGTCCATCCCCTGCGCCGTCTCCAGGTGGCAGTGTGACCCCCTTTCCCTCCTCTGGCTTTGTTGGTCTGCTTAGTCAGCCTCCTTCTGTTGCATCCCCTATGTATGCCCCTGCTATTAATGAAACTTCCATTCAGTACTCCGCCTCACCCTCCTCCACCCTTGAGTTCGTCTTGGACAGTGGAGCCACTGACAATGTCTTTCGCGATGCCGGCAAACTCCATCCTCTCCCCACACCCACGTCCCTCCTTGGCGCTGATAGCAGCTTTTCCATCTCCTGTCACAACACGTCCACCCTTCCCTGTCCTCTCTTTCCCTCAGGTACTGTCACAGGTCTTCACATTCCCTCCCTTCGCACCAACCTCCTCTCCCAAAGGTCCCTCCAACAATCCATGATCACCACTGTCACCCGAGGTGGTGCTAACCATTGTGACCTTTACCAAACCTCCACAGGTCGCTTCCTCTCCCGCATTCCCTACTGTCCCCGCTCCCGTCTGTACACCCTTCGGGTTCCTCGCCCCCTCTCCTTCCAAGTTGCCTCCCCCCCTCTCCTCCCCCCCCCCCCCCCCTCCCCTCCTTCCCACTAACCCACCCGTCCCCCCCTGCCCCCCTGACTCTAACTGCTCATGTCGCTCCCTCTCCCACCCTGCCATCCTCCTCCATCGCAGGGTAGGTCACCCCAACTTCGCCACTCTACGCTCCTCTGTATCCTCCAGTCTCCTCCACGGTCTCCCCTCCTCCCTCCCTCCCCTCCCAAAGTCCCCTGCCCCCCCTTGCGTCGTCTGTGTTCAGAGCAAGCTCAAGCAGCAGCCGCACCGGAGCTCCCCCTCCGCTGCTACCCAGCCACTTGATCTTGTTCACATGGGCCTCTAGGGCCCTAACCCCTCCCCCACTCGCCAAGGCCATCGCTACCTTCTCGTGCTTGTCGATGATCACAGTCGGTACTCGTCCGTCTCTCTCCTTCGGACGAAGGCGGACGCCCCGACTGCGATCATTGCCTGGCTCGAACAGGCGAACACCCATTTTGGGCGCCCTGTTCGCCGCCTTCACTCTGATGGTGGTGGTGAGTTCCTTAATAACCAAATCTCCTCCTATTGCCAGTCCCGCGGCATTCTTCAGACTCACACCCTCCCTCACTCCCCACAGCAGAACGGTGTCGCTGAGAGCCGTGTTCGGGAGATCACCAAAACGGCTCGGTGTCTTCTTGTCCACGCCTCCTGCCCCCCTTCTTTGTGGGGCTACGCCCTCCTTCATGCCGCCTTCCTTACTAACCTTTACCCTCACCCCCTCCTCCCCTCCACCACCCCCACTGAGCTATGGACAAAAGCCAAACCCGATGTCTCCCCTCTTCGAGTCTGGGGCTCTAAAGCATATGTCCTTACTCACCCGTCTGACCGAACCCGTTCCATGGGAAAGCTTGCCCCTCGCACCCTTCCTTGTATTTTCCTTGGTCATAACTCCTCCTCCCCCGACTACCTTTTCCTCCACCCCCTTCCGGTCGCCTCATTCGCAGTAGGGATGTCGTCTTTGATGAGTCCACCCCATACTACTCCTCTCCTCCGTCCACTGACCCACTCCCCCCTCTCACCCGTCCCCTTGTCTGGTCTGACACCACCCCTCCCCCTCTACTCCCTCCTTCCCCCATCCTCCCACCCCCTCCCCCTCCACCCTCCCAGTCCCACGGTGCCCCCCCTTCGTCTGGTGACATCTTTGACCCGGACCCGCTGTCTTCCCCTGTCTCCCCCGCTCACTCCACCCCAGGTGCCCCTCCCCCTCTTCCCTCCCAACCCTCACCTCCCTCCCCCCCTCCCCGCACCACACACACCCGGTATCCTCACACCAGGTCATGTGACGGTATCCTTGGTGCACCACCCCCTGTTACCCTCTCTACCTCTACCCTCCCCCCTCTCTCCCCCCTCCTTCACCACTTCTTCCAGGCTGTCTTGCATCAAGCTCCTCATGCATCAGCCCCCCTCGCCACCTCTCCATCATCGGCAGCAGCCGCACCAGCAGCCGCACCAGCAGCCGCACCAGCAGCGGCACCAGCAACGGCACCAGCAGCGGTACCAGCAGCGGCACCAGCAGCGGCACGTGCAGCGGCACCAGCAGCGGCACCCGCAGCGGCACCAGCAGCAGCACCAGCAGCGGCACCAGCAGCGGCACCAGCAGCGGCACCAGCAACGGCGCCAGCAGCGTCACCTGCGGTCATCCGCGCCTTCCACACCTCCCTCTCTGAGGACTCCCATGAGGAGTTCCTTGACCTCCACCTCTCTGACCCCTCCCTCCTTCCCATCACCTTTGACCTCTCTGGAACACCAGTCTTCGCCTTTTCCTCTGCTCCCTCCACCTTCATCCCAACCACGTATGAGGAGGCCATGGCTTGCCCCGACGCCCCGCTCTGGCTCGCCGCCATCATCAAGGAGCTCGAGGCATTTATTGCCAACTCCTCCTTCGTTGATGTGCCTCGCCCTCCCTCCTCTACGAACGTGGTAAAGGGGAAGTGGGTGTTTCGCGTCAAACAGCTACCAGGAGAGCCGCCCGTCTACAAGGCCCGGTATTGCGCCAAGGGCTTCACGCAGCGGTATGGCTTTGACTTCTTCGACACCTTCTCCCCCACCGCCAAGCCTGCTACCGTTCGCGTCGTACTCGACCTCGCCGCTCGCCTCAACATGGAGATCCACTGGATGGATGTCTCCAACGCCTTCCTGTAAGGCGTGCTACGTGAACTGCTCTACATGGAGCGCCCAGCGGGCTTCCACCACCCCTTCCCCGCCGACTCCGTCTGGCGGCTGCGCCGACCAGTGTACGGGCTCCGCCAGGCACCCAGGGAATGGCATGCCAAGCTTGCTGCCACCCTTGCCGAGCTTGGGTTTCGCACCTCCCGCTCTGACGCCAGCCTCTTCCTCCGCACCTCCCCCTCCCCCTTCTACATCCTCGTCTATGTTGACGATATGATTCTCCTCACTGCCGATCTTGCCGAGCTCGAGAATGTCAAGACGGAGCTGGGCAGCCGTCTCAAGTGCAAAGACCTGGGAGAGCTGCAGCACTACCTCGGCATGACCATCACTCGCGACCGCTCCGCCCGCACCATCTCTCTCTCTCAGGGTCACTACCTCCAGCAAGTTTTGGACCGGTTTGAAATGGCGCGCGGCAACCCCCAGCCCACTCCCCTCTCGGTTGGGCACCACCTCTCCCCACCCTTCTCCCCCTCTCCCTCCTCCCATCCCTATCCTGAACTCATTGGCTCTCTCATGTACGCCATGGTCTCCACTCGCCCTGACGCTGAATATAATGTACATTTACAACACAACCCCCCAACATCATACGGAAGAGCACTGGCAGGCCGCCAAGCGCGTCCTTCGCTATGGTAAGGTCAGGGCGAGTGGAGACCATGGCGTACATGAGAGAGCCAATGAGGGTAGGTTCGTTGGCCGCCATCAGCGTCCTAGCTCGGTTCGTTGGCGCTGGCAAGCATACGGAAGAGCACTGGCAGGCCGCCAAGCGCGTCCTTCGCTACGTTCGTGGCACCAAGGACTATGTCCTTACCCTTGGCAGCCCTTCCCCACCCCTCCTCAGCGGCTACAGCGACTCTTCCTGGGCTGATTCACGACCGGATCGGCGATCGTCTCAGGGTTATGGTTTCTCGTTGGGCAGCGGTCTCATCAGCTGGCGGTCCACACGCTCCTCTGCCGTCGCCCTCTCCTCCTGCGAAGCAGAGCTCTACGCCGCAACCATGGCCGCGCAAGAAGCACGCTGGCTCACCTTCCTCCTTGATGAGCTTGGAGCCCCCCAACACTGTCCCACCCTCTGGTGTAACAACGCCAGCACCATCCACCTCACCAAGGATGCTGTGTATCATGGGCGCTCCAAACACATTGAGCTTCGCTACTTCTTCATTCGCGATCTCGTTGAGGCCGGCCACATTCGCCTTGGCAAAATCGACTCGGCGGTCAATCTCGCTGACATCTTCACCAAAGCCCTTCCCCAAGCATCCCACTCCTTCCTTCTGCGTCTCCTTGGCCTCACCCCACCTCCGGTTCTGATGGCCTCTTAATTACATCTTCTAGCCTTATGCATGTTGGGGGGTTGTGTTGTAAATGTACATTATATACAACATTCATAGGCTAGAATAGGTGTAGTCCCTTATATTCTTGGGGGGTTGGGTGTACACTCCAACCACACTTTGTGGTTGGTCAAGATTGGATTTGGTCTTGGTCCTTGGTTGGCACTTGCCAACTCTTGGTCCTAACACCAACCAATCACAACCTAGCTACATTGTAGGGTTTCCTACTCCACAAGGCACCTCACCCATTGGCCAACTTAGTGGCCAATAGGGTTAGCTCCTCCTCCACTCCTCTCTTCCTTGCATGCTTGTACTATAGAGCCTCCTTGGCTCATTATTCAATCATTCTTGAATCCTATCATTCCCCTCTTTCTCATCAGGACCTGGGTCGCATGTTCCTGTGCCCCCTGCGCCACACCACACCCGAGTGCTGCTGCACCCCCAACCTCCCTTTCCCCGCCACCTCCCTTCCCTGCTACCTCATGCGTGATGCTTCTCAACCACCCTTCTCCCTCCCATCCTCTTCCCCTCTTTCTCATCAGGGCCTGGGGTGCATGTTCCTGTGCCACCTGCACCACACCCGAGTGCTGCTCCACGTGCTCGATGCGTCGTCCCAACCTCCCTTCTCCGCTTTGTCCATCCTCCCTCCCGTCCTCCTCCGCTTCCCCATTCTCATCAGGGCCTGGGCCGCATGTTCCTGCGCCACCTGCGCCACCTGCACCGCACCCGAGTGCTGCTCCACGTGCTAGATCCTTCGTCCCAACCTCCTTTCTCTCCTTCAACCTCCCTTCTCCCTCCTGTCCGCTTTCCTCCCTCCCCCCTCCCTTCACTGTTACCAGGGTCTGGGTCGCATTTTCCTGTGCCACCTGCGCCGCCTCTTCCTCTTCCCAACCGCCCTTCTCCCTCCCATCCTCTTTCCTTCCCCCCCCTCTCCTCCCCCCCCCACCCCACCTCACCATTACGAGGGTCTGGGTCGCATGTTCCTCCGTCACCTGCCGCCGCACCCGGGTGTTACTTCATGTGCTCGATGCCTCTTCTCATTTGTTCGCTTCCAACCAACCGTCCCTCTCCGCCCAACCTTGCCTCTTCCTCCAATTGCATGTCTCGCTGCCACATCCCCATCAGGGTCTGGGTCGCATGTTCCTGCGCCACCTGCGCCGCACCCGCGTGCTGCTGCACGTGCTCGATGCTTCTTGTAGAGAGGTGCATTTTTGAGACGTCTCAAAAATGCTGCTGCACGTGCTGGATGCTTCTTCCAACCCCCCTTCTCCCCTGTAACCTCCCATTTCCTTCCTGTCCTCTTCCCCCCTTTTCGTTATTACCAGGGCCTGGGCCGCATGTTCCTGCGTCACCTGCGCCGCACCCGCGTGTTGCTGCATGTGCTCGATGCCTCTGCGCCCGATCCCATACATGACTACGTGGTGTTGAGAGAGGTGGGGAGTGGTGTGGATGGTCATGGTAAGGGGTAGGCACTCTCGAGAGTGTTACTGCACGTGCTGGATACGCTGTCCCCGACCCTATTCATGACCATGTGGTGTTGAGAGAGGTTAGGAGTGGTTTCGATGGGTCATGGTATTGACCTGGATGAGGTGAGGTGAGGTGAGGTGAGGTGAGGTGAGGTGAGTTGAGGTAGTCACTTACACCTGATAATATTATGCTGAGCCGCGCCTGATCTGTGTGCTGGTGAAGTTCATATGCCTCTACTCCTTCCTCTGCCTCTCTGCTTGCTTCTCCCTCTTTAACCCTCCTAGGTCAACGCATTCCCCTTCCTCGTCCCTTCCTCACCACTTTCTTCTTCCAAAACACCTCAACAAGACTCCCAACCTCTTACTTTCCCAACCCCTTACTTTCCCAACCCCTTACTTTCCCAACCCCTTACTTTCCCAACCCCTTACTTTCCCAACCCCTTACTTTCCCAACCCCTTACTTTCCCAACCCCTTACTTTCCCAACCCCTTACTTTCCCAACCCCTTACTTTCCCAACCCCTTACTTTCCCAACCCCTTACTTTCCCAACCCCTTACTTTCCCAACCCCTTACTTTCCCAACCCCTTACTTTCCCAACCCCTTACTTTCCCAACCCCTTACTTTCCCAACCCCTTACTTTCCCAACCCCTTACTTTCCCAACCCCTTACTTTCCCAACCCCTTACTTTCCCAACCCCTTACTTTCCCAACCCCTTACTTTCCCAACCCCTTACTTTCCCAACCCCTCACTTCCCAACCCCTTACTTTCCCAACCCCTTACTTTCCCAACCCCTTACTTTCCCAACCCCTTACTTTCCCAACCCCTTACTTTCCCAACCCCTTACTTTCCCAACCCCTTACTTTCCCAACCCCTTACTTTCCCAACCCCTTACTTTCCCAACCCCTTACTTTCCCAACCCCTTACTTTCCCAACCCCTTACTTTCCCAACCCCTTACTTTCCCAACCCCTTACTTTCCCAACCCCTTACTTTCCCAACCCCTTACTTTCCCAACCCCTTACTTTCCCAACCCCTTACTTTCCCAACCCCTTACTTTCCCAACCCCTTACTTTCCCAACCCCTTACTTTCCCAACCCCTTTCTTTTACAACCCCTTGTTTTTTTTTTCCAATGCCGATATCCTCCCGTCTCTTTTCCCAGGAATTGAGAATGTATAACCCAGAGTACACCTCCCGCCCCCACATTCTCGTGCTCAACAAGATAGACCTACCCGAGGTGAGCCCTCCCCCTTGACCTTCCGCTGTCACCCATTAGACACTGGCTTATCCCATTCCATCGCCCATCCCATCGCCCATCCCATCGCCCATCCCATCACCCATCCCATCGCCCATCCCATCGCCCATCCCATCGCCCATCCCATCGCCCATCCCATCGCCCATCCCATCGCCCATCCCGTCGCCCATCCCATCGCCCATCCCATCGCCCATCCCATCGCCCATCCCATCGCCCATCCCATCGCCCATCCCATCGCCCATCCCATCGCCCATCCCGTCGCCCATCCCATCGCCCATCCCATCGCCCATCCCATCGCCCATCCCATCGCCCATCCCATCGCCCATCCCATCGCCCATCCCATCGCCCATCCCATCGCCCATCTTATCGCCCATCCCATCGCCCATCCCATCGGCCATCCCATCGGCCATCCCATCGGCCCCATATTCTCATGGTCAACAACATAGATCTACTTGAGATGAGCCTTCCCTCTTGCCCTGCTTTGCTATACGTTTCCATACCATACCATACCACACCACACCATTCCATACCATACCATACCATACCATACCATACCATACCATACCATACCATACCACACCACACCATTCCATACCATACCATACCATACCATACCACACCATTCCATACCATACCATACCATACCATACCATACCATACCATACCATACCATACCATACCATACCATAACTACACCATACCATACCATACCATACCAAACCATACCATACCATAACATACCATACCATATCATACCATATCATAACATATCATTGCATTCCATACCATACCATACCATACCATACCATACCATACCATACCATACCATACCATACCATACCATACCATACCATACCATACCATACCATTCCATACCATACCATACCATACCATATCATACCATTCCATACCATACCATACCATATCATTCCATTCTATACTATACCATACCATACCATACCATACCATACCATACCATACCATACCATACCATACCATACCATGCCATGCCATGCCATGCCATGCCATGCCATGCCATACCATACCATACCATACCATACCATATCACACCATAGCATTGCGTCTATGTTGGAAAAGTCGCCAGAAACCATAAGCGCACTCCGTATAGTCGTTTACGAATATACGGTGTACGCAAGTCGTACGTATATTCGTTGGCGAAAGTTCGGGCTGACCCGAAAAAAAACCAGATTTCAATAGTCGCGCACGAATTGCGAATGTGCGACGCGACTCAAAATGTACGCACGTCCCACCCCAATTTGTACGCACGTCCCAACCACATTGTCACCCACACCTGTCAAAATGTGGGAGGAACTGGGAAAATTTGAACCGCACTGCACCCTATGCTATCGCGCGACTCCAACACACAAACACGAATGTCGTCAACCAGCGTAGGTGGTTCAACCACATCCTGGACTATAAGGTAAGCTCTCATTCCCGTCATCGGTATTATCTCTCTTCTCTTCGCGTGTGAGAGGAACTGGGCAGTGTGGGAATCGATCCACACTGCCAAGCGCAACAGGTTGGGGTCCGAGAAGTGTCGGGACCTCGTGTATGTTGCGCACAATTGGAACATTGTGCGCAACTGGCACAAGGGGGCTGAGGGGGTGACGGTTCTCCCGGGGAACATCCCTGAGGCCTCCCTGCCGGAAGGGTACAACGAGGTTCTGGAGGAGGATGAGGAGGAGGGGGAGGAGGATGAGCTGGAGGATGAGTACAAGTAGAGGAGGAAGGAAGGGACGGGGGGAGTAGAGGGTGGGAGTAGGGGGTGGGGTAGGAGAGATGCATGTTGCTTGCTTAGAGTAGTTGAGAATGTAAGGTTTTTTCAATATATGAAATTCGGTAAAACCACCACTCCCCCCCCCCTCCTTCGGCGGTTTTTTTCGTCTGCCCGGTAAAAACCTTTTGCTGCCCGGGCAGCGTACTTTCTGCGACTTTCAAAGTCACTCACGAAGCGCATAACGCACTATACGCAAGCGTATATACGCTTGCGTATAATGCGCTGGGCGCGACTTTTCCAACATAGCATTGCGTCACGGCATGCATGCCTAATGGTGGGTACCCCTAGGAATGTATGTCTAACAAACAAGCATCCAAAATGTCTGATGCAAATGTCCAATACCAGAGCATACCAAAGCATCATGCTTTGGGTTGAGGCGCCTCAAAAAGAAAGCCAATACCAAAGAATATCATAGAAATGTGTCATTGCATGTTCCATGCTCTTGCTTTCACGCTCCCAACAGTTCCCTCTCTCCTTCCTTCCTTCCAAACCTCATTTCAGGTTCGTGAGCGCATCCCGGACCTAACAAGTCAGGTCGCCCAGCTGACATCAGCAAGTCAACAAGCTGACGCCAGCATCACCAGCAAAGATACCTCCTCCCCCTCCTCCTCCCCCTCCTCCTCCCCCTCGTCCTCTCCCTCTTCCTCCCCTCCTCGCGCATACACCGATGAAGGCTCATTGAGCCGACTAGACGATGACTGGGAGGAGTCAAGAGGGGGTGGTGATGCTGATGCTGAATCGGATGGGGATGTTACCATGGATGGTGGTGCTGATGCTGATGTTGATGCCGAAGCATCCACAACTGAGCGTTTGGAGCCTCCCATTGCCATTGTGCACATCAGTGCTCGGTGAGTCTGCTCGTGCATGCAGGGGTGAGTGAAGGAGATGCGAGTATGGATGCTGAAGCAGATAGTGCTCATGCTGATGCATCGACAGCTGAGTGGTTGGAGCCTCCCATTGCCATTGTGCACATCAGCGCACGGTGAGTCTTCGACAGTGATGGTGATGTGACCATGGATGGTGAAGCGGATGAGTCAGTGCTCGGTGAGTCAGTAACAGTGATGGTGATACCCACGCACAATCAGATCCTACCCTTGCTTCTCAGCTTTTGGTGAGTCTGCAGCGGAGGCATTGCTTGATTCCCCTGATCTCAACAGAGATAGAGAGGCCGCTTGTCTTCCTCCCTCCCTCACTCAACAGAGTGAGAAGGGAATGTACAGATTCCCCTGTGCGTTCTGGTGCCTCCGCTTGTCTCCCTCCCTCCCTCATTCCCCGTCTGCACGTTCCTTTCTCACTTTCCCCTTGATTTCACCAGGGACTGAGAGCGTTTAGGGGGCCTGCTGGCAGTGGTGCGATAGGCAGTGGAGCCACTCGTCCCTTCCTTCGATCCCCTCATTCCCCTTCCGAGCGTTTTCCTCTTGCTCCTCGTTCCCCCTCTTCCCTGCCCCCCTTGATTTCACCAGAGATGGAGAGGGCAGAGGGGGCCTGCTGACAGTGGTGCGAGAGGCAAGGGAGGCATTTGTCCCTCCCTTTGTTCCCCTCATACCCCTTCGGAGTGTTCTTATCTCCCTCTCCTCATGCTCTCTTCTCTCCCTTCATCCACCTTTTCCTTCTATTTCACCAGGGATGGGGAGGGCATAGAGAATCTGCTGACGGTGGTGCGAGAGGCAGTGGAGGCGGAGAGGAGGGGGGAGCTGCGGGGAGGGGAGGGGAGGCTGGGGGGAAGGGTGGGGGGGAGAGGAGGGATGGTGCGAAGGAGCAGCAGGGGGGTGCAGGGAGGGGTGGAGAGAGAGAAGGCACCTCAGTGGCAGCTGTGACTGTTTTTAGGGAAGTTGAATCTTGGGATGTTCGAGAAGGTTGTGTTACAGTGCAGGCAAGAGCGGAGCATTGTGTGGAATGATATCACGATATAGGTTGGTGGTGCTTGTTTTTATCGTGATACTATTGACGATTTTCTCTAACCTGCGGACTATGGAGCACTTTCGGTACTAGTTTTTCTCTGAACCCAACCCTGAGCGTCTCAAGATGTCTGCCATGTTGAGCATTCACCAATACCCCGTATCTCTCTCATCCTTTCATCGTTCCCATAGAAGTGTATTACCTCTTGCGCATTGAATTGTTTAGTATAATTAACTGTCCAACCGCGATAAGTTGCTAATGTCGAATCTCGCTCACTTCACCATCGTGGGCTGGGCTATTGCCGCGCTGGCTCTTTGTCAGAAAGCCCGAGTCTGACAGGGAGGAGGCATTTGCAAACTTGGCAATCTGTGTGTTGCCTGCAGTCGTGAACCCCTGAGAGAAACGTGCGACACACGATAGCGGGTCCAGGTCATGCGGCAGCGTGGTCGTTTGGCGCCAACAATCTGGGTTATGGAACTTCGTAGGGGCTCGAAGCTGAACTTTTTGAAAGGTTTGATGGAACTCAAAATACTGTCTGGACAAGTGAAGAGGCCCAAATGAGCACATAGCCAATCAAAACGTTGCAGTGACGTGTTCCATCAACAAGAAACGGCAGGTTTGTCGGCCATGAAGCACAAGGCGGCTCGAGATTACCTAAATTTGAGAATACCTGCGCCTTGAAAGCATCATCATGTTCATATCCTTCTTCGGCGAAAAATACAAACTTGCTCGCAACACCGTCGAAACTGACATCGACGGCACGAACGAAACTCCGATTCTGACCGCTCTGAATCGCCAACAAGTCGGAACGGACACATCATTTTCGCACATCGCACCCAGGTGGGTAACCTTGCTCGCGAATGCCCAATCAACCTTCTCTCTCCACATCGAACGACTCTCCACCATCCGCGGGAAGCGATCGGCCCATCCATTCCCTCAACCGCTTCCCTCGTCGCATGATGGCCACCTTCCGACTGCACCTACTTGACTCTCTGGAAATTGTTAAAACGATTTTCAAATCAACATCGCGCCTCGGTATTGTGATGTGTCTGTCGGTCAAGGGAGCTCAGCTCAAAATTTCGTAACCTACCCGCAAACCTTGAGAAGCGGCGTGACGCAGCCACGAATTTCACTTCATGGCAACCACAGGAAATGCCCTTCAGCCACTCAGCTCTGTCCTCTGACGTACCTTGCTTGGGTGGTTGATCAGACTGGGCCAATCGTCGCCGAGCCGCCTCACCGCCTTTAACGCCTGCGACAGCACGGCAGCAGCCACTTGGAAATCCCTCGAGGGTTCCAGTGGTTCGTCGTTCTGTTCCGCGAACCAACCTGACCGCCCGCACCAACCAACCACGTCACGTGTGCCCCTCCCATCAGGGGTTTTTATACGGGCCGTCACAAAACATTTAGGAGTTATCACGAGTAGTCAAATGTTCCGCCAAATCTATCACGGACAGTCACAAAATCCGCCAAATCTATCACGAACCATCACACGGGTATCACCCGCCGTCACTCAAAGGCACTAATTTCTATCACGGGTAGTCACACTCGAAACTTTGCTATCCCAGATGAGCCCAGTCATCATTTCGTTGACCCGCCCTGAAACACTGTACAGATTTAGGGACTTTATTTCGGGTTGCTCGTTTTTGTCCTGTATACGCGACCATTTTGGGTGCAAAGATACCTGGTTACGTTCGAATCGTCCTAACAAAACATAATGGTTCACAAATTTTATGAAAGAATTCGAACGCATATATTTATTGCTAGAGTTCACAATTCATTGAATCTGCCTAAATGTTTATCAAAATGTTAAACAATCCATAAATAGGAACGCAAGTTATATTCTTTTTTGTATGATACGCCTCATACCAAATCGGATTTGCACATATCAGAATTCTGGCAAAACTAGCGAAGGATTTTGGGTATCACAAGACCCAGTTTGTAAATGATAGAACATACTATATACAACCGTTAAATCACAAAATGACATGTGATTAAACATTCTGGAAGATACTTTAAATCGTTAACTCTAGCAATATATATATCTATGCGTTCGTTTGATATTGTGTGTTACGACGATTCGAACGTAACCAGGTATCTTTGCACCCAAAATGGTCGCGTATACAGGACAACGAGCAACCCGAAATAAAGTCCCTAAATCTGTACAGTGTTTCAGGGCGGGTCAACGAAATTATGACAGGGCTCATCTGGGATAGCAAAGTTTCAAGTGTGAGTACCCGTGATAGAAATTAGTGCCTTTGAGTGACGGCGGGTGATACCGGTGTGATGGTTCGTGATAGATTTGGCGGATTTTGTGACTGTCCGTGATAGATTTGGCGGAACACTTGACTACTCGTGATAACTCCTAAATGTTTTGTGACGGCCCGTATAAAAACCCTCCCATCAGTGCAGAGCTTCTCTTCACACGTCACCTCACCTCACTCAGGGGTTACCCAATCTTCTCCACGGTTTATAACCAGAACCAGCTATCACCGTAATGCACCAGAACTGACCGTGATATAATTCCTGCTAATCTCTATGTTGAACCCAACTTCTGAGTTTCCATTCCACGTCACACCTCTCCGGAGAGACTGTTCGACCAGCCAAAGCGGTTCCACTGTTCTCCAGTCCACTCAACCTGACTTTTCCCCCGTCAAGCCAAAAGCTCCTGTCTCGGCTTCTCCCAGGCCCGCGCGACCCGATCCGAGAACACCACACAACAAACATCGTTGTCTCATCGCGATGGCGAGAGTATTTGACCCTGCCGGATCTTTGGACTCTTCACTCTTAGCTGTTTGTTTCACACGCTTCGCAGTTTGGTAAATCCGACGCCTTGTAGGTTTAGAGTACGCTTTATCGAGAAGTCACCGTTCAAGATCTATCGACAGCTTATTTCTTGGCCTCGTCGAAATTCTTCTGACACCTGTAAACCTCGCGCGCCTTGATCACCAGAACCTTAGTAGACTTCACCTAGTAGTAATATCTCGTGACCTGTCTAGTCTCGCCTCGCCTAGGCTACCTATTCTGGTTTTCACGAACTCTTACTTCGCTTTGAGCATCTAACGGCTGTAACTTCGAGCATGACGTTCGTCGCATCCAACGCGTCTCAGTCACACCCTCGGACAGTCACTCTTGACACCTCTCATCATAAGCCTCGGACAATCACACGTACGGTTCGCGATTGGCCCGACAGGACCGGTGACGCTTCTCACCCTCTGTCTCGCGTCCCCGAAGCCCACGCCTGTAGAAACGGGTTCGCCACGTCAGTGCCAGCAAGGACCAGCCATACGCCTGCAAAGAACTCGTCAGCAGTAGACGTTGACGCTGCAAGTACGCGCCGCGTTAGCGATCAGTTTGCAGCAACTCCCGCGTCAGCCGCGGGACGAGTGTCTCAGTCTCAGTTGACTCCGATTACAGATTCCGTTCCTGCTGCAACGATGTCTTGGTTATCCTCGGAAGAAGCGCGTGGTACAGCAGGCTTAGCGCGACACTGGATAGACGCGAGCTCAGAGCCCAGATTCGCATCATATCAGCCTAATACGCACTCGGCCGCGATGCGTTTTTCAGATTTAGCTTGCGGTTCGTTGAAACGCCGGAGAGACGAGAGGCAAGACGGGCTTTCAGAGCTTGCCCAGCGTAAGGAACAGCGATACAGTCGCACGATGAACGGCAAGAGTAACGGCGTTTACGTCTCGTCTGCGGGTGCTGCAGAGCAGGCTCGGCTTCACGGTGCGGCTTTTCTTGAGTCGACTCAGAAATCGGTTTTTCCGGAGCTCCTGCCTGCGGCAGCCGCGGAAGCTGACGTGGCCTTCCCGTCGGGTCCCTCCGGTGTGGTGAGTCCTGTATGGGAGTCGAATACGGGACTCTTAGCAGGCTCTTTACTAGGAGGGTCCTTAACGGGCGCTTTGGCAGACTCGCCGGTTTTATACGAGGAGCGGTTCGTTGATCCGTTATGGAATCACGGACTGACGTTCTCGGTTTATCCGGCAGATTATAACGCGGACGGCAGACTTTTCGGGACGGCGGCTGCAGCAGGCGCGGGAGATGATGCGGGGGAAGACTATAACGGGGATGCGGTGGACGTGCCGCGAATCGACTCATCGGCGCATATCAACGATCTTATAGCGCAGTACTCGCGAGCAGACGTTGTCGCAGCGGCTGACGCGGCGGAAGCGACGGCAGCGGCGACTCTCGTTTTTCCTTCTGACGACGTGTCCGCATCTCGCGGATCCTCGTTCTCGTTCCGCCAGCCGAGATTTGTCGGCCCGTCTGGTTCCTCCAGCGCTGGCGCGTGGTTGGAAAAGTCGGCTGCGCGTTCCGACAGGTTCTCACTGTCGGGGCCGCGTTTGGCTTCTGATTCTCGTGATTGGATGGTCGCGGCGCCCTACGACCGCTTTAATCGGCTTCCGGGAGTCGCGGAGGAGGTTGACGAGCCGCGGGAATCAGGGCCCCAGGAAAGTGACACGTGGGAGGTGCTGCGGGCAGGCAAGCGTCTGCGGACGGGCAAGGAAGCGCAGCGGGCAGATTCACGGGCAGACGATACATCGCGGGCAGAGATCGAGACTCCAGGAGTGAAGGAGACGAAGCGTGACGCGGAGGGGATCGTAGCGGAAGAGAAGGAGAAGGACCCTGCTGGTGCAACGACAGGTGCTGCAGATGCAGAGACGAGCCTCGTGTCGGGAAGCCTTGCAGCGGGATTGCTCGCTGGTTGGGCCCACGCGACGGCTGTAGCGGAGTTGCCGGCTGCAGCAGACGCTGTTGCTGACTTGCCGGCTGTAGTGCTGGATGCCACTTCGACGCCTTATCACACGCCACGCATGACGCCGTATCACACGCCGGAGCGCCAGAATGGCGCTGACGTGGCGGGTCTCCAGCCGGCGCAGAGATTGGCGGGCGCGTGTGCTCCCAGCACAGGATCACCTGCTGAGGTGGCGGCTCCAGGGACAGGGATCGCTGGGCTGGGCTCGCTGGAGGACACGTGGCAGGTTTCTAGCAGCACAAAACGTGCCATGAGAGAGTGGCTTGAAACGGTAAAGGGAACGGGGGAAGCAGGGGAAGGGGATGGGGAGGGGGAAGGTGTGGGGGACGAGGGGGAAGGGGAAGACGGAACGGATCCCTTGGATTGGTTGCTTAAGGCGTCTCCTCCGCGCATCCAGGAGGGTGGTTTACCCAGTGAGGGTGTTTTACCCCAGGGTGGTGTTTCAACCCACTGGGGCGTTTTACCCACTTGGGTGCTGGAGGAGCTTGAGGGGGCAGGGGACGGGGAGGGAGCGGAAAAGCAGGACGTTTTTGAGGGCTATACCGAGGAGGCTTTTAGCGAGGATGAGGGTCTGCAGGTGCTGGTGCGAGCCGATTCTCACGAGAGCTCCACTGCTGCCCCATCTGTGTACAGTCCGTGGTCCAGAGTGGTGGAGAGCGGTGTTAGAGCTGCAGAGGAGGGGGAGACACAGGTAGTTAAGAAGCAGCAGCAGGAGGAGGGGAACGGGAAGCAACAGCAGCAGCAGCAGCAGCAGCAGGATGTGCCATCTGCATGGATGAACGGCTGTGATTCAATTGATCTGGGCCTTGAGTATGCAGCAGTGGAGGAGTCGGAAGGAGGAGGTGAGGAAGGGGAGGAGGAAACTGATGTGGCAACTGGAGGAGCTTCTGGGAAGGACTCCGTGTCGCATGCATGGAGGGAGGAGGATGAGCGGGGGGAGGAGGAGGGAGTGGAGGGGGTTGGAGAATCAGCGGCGTTGGGGAGTTTTGATGCAGATGATGCGGCAGATTATGAATCAGATGCTGCTGGTGATGGTGATGGTGATGGTTCTGAGGATGGTGCAGGGTGTGAACCTGAGGGATTCAGTTTTGATGAGAGCAGTTTTGTTCGAGAGATTGAGGCTCAGCTGTTGGCTTGAGCATCCAGCATTTTTGCAGCAACGAGGTGCTGGGGTGGGGTTGGTCGCTTGCTCCTTCCCCCTCCTCCTCATGCTGCTGCTGCTACTACTCAGTTGCTACTGCCCATTCCGCTCTGACTGATTCCAGTGCAATGGGTGGTGATTGGTGGTGGTGGTGGTGGTGCTTCTGTTGCTGTGCTATTGATCTGCTGACGTGACTCTTGTGGATGTGATACTAATGACTGCTGACTGTAGCAGTTCCTGTAGTCGGTGCGTGGCATGCATAGTTTAATGCAGCAGTATGATTTTTTGGTAGATTCTGTAGGCCAGTCTCGTGTACATAATGTAAAGACCGTTCATTCTTTTAATTTGTGTTCGGAGTGAGAGAACACACTACCCAACCTGTATCATCATGGAAAATGAGGGTTCGGGGGGGTACGGTGCTTGTGAATGTGACAGGTACATGTGATGCACATGCACTACACTGACCAGTAAAAACTAAAACTGAGAAAGACAGTAGGTTTCAATCAACTGAGGGATGCTGTAGCGCACCCAGCATCAGTACCATAAAGTGCACATACGGTAGTAATCCCTTAATCTCATTACAGCTACTTCACCATAGTCCACAGTACACAAGTGTACTCTGTTCTCATCATAGATCTAGGATTTGAAGTGTAGTTTGCTGTAACTATTTCTTCTCGTTCTAGTCTAAACCCGCACTGTAGTGCTATTCGCTTCACATCTGCTGCGCTTAACTCTATAGATAATTCGTCCGACCCATCAGGGGCTACTGTATCAGCGAAGTGGTACAGTAACGGGCCGAGATTCACCCAAACTCCGCCCGGCCGAAGCAGCTTATAAAGAATCTCGATGTAGGTTACAATGTTGTGTGCTGTATCAATAAAAAAGCACGTTGCTACACTGTCCCATGCACCTGTGGCAGTTCCAGGGATAGCAGAGATGGCAAGAGGAAGAGAAACGGGAGTATGGGGCATTGGTAGTGTCTGGGGCTTGGTAGTGTCTGGGGCATTGGTAGTGTCTGGGGCATTGGTAGTGTATGGGAAGGCAAGAATGGGAGGAAAGATCTTTGGCAGAATTCAGGGGCAAGATAGGGTGGGCTGTACGACCGGGGGACAAAACTGGGAGCCTAGGCAACGCAGGGGGAAAGAAACGTAAGAAATTGCTCAATGTTCCCACATACCACATTCACTCACTGGTACTTACCATGTCACCTAGCCGAGGCCATTGCCGATGGCAATCCAGGCTTAAACCTCTCAAGTGGATGGCTCCAAGCCTACCTCTTTGCTTCGCATGGTACCTAGTCTAACTCTCTGCTCTGCATGACTCCAAACCTACACTCCAAGCTTACCTTTCAGCTTCGGATGCCCCCAAGCCTACCTCTCTGCTCCGGGTGACTGTAAACCTCCACAAAATCGCCTGCGCACATGGAGAATCCATCGGTGATTCCCGCTAGGCTCGGCACCAGGTCCGGGACAAGCACAGGCCGAAGCTGATCCTCGTCGGTCAGGTTATTCGAGCTGGAGAGGATCCAGGGAAAGATGCAGAACTGCCCGGAAAACTCGGGGTAATTGAGGAGAAAACCCGAGCAGATGAGGATGTAATATGAAAAATCGTTCCCTTGGGTTTCGAATCCCAGGCGAGAAATTTCTAGGGCAAGTCGCCCTAAGCCTGCTCCTGGAACCAGGCAGGTAGGGGTGTGAGGATGGGACGGGTGAAGGGAATCCTGCTGCTGCCCCTGCTGTTCCTGCTGCTGCTTCTGCTGTTCCTGCTGCTGCCCCTGCTGTTCCTGCTGCTGCTTCTGCTGTTCCTGCTGCTGCCCCTGCTGTTCCTGCTGCTGCTTCTGCTGTTCCTGCTGCTGCCCCTGCTGTTCCTGCTGCTGCTTCTGCTGTTCCTGCTGCTTCTCATTCTGCTCTGAAGTTGCTTGTTGTCCTGGGCTGCTGTTCCCATCTGCTTTCCTCAGCTCAGGAAACTTCCTACGAAGCTCCCTCAAGATGGGAGCATAGCACTGTTCTCGCTCTGCCACGCCCTCCGCCGCCCAATCCCGAACTATGTTCCGAAGCACGCACCGAACCTTGTCCACGTCAGCAGGAGGCACGTCCGGAAGATCCCGAGGGAAGGGGAACCAGGGAGGGGGATACACCCGAGGCACATGGGTAAATAACCCGGGTACACCTGGGGATTGTTGACCCGGAGCTGCTGCAGGAGTTACACCCTGAGTTCCAACTCGGGTTACATCATGTGAAAGCTCGTGTGACAGATGCTGGGTTGCTGCTGCTGGAACCAATGCAGTTGGCCCTCCTTTTGTGAGCTGCTCTCCTCCCTCACGAGTAGCAGGAATAGAACTGTTGCTACGAGGCGACGTTTGAGTCGACTCAAAAGGCACAGTAGCGTTGTCATGCGTGCTGTTCTTCCCCTTTCCTCCACTCCCCTCATCACCGTTTTCAATCAGGTGCTCTTGACCGTCCATCCCCATGGACTCATCCATTACAGGAAGGTTCCTGACAGTTCCTGGCGCAGGTATAAGACCCCTGACTGAGAAATCTTCGTTACGCAGCTGCTGCTGCTGCTGCTGCTGTTGCTGCTGTTGTTGCTGCTCGGGGTGGTGCAGCTGCTGATAGTAATGATGCTGGTCAGAGTGTGAGTGAGCATGGGAATGGGCATGGTCATGCGTATGGGTGGGGTCATGCGTATGGGCATGGCTATGTTGACAAGCATCCCCATCATGACCCATGGAAGACTGAGGGGGAGGGAAAGGCGGCTCAAACGCTTGCAGCATTTCTGTGAGAAAGCGGGCATTGTGGGCTATACGCCTGGAGGGAGGGGGGGAGGGGTAGGGGAGGTAAGGAGGGCTGTGAGTGAGGGGGATGCAAAGGCTCAAACGCTTGCTTGCACCATGTCCGTGAGGAAGCGGGCATTGTGGGCAATGCTGGTGCGACTTTTGAGAATTCTCAAAAGTCACACCATTTCCGTGAAGAAGTGGGCATTGTGGGCAATGCTGGTGCGACTTTTGAGAATTCTCAAAAGTCACACCATTTCCGTGAAGAAGCGGGCATTGTGGGCTATGCGCCTGGAGGGAAGAGGGTGAGGAAAAAGAGGGATGAGTTGATGTGCATAAGTATGTTCAGAGTTATGCTGAAAGGGAGACTGGAGTACTTGCAGCATTTCCGTGAAAAAGCGGGAATTGTGTGCAATGCGCCTGGAGGGAGGGTTGGAGGGGGGCGAGGAGGGATAGACTGGCAGAAGCATTATGCTAAGTGGGCAAGCGAGAAGTGAACAGGTAAGACAAAGGATGGGATGGGCGAGAGCATGTTAAAAGAGCGGAATAACGTGGTACTACTGGGGAGACATGGGAATGCATGGATGTGGAATAACAGCACTGGCAGCACTGTGCGCAATGGGAATATGTGCAGCAGCATGCGCCCCCCCTCTCTCCCCCCTCCCCCCGTTGCAGGGATTGTTTTTGAATTCTCAGGGATTTTTTTAGAATTCTAAAAAAAAATCCCTGGATGTGGAATAACGGCACTGGCAGCAATGTGCGCAATGGGAATATGTGCAGCAGCATGTACCCCCCTCTTCCCCCCCTCCCCGCCCCTCCCCCCTCCGTCCCTCCAACCCTGTCTCACTCACAGCAGTCCCTTAGCGACCCGAGCAGCACCGGAGTTCAATCCACTCACATGTCCATGGAGGCATACTTGGCTGGCAGGTGTGACAGGAGCTGGTTTTTGAGATTTCTCAAAAACTGACCTGAGCAGCACCGGAGTTCAATCCACTCACATGTCCATGGAGGTGTATTTGGTTGGAAGGTGCGACAGCAGAGCTTGTGTGACCGGCCCCCTCTCTCCCGTCCCTCCTCCTCCTAACCCCTTTCCTCTCACAGCATCACGCTGGTGACCCAAGCAGCACCAAAAGTGAATCCACTCACATGCGAATGGAGGCATACTTGTCTGGCAGGTGCGACAGCAGAGCCTGCAGCACAGCAAACAGAGAGAATCGAGTGTCACTTTAGACATTAGACACTGAAGCATGGAAATATTGCCATAGGGTGAAATTACCTAAGGAGAGTGTAAGGGGGTGTGAGAAATGCATGAAACTATGGGCAAAGAAGGGAGAGTGAGGGGAGAGTGTCAGGAGCGGTGTGACGGGAGAGCGAGAGAAGTGAGTGAGAAGAGGGAAGACGATGGGGAGGACGAGCGAATGAAAAGGAACACAGCATAAGGCGGAGTGGGAAAGAGAGGCATCAACGAATCCCCACCTGCTGACGTGGCGGCAGCCTGGCATAGGCTCGCTCCCACCGCTGCACTGTCCACTCAGCAGCAAAGGGGTAGCTGCGAAGGGGGGAGTGGAGTGATAAGGAAAGCAGGGAGCAATGTTCTCACATAGAATCAGGCATAGGCTTGCACCCACTGTTGCACCATCCACTCAACAGCAAGGGGGTAGCTGCGAGGAGGGGAAGACACGGTAAGCAGGGAGCAATGTTCTGACATAGAATCAGGCATAGGCTTGCACCCACTGTTGCACCATCCACTCAGCAGCAAAGAGATAGTTGCGAAGGGGGGCAAGATACGCAAAGCAGGGAGAAATGTTCTGACGTAGAATCAGGCATAGGATTGCTTGCTCCCACCGTTGCACCGTCCACTCAGCAGAGCTCAACTCTGTACCCGCAGGATCCAAAATTAATCCCATGACTGGATCTGATTCATAAGATTACTGTACTTCAATGATTGACTCATGAATGCACGGAAAGAAGTCAGATTATAAAATCGCTAAATGGGTAATCGCGGGTGATTGCATCACATGTGCAGGGATTTCATCTCTCCCCTCGCGTCCACTATTCCCATCCTCTCCTGTACCCGTTATTGCAACAGTCACATGATCACTTATTTCATATACGCAGCGATCACGCGGGAAAGGGAGTTTATCTCCTCCTCGGTGTCCAGCTGAATCCACTGATGCACCCGTTATTGCATGCACCAATAAAGGCATCACATAATCACTCACTTCAAATAAGCAGCGATCACGCGGGACAGAGATTTCATCTCTTCCTCTGTGTCCAGTTTCGTACACGTGGCGCCGTCGCCCTCGTCCGCATCCAACGAGACTCCGTCACGTGGATCCGTGATTTCAGCCGCGACATGCGGGAGCGCGTGCGCACCGTCTGCCGTTCCTCCCACACCCGACAGCGGACCTCCCATTTCAGCACTCCCCACAACTCCCGCTGGATTCCTCCTCACTGAATGGTCGCCGTCTGAACCCTCGGGTTCCGCAGTACTCTCCGCGACAGGCATGCCGAAAAAGCTGTACGGCTTGACTAGACTAAAAAATGTCAAATTAAATGCATAGCGCAACGGTTGAATGCCTGGTAGGTACGGTAATGATACTTGCTGGTGAAACTAGTGAACGGGACGGAAAGAAAGGATGAGGAGTGTGGGGTCCTGCAATTGCAGCAGTTTGGATGAGCACTTGGATAGAAAAAATCCATTTGGACAGTAGCAAGCTGGTGATCAACAAGTGTGGAGAGAATTCTGGTTCTCAAACATATGAAAAGTCTAAAAATTCAGTAAAAATGACGCAAAAATAAACAGGGCCCGTAAAATTATGACAGTTTCAAGAGAACTGAAATACCCAAAAGGTGCATTCTATCTCTAGGATATCAAACGGTAGTACATTCAGCGTTATGTGCTTGTGAGGACTACTGAAACGAGAATAACCCGCAAGATTCTCAACAATCGACAACAACGGAACGGCATTCCCCAATCATTTTCGGCATGCTCCATTGGTCATAAAATGGATCAGCATCCGTCACAACCAATCCGAACCAGCCTGACCTTGCTGCCCTGACCCTCTGAGTGGACAACGCCGTTTGCCAGGGCCTGACGTTTCGTGTGGGTAGGAGGACCTGCGGGAAGCATGAGGTCCTGCTCGTTTGATTTCGGTTCGGAACGGTTTGTCAGTGTACAACTCGTTTGTACTCCATGACCTTCCCCCTTCCACAACCCAATCGCTCGCGTCAAAATTCAAGAATAAGTACCGACCGCGCACCACATTTTTTCAAGCTCAGCAGTTTCTATCGCTAATCTTCACTTCCATAACTTCATTTGAACATCATGGCTGCCCTCGCCAACGCTGCCGTGCTCCCCTCCACCTTCGTCGGCCAGAGCGCTGAGCTCGCCGCCAAGGTGAACAATGTCGAGGCCCGCGTCACCATGAGGAAGACCGCTAAGGCCTCCTCCAGCAGCGCGTTCTATGGCCCCGACCGCAACCTGTTCCTGGGCCCCTTCAGTTCCCCCCCGTCGTACCTCACCGGCGAGTACCCCGGCGACTACGGCTGGGACACCGCGGGTCTGTCCGCTGACCCCGAGACCTTCGCCAAGAACCGCGAGCTGGAGGTGATCCACGCCCGGTGGGCTCTTCTCGGTGCGCTCGGCTGCCTCACCCCCGAGCTCCTCGCCGGCAACGGCGTGAACTTCGGCGAGGCCGTGTGGTTCAAGGCCGGCGCTCAGATCTTCTCCGAGGGTGGCCTTGACTACCTCGGCAACCCCAGCCTGATCCACGCGCAGTCCATCCTGGCCATCTGGGCCACCCAGGTCATCTTGATGGGTGCCGTTGAGAGCTACCGCGTGGGTGGCCTCGAGGGCTTCCAAGAGGTTGAGGACCCCCTGTACCCCGGCGGTGCATTCGACCCCCTGGGTCTTGCTGACGATCCCGACGCTCTTGCTGAGCTGAAGGTGAAGGAGCTGAAGAACGGCCGCCTCGCCATGGTGTCCATGTTTGGCTTCTTCGTCCAGGCTATTGTTACCGGCAAGGGTCCCCTTGAGAACCTGTCCGACCACCTGGCTGACCCCACCGTGAACAATGCGTGGGCCTATGCCACCAACTTCACCCCCGGTGCTTAAATTAGTACCTTCTTGTACATTCTATATTAATCTAAATCGAACTTAGTTTTATTGCTTTTACTATCTGCCCAAGCTGCTCAAACCCGAATATCCTCAGTCGTCGATTTTCCCACTCTGGAAGTGGCATGCTTCTTCCACCACTACCTGGCTGCAACGTTATAACGAATTGATAACGGCTGGTTTTTTACGTTTTAGAAATGACGCGAGATACAAACAGAACGAACCTTCACTACTTCAATATATGTCAACCGAATGCGCGGGCAAATGGAAAGGAAAGATGATTAGCGGCGTTGATCAACACTTAAGAGTCAGGCAACGAGGAAAAATGAGTTCCAACTACCCTTCCGTCTGCACCAGCATCAGTTCGACTAGTCCATTGCTGAGTTAGTTGCCTGCTCGCAAGTACTGTAACGATCAGCAACTCACCAACCTTTCCGCAAGACTTAAAAACTTGTAATATGTGTTCAGGTGCCAACTCTGACGATGTGCTTTCATTGTGACGGACAAGAATGCCTCGCCGTGACGTTAGGTGTTGGTGTTCAAGCTTCAATAATCGTGGGATAACGGTGCTGGCACATGAATGTGCCGCAGAAAACAATTGCGCGATTGCTAGCGCAACTATTTTGGCTTCACGCGATGGTTTCGGTGAAGGTTGACAACAGACCGTCCGAATCCTCTTGACAACAAACTATCCGTGAAAAGCTCTCAGCAATCAGCCTCACCGCAACTAATACAGTACCACCACGCCCAATCCCAGATTACCTCATCCCACCAGTCAGCTTGCCTCACCACCACGCTCGTCGCATGCACACCGCCCAAGCCTCGCAAACCGACTTCGTGAAGTTGCACTCGCACAGTGTTACCAGCAGAGAGATTCTGATCTGAAGTGGTGGAACTTTGCTAGGCGACACGCAAGCTTCGTGTGGTCCACACACATTTCCCCCTAGCTTCTCATCCAATCAGATTGCACGCCACGTCACAGAGACCTGATTACCACATTTTTTAAAACATCGTGATTTCGTGGCGGTCGCAACCTTCATCGCACAACCGCTCCAAACAAGCGAAACCACTCTGGTGCAACCACACCGACACCACACACAAAACACCATCAGGTGGTAACCAGGGCCCTCGCCATTGGCTGAGCCCTGATTGCGTGGATTCTGGCTGTGGGGAAAACGAGATCCCCGAGCGTCGGAAGCCTGGGAAAAACGCGGTTCGTACTCAAAAATGGCATCCAGTCAGAACGCTCCTAGGCACATCCGTAATTCCATCCAACCAGTTCCCCCCACACGCAATTTTCATTCATATTTCATCAGAACTTCAGCAATCAGCAGAAGCAGAAGCTCGTTTCCAGTTTCCCTTATTTCAGCTCTCAAACAGCTTCCCTTCCCAGCCCAGACATCCATCATGGCTGCCCTCGCCAACGCCGCCGTGCTCCCCTCCACCTTCGTCGGCCAGAGCGCTGAGCTCGCCGCCAAGGTGAACAATGTCGAGGCTCGCGTCACCATGAGGAAGACCGCTAAGGCCTCCTCCAGCAGCGCCTTTTACGGCCCCGACCGCAACCTGTTCCTGGGCCCCTTCAGCTCCCCCCCGTCGTACCTCACCGGCGAGTACCCCGGTGACTACGGCTGGGACACCGCTGGTCTGTCCGCTGACCCCGAGACCTTCGCCAAGAACCGCGAGCTTGAGGTAAGCCTACCGGAATTGCCTCGAACAGCACAAATGAGGCACATTTCGCATGTAAGAACTTGAACCAATCCTTTTAAATGTCTCAAAACAAAATCTAGCAATTTTTTCGATATTCTCTCACCGTCGATGCGTTACAACGCTCACTGTTTCAAGGTTCTGACGGAATCAACCATTCTCTCCCCTGTTTCCTCGAATCTTCAGGTCATCCACGCTCGGTGGGCTCTCCTCGGTGCCCTGGGCTGCCTCACCCCCGAGCTGCTCGCTGGCAACGGCGTGAACTTCGGCGAGGCCGTGTGGTTCAAGGCCGGCGCTCAGATCTTCTCGGAGGGTGGCCTTGACTACCTGGGCAACCCCAGCCTGATCCACGCGCAGTCCATCCTGGCCATCTGGGCCACCCAGGTCATCCTGATGGGTGCCGTTGAGAGCTACCGCGTGGGTGGCCTCGAGGGCTTCCAAGAGGTTGAGGACCCCCTGTACCCCGGCGGTGCCTTCGACCCCCTTGGTCTGGCCGACGATCCCGACGCTCTCGCTGAGCTGAAGGTGAAGGAGCTGAAGAACGGCCGCCTCGCCATGGTGTCGATGTTCGGTTTCTTCGTCCAGGCCATCGTCACCGGCAAGGGTCCCCTTGAGAACCTGTCCGACCACCTGGCTGACCCCACTGTGAACAATGCGTGGGCCTACGCCACTAACTTCACCCCCGGTGCTTAAACAAATGCCTCTTTTCTGTACATTTTTTCTCCTATTATACATTAGTTTTCTTACCATCCACTCTCAAAACAGAGAATCTTTTCGATGATTGCCCAAGCTGCTCAAATCTGAATACCGCCACAGATTTTGATCTTCACACTCTGGCAGTGGCATGCTTCTTTCCCTACTACCTGGCTAGAACGTTTGAACGAATTGACGACAGAAGATAAGTTTCTAAGGGCGTGCCACTACTCAAATATATGAATGCGCGGGAAAATGAGAAGGAAACTCGATCAGCGCCGTCAGTTAAACTTGGAATTCAGGCAAAGAGGAAAAATAAGTTTCCAACTACCATCCCCTCTGCACCTGCATTGTTTCGTCTAGTTCATTGCTGAGCTGGTTGCCTGCTCGCAAGTGCTGTAACGATCAGTTCAAGCATGCCCGTAATTCACCGCCCTGAAACGATCAGCAACACACCAATAAAATTTGATCAGGAGCCTCTGCACCTCTGCACCTCTTCACCTGCACTGTGACGATGTGCTTTCATGGCGGTTGACAAGAATGCCTCGCTGTCACGTTTGATGTTGCTTGCATATGATTGCGCGATTGCTAGCGAAACCATTTTGGCTTCACGCCATAGGTTTGCCTTGACAACGATTGTGCTGGGCTTGTTCCAGTGAACAAACAAACCATTCGTGAAATGCTCTCAGCAATCAGCCTCACCGCAACTAATACAGTACCACCACGCCCCATCCCAGCTAACCTCATCCCACGAGTCAGCTTGCCTCACCAGCATTCTCGTCGCATGCACGTCTCTGATGTGAACCGCCCAAGCCTCGCCAAACGATTTCGTGAAGTTGCACTCGCACAGTGTTACCAGCAGAGGATTCTGAAGTGCTGGAACTTCGCCAGGCGACACGTAATTTTGTGTGGTCCACACACCTTTTCCCCTTTCTATTCTCCTCCAATCATATTGCACACCACGTCACAGGAACCTGATTACCACATTTTTGAAAACATCGTGTTTCCGTGGCGTTCGCAACATCAGCGAACTCCACACCTTCATCGCACAACCACTGGAAAACAAGCAAAACCACTCTGGTGCAACCACACCGACACCACACACAAAACACCATCAATTGGTAACCAGAACCCTCGCCATTGGCTGAACCCTGATTGCGTGGATTCTGGGTGTGGGGAAAACGAGATCCCCGAGCGTCGGAAACTTGGGAACAACGCGGTTCGTTCTCAAATGGCATCCAGTCAGACGCTCCAAGGCACATCCGTAATTCCATCCAACCAGTTCCCCCCACACGCAATTTTCATTAATAAATCATCAGAATCTTAGCAATCAGCAGAAGCAGAAGCTCGTTTCCAGTCTCCTGTATATCAGCTCTCAAACAGCTTCCCTTCCCAGCCCGGACATCCATCATGGCTGCTCTTGCCAACGCCGCTGTGCTCCCCTCCACCTTCGTCGGCCAGAGTGCTGAGCTCGCCGCCAAGGTCAACAATGTCGAGGCCCGCGTCACCATGAGGAAGACCGCCAAGGCGGCTTCCAGCAGCGCCTTTTACGGCCCCGACCGCAACCTGTTCCTGGGCCCCTTCAGCTCCCCTCCGTCTTACCTGACCGGCGAGTACCCCGGTGACTACGGCTGGGACACCGCGGGTCTCTCCGCTGACCCCGAGACCTTCGCCAAGAACCGGGAGCTTGAGGTAAGCCTAGCGGAATTGCTGGCAACACATATGAGAAACCTTTCGTAAAAAGAAATAACGTCGCTCAAAGAACCAACTGCTTTGAATGCGTCATCTTCTTATGACATACTCTGCTTAGCAACGTTCGCTGTTTCAAGTTTCTGACTAAATTCAATGTTCTTTCCCCCGCTCATCAATCCTTCAGGTCATCCACGCTCGCTGGGCTCTGCTCGGCGCGCTCGGCTGCCTGACCCCCGAGCTCCTCGCTGGCAACGGCGTGAACTTCGGCGAGGCCGTGTGGTTCAAGGCCGGAGCTCAAATCTTCTCCGAGGGTGGCCTTGACTACCTGGGCAACCCCAGCCTCATCCACGCGCAGTCCATCCTGGCCATCTGGGCCACCCAGGTCATCCTCATGGGAGCCGTCGAGAGCTACCGCGTGGGTGGCCTCGAGGGCTTCCAAGAGGTTGAGGACCCCCTGTACCCCGGCGGTGCCTTCGACCCCCTGGGTCTTGCTGACGATCCCGATGCTCTTGCCGAGCTGAAGGTGAAGGAGCTGAAGAACGGCCGCCTCGCCATGGTGTCGATGTTCGGTTTCTTCGTCCAGGCCATCGTCACCGGCAAGGGTCCCCTTGAGAACCTGTCCGACCACCTGGCTGACCCCACCGTGAACAACGCGTGGGCCTATGCTACCAACTTCACCCCCGGTGCTTAAAATAGTACCTTGTATATTTTTATATTATTATTAATGGAACATAGTTTAATTGCTTTACTATCTGCCTCACGTCCGAATCTGTACCCCCAACGAACATTCAACAATGTTCATTTGCCTGCCGAGCTACTCGTGAGTCTGGAAGTGTGCAGGAAATTCACTTGATTATACCGTTGTGAGGTTGTTGGAAAGCGGGTCAAGCAGCAGTTGATGCGCCTCGCTTTCCCAGTTACAAAGCCTCTGTGGGTGACGTTTACAATGTGTTGCATCTTGCATTGACAAATGCATACTATCTATTACGGGTAGGAGTAGATTCATGAGAATATACGCAGACAGCTTCAAATGGTGAAGCTTGTGCCTCAGGCGTTGGAAACTGATATTTATTTCTACTATCGATCCTTCATCACCTGAGTGGATTCAGGACCGACTAGAAAAAAGTGTAAGAACTGGTCGCATTGCAACACAGCCCCCCTGAAGCGAACACAAACACACCCAACCCTTCCGCAATTGTGCGTGTTGTCATGTCCAGATGTGGGATGTGAAAGGCTCTCGTGGCTTTTGCAAAAATGCTTAGGGCGCGTAACCATTTTGCATTTTACGATTTTGACGGACAGTCCGCTTAAAACGAAGTGGACGGTCCACCTATCGAGAACGGGACCGTCCGACTGACTTTTTGCAACTTCGGACTGTCCGAAGACAGTTGTGACACTTTTTTCATAATGTACAGTTTCGCGATCACTGTACAAGCGTTACGCAATTCTCTCAAGCTCGCAAATGTCGTTATGTTTATGGGTTGTCTCTGGTTGGTCAATGTCGATTCGTGAAGTAGCCTCGTACGTTTTTGTTGGTGGACGAGGTGACTCGACAGTTTTTGCGTCGCCCTCCAATCGTGTGCAAGGACTGTCGGACAGTCCGTTTGGGATTCGGACCGTCCACGGTTCAGATTTCGGACCGTTGAAGTGGGAAAAAGTGTCACTACAGTCCGTTTTGTTGACGATGTCGCCAACACCTTAGCGAACATAATTACGACATTGTGCGAAGCTTGTTACCGTTTCGCTACCCAGACGGTCCACGGTTCGAACCGTCGGGTGCAAAATGGTTACGCGCCCTTAGCTGCGTGACGCTCAGATTAGCACAGCTCTCACCATGGGAGACCGAGTGGACATGTGCAAGTGCCTCGGAAAACAGTTCACAAATTTCTGTTCCTTGAACACGTTGGGCTTCCGCTGATAACCGCATCACCCCGACCCATCCCAGCTCGCATCATGTCACCACGCACCACCACATATCGCCTCATCCCACCTTGCCCCGCACCACCCTGCGGCCTGGAAGACACACCAGCCCGATCGAAATTCGACCCAACGCAACGCAATTGGTTGAGCGTTTGGCGTGGTTTGGCGGCGCTCTTCGTACAGTCCAGCTGGCTCAACAATTATCGTATGGTCCACTCCACACCTCCGTAACTCTTCGCCACATTTTCGTGTGGTCCACTCCACGCCTCCGAAACTCTTCGCCACATTTTCGTGTGCTCCACGCAAACAAGCGTCTTCCAATCAGATTCGATGCCACGTCACAGATAAAATATCATCAATTTCCTCAGAAGCCTAGTGTTTCCCCGTGTTCGGCAAAATGAACGAAACCACACAATCCCTGCCACACAAGCATTCCACACCAACGCCACACCCGAAACGGCATCAACTGGTTACCAGCCAGAGGCTTCGTCATTGACTGAGGAGATCTCCGAGCGTCGGAACTCGCAAATAACGCGGTCTGTAATCAGATGGCATCCAATCAGAACGCACCTAGCCCCAATCCCTGATTGCTTCCAACCATTTCCTCCGCGAACACCTCTGGTTCAAAGGTCGCCTGGGATTCAACAATCAGCAGAAACAGTAGCTCAGTTCCAGTCTCTCATAGCAACAATCAGCTTCCCTTCCCAGCTCAGACACACAAAATGGCTGCTCTCGCCAACGCTGCCGTGCTCCCCTCCACCTTCGTCGGCCAGAGCTCTGAGCTCGCCGCCAAGGTCAACAATGTCGAGGCCCGCGTCACCATGAGGAAGACCGCCAAGGCGGCTTCCAGCAGCGCCTTCTACGGCCCCGACCGCAACCTGTTCCTGGGCCCCTTCAGCTCCCCCCCGTCTTACCTGACCGGCGAGTACCCCGGTGACTACGGCTGGGACACCGCCGGTCTGTCCGCTGACCCCGAGACTTTCGCCAAGAACCGCGAGCTGGAGGTGATCCACGCTCGCTGGGCTCTTCTCGGTGCTCTCGGCTGCCTCACCCCCGAGCTCCTCGCCGGCAACGGCGTGAACTTCGGTGAGGCCGTGTGGTTCAAGGCCGGCGCTCAGATCTTCTCGGAGGGTGGCCTTGACTACCTCGGCAACCCGAGCCTGATCCACGCCCAGTCCATCCTGGCCATCTGGGCCACCCAGGTCATCCTGATGGGTGCCGTTGAGAGCTACCGCGTGGGTGGCCTCGAGGGCTTCCAAGAGGTTGAGGACCCCCTGTACCCCGGCGGTGCCTTCGACCCTCTTGGTCTGGCCGACGACCCCGATGCTCTCGCTGAGCTGAAGGTGAAGGAGCTGAAGAACGGCCGCCTCGCCATGGTGTCGATGTTCGGCTTCTTCGTCCAGGCTATCGTCACCGGCAAGGGCCCCCTTGAGAACCTGTCCGACCACCTGGCTGACCCCACCGTGAACAACGCATGGGCCTATGCCACCAACTTCACCCCCGGTGCTTAAGCGCTCGATTTTCTTATGAAAAATATCTGTACATTTTATTCAAATACTAAATATTTTAAAATTCCCCCGACCGTTCTTTCTGAAACGAACCTATGATGTGTCCCGCTGGACAAACGGACGTAATGATGCTAAATATGATTGTTCAAATCATCCGTAAACCGAACTCTAGTCAGACGCGTCCGTATTATCTTCACGCGTAACTGGTTTCGTTAGAACGTGATGCTACTAGGCAATTGTTTAGAGGTTGTGTGTTCGCTTTGTCATTCCTGCTGTTCCCATGTCAGTCAAACGAGTGTCCGCTGTCCAATTTAGCAATTGTAAGACTAGCCTCCGTATGCTCTTCTGTCAAGGTTTTGCTTCACCGTCACTTATCTGTCCATTTTAGTTTTTGGCCGTCACGTGGCAGAAAGAGCTGTTGGAAGCTTAGTAAATCTGTGCGAGAGTATGGGCAAAATAAAAAATCCTGTGCACCGCATATGATTCGATGTTCCCACCGTCCAGGTATGAAGCAGGATGTTGACATTGTCTACATTCTCGCTGTTAGTTGTGTCTTGAGGCGTGTGCACGGAATGGTGCTCAGATCGCTTTGGTAAGGATAAGTTTTGAATCAGTGGACCGATTCATTGCATTACACAGTAAAGTAATAATTACAGGAATTTATTAACAGAACGGCGAATATCCGCTTCATGGGGTGAAGATCTCGGCGTACACCCAGGCGTTGTTCACGGTGGGATCAGCCAGGTGCTCAGAAAGGTTCTCAAGGGGACCCTTTCCAGTGATGATAGCCTGAACAAAGAACCCAAACATCGACACCATGGCGAGGCGGCCGTTCTTCAGCTCCTTCACCTTCAGCTCAGCAAGAGCATCGGGATCGTCAGCAAGGCCCAGGGGGTCGAAGGCACCGCCGGGGTACAGGGGGTCCTCAACCTCTTGGAAGCCCTCGAGGCCACCCACGCGGTAGCTCTCAACGGCACCCATCAGGATGACCTGGGTGGCCCAGATGGCCAGGATGGACTGCGCGTGGATCAGGCTGGGGTTGCCCAGGTAGTCAAGGCCACCCTCGGAGAAGATCTGAGCGCCGGCCTTGAACCACACGGCCTCGCCGAAGTTCACGCCGTTGCCGGCGAGGAGCTCGGGGGTGAGGCAGCCGAGCGCGCCGAGCATGGCCCAGCGAGCGTGGATGACCTGAAGGTAACAAGAGACCATGGTAGACAGGAAGTGAGAGATTGTTACAGGATCTTGTGAGAAAGTATTCTTTAGAAAGTTGTTATTTCGCACGATGTGTACCTAAACTCCGCGGGAATGTATTCAATTGTGACATTTGAGAATTGCAATGCTTACCTCAAGCTCACGGTTCTTGGCGAATGTCTCAGGGTCGGAGGACAGACCAGCGGTATCCCAGCCGTAGTCGCCGGGGTACTCGCCGGTGAGGTACGACGGGGGGGAGGTGAAGGGGCCCAGGAACAGGTTGCGGTCGGGGCCGTAGAAGGCGCTGCTGGAAGCCGCCTTGGCGGTCTTCCTCATCGTCACGCGAGCCTCGACATTGTTGACCTTGGCGGCGAGCTCAGCGCTCTGGCCGACGAAGGTGGAGGGGAGCACGGCAGCGTTAGCGAGAGCGGCCATGGTTTCTGAGCGGTGTCAAATTCGTTGGGAAGCAAGAAATGTGAAGAAGTGCAGCTCAAAGAATTCGACTTGCTTCGAATGGAAAATGGAGCTGCTTTTTGTACTTCGAGAGAGCTGTTGTGGGGGGAGCTGAAGCACAGAAACTTCAGTAGGGCGGAGAAGTGCGGGAGGGATTTACTGTATGGGGGCAAAAGGGGGACGGGAGGGGAGGGTTGCTTGGTTGTGGGTTGGGGGGAGGGGAGGAACGGACATGAAGGGGAAGCGGAGTGGAAGTGGTCCCGCTAGGCGCCGGGAACGAGGGTCTGGCAGAGAATTTCGGTTGATAAAGGTGAATAGATAGAAACGACGATCCGGTAGGATTTGAGGGTTTCTTAAGTGGTGATTACAGCGCGCCAATTGTCGGGGAAGGTGGCCAAGGAAATCTCCTGTGTTGGAAGGAAGAATCGCAGCGCGCCAGTGCCTCTGCTTTGCGAAACTGGCTGCGAAAGTGCTGGATGCATCAGGGAGAATTACGTCTTCCAATCACAGCACACCGCCATACGCATCTCTCGCAGCGAGTGGTCAAACTCGTCAGCCTGAGTTGTCGGTTCCATGGCCGTCGTCTGACATGTGTTGAAGATGCCGCGTGTCAAGCACTCCGCATTGGTTTTATTAAAAAAGAAATGTTCTAAGACTTCTCACATGTATTGCAATCACAGAAAGCTTATCATAATGTTTGATTCACCTTGAGGTCACTAGTGCCTAAGAATCTTCATGATCTACACTAGTGATGCACCCGATTAAAAACAACTTGCTCTATACATGAAGGCATCGAAGATCAATGAATGAACTCATTACTCTACGCTACCAGAGAATGCAGGACACTAGTTTGTATGGTATTTTGAATTACAGTAGCAGGCGTTTCTCAATTCATTGGCAGGCCAAATCACTAGCTCCCATTGCATCTAGTTAGTAGTAGCAGCATCTGCCAATGGGTGTGCATACAAGGATCCTTCCAGCCCTTATCTTGCATCAAATTACAATCCCTTAGCAGCCATTAGCTGTTTAGGACGCTCAAGCATCTGGCCTCTCATTGCTACTTTCCCTGTGCATCTGAACCGCCTATAGCGCCACTGCACACTCCATGCGCCTTCCCACCTGTTGAGTTGACTCCTGTGCATCTGCCTTTCCCTGTCAACCCGCCTTTCCCTCTCAACCTGCTTTTCCCTGTCAACCTGCTTTTCTCTGTCAACCTGCTTTTCTCTGTCAACCTGCTTCTCTCTGTCAACCTGCTTTTCTCTGTCAACCTGCTTTTCCCTGTCAACCTGACTCTCCCCCAATGTCTACCTTTCCCTCTCAACCTGCCTTTCCCTCTGAGACTATCTGTCCCTGCCAGTCTCCCTTTCCCTGTGTGTGTACCTTTCCCTCTCAACCTGCCTTTTCCTGTACCTCTACCTTTCCCTGTCAAACTGCCTTTCCCTGTGTGTATACCTTTCCCTGTCAACCTGCCTTTCCCCGTGCATCTGCACAGCCTCTAACGCCACTGCCCACTCCTCCATGCTCCTCCCTTTGCGTTGAGACTCACAAGACATTCTCTCTCGTCTGCCATTCCCCCCTGCGTCTGTGTATTCCTGTCAACCTGCCTTTCCCTCTCCATCTACCTTTCCCTCTGCATCTGTGCAGCCTCTAGTGCCACTGCCCACTCCTCCATGCTCCTCCCCTCCACTGTCACCCATGGGATGATCCCAAGGGCCGGCTGCTTCCACCAATGGGAGACCTGCAGTATCAGAATGAAGGGGAAGGGGGCACACGAAACATCTTCTAAGTTTGTCGAACACACGGAATGATCCCAAGGGCCGGCTGCTTCCACAGATGAGATACCCGCATGATCAGAACGACGGGAGTGAGGGTGCAGGGAAGTTTTTGTGTGTTCTGAGAGGCGAATCACTCACCAGGTGAGAGGCGTCGTCGTGGGTGCGAGACACGAGCTGCCTTGACTTCCCCTGTAGCTGTGCCAGCTGCGGCAGCCACTCCGACAAGCTATCAGGTGTGTTTTGGACACAGCAAGCAGTTGAATGCACTCACCAGGTAGGTCAGACGCGTCGTGGGTGCGAGACACGAGCTGCCTTGACTGCCCCTGTAGCTGTGCCAGCTGCGGCAGCCACTCCGACAAGCTATCAGGTGTGTTTTAGACACAGCAAGCAGTTGAATGCACTCACCAGGTAGGTCAGACGCGTCGTGGGTGCGAGACACGAGCTGCCTTGACTGCCCCCCTGTAGCTGTGCCAGCTGCGGCAGCCACTCTGACAAGCTATCAGGTGTGTTTTAGACACAGCAAGCAGTTGAATGCACTCACCAGGTAGGTCAGACGCGTCGTGGGTGCGAGACACGAGCTGCCTTGATCTGCCCCTGCAGCTGTGCCAGCTGAAGCAACCATAGTAACAGCCCTTCCCTTGCCACATGCTATAAGGTGAGTTCCAGGGACAGAGAGTAGTTGAATCACTCACCAGTTCAGAGGCGTCATGAGTGCATGAGACGAGTTGCCTTGACTGCCCCTTAAGCTGTGCCAGCCGTGGCAGCTGAGGCAGCTCCACGCACCACATTAAGCAGACGTATTGACCCATGGCAAGTAGATGAATGGACTCACCAGTTCAGAGGCGTTCTGAGTGCGCGAGACGAGCTGCCTTGCCTGCCCCTGCAGCTGTGCCAGCTGCGGAAGCCACTCCGATAACACCTCCATATGCTGCTGCTCCGCCTGCTGCTGCAGCCCAGCGAGTTGCCTGGATGGGGGATGAGGGGATGGGAAAAAGGCAGAAACGGAGAGAAAGGAGAGTGTGGGAAGCGAGGGGAAGCAGCCACTCGGATAGCACCTCCATGTGCTGCTGCTCCGCCTGCTGCTGCAGCCCAACAAGTTGCCTGGATGGAGGGTCGGGGAATGGGAAAAAGGAGAAAAGAGAAAGAGAGCAGGGAGAGCGAGCAAGGTCAGGCAGCCACTCTGCTCGCACCTCCTGCTGCTGCTCCGCTCCACCTGCTGCTACAAGGTGACTTTTGAGCCGACTCAAAAGTCACTTCGTCAGGCAGACACTCTGCTCGCACCTCCATGTGCTGCTGCTCCGCTCCACCTGCTGCTACAAGCCACATGCATGCATCTGCACCCACCAATCACACCTTCCCACCGTTATGCACCACTCTGACATCCCACCAGCCCCATGCACCAAACCAGCTTACCGTGCCATGCTGGCGACAGCTGGCTCCAGCTCTGCAGCGCTGCCAGCTGCCACGTCAGCAGCTGCTGACATGGCATCCACAAACTGAGCCACTGCCAGGAGATCAGTGCTCAGAGACACTGCTGACGTCACACCCCTCCCTCCTCCTCCTCCTCCACCTCCCCCTCCCCCCTCAATCCCACTTCTTCTACCCTCCACTCTCACTCCTCCCACCTCATTTTCCCTCGTCCTCTCCCCCTCTTCCCCAGCCCTCCCCCTCCCCACACCCCCCCCCCCAGTGCAACCCCAAGCATGAGCAGCCAGCTCACTCCCTGTCCCACCGTCTATCCTGCCACCTGTCGCCGCATCATTGGCTTCCCAAGCTGCCCGAAGAACCTGGGCAGCCTCAGCAGCCAATGGAAGAATCGGGTCACTATCAGAAGAAGGTGTAGGTGCATTGGAGGAGGAACGGGAAGAGGAACGGGAAGAGGAAGGGAGTGATGGGAGGGGGAGAGGGGAGGGGGAGAGAGCGAGAGAGTGAACGAGAGAGGAGAGAAGGGGCCAGAGTACAGTATCAGCAGCAGCTGTACCACCAACACCAGCAGCAGCAGCAGCAGCAGCAGCAGCAGCAGCAGCAGCAGCAGCAGCAGCAGCAGCAGCAGCAGCAGCAGCAGCAGAGGCAGAAGAAGCAGATGAGTGTTCCTGCCCCTGAAGCTGTTCCTGTCCCTGCCCCTGTTCCTGTTCCTGTTCGTGTCCCAGCCCCACGCCCTCCCCCCCCACAGCCGCCGATGGAAAGCTAAAGCTGCTTCGTGCCTGTGCCTGTGCCTGTGCCTGTGCCTGTGCCTCCCTCTCAGAGGACAGTGATGGGTTTTGAGGCGTCTGAGACGTCTGAAGTATCTCACTACGCAACGGAAAGCTACAGGAGACCGGGCGGCACAGCCAGGAGGGCGGCAGCGCCGCGCCAGCTGTCACCTCGTGAGCGGCCAGATCCCATGCCGCTCGAACCGAGCCAATGAGAGCGCTTCCAGCCTTTGCCACGTGTCCTGCCAGGGCCTTTTGAGTCTGCCCATTTGTGAGGTTCCACCACATGTGTGCATAGGCCTGATGGGAATTGAGGGGGGGGGGGGGGGTGCCGAGAGATTAAGAGGGGTGGATGAGGGGGATTGGATAAGTCACTAGCTTCCAATGCTGTCTCCCCATTGGAGGGTTCCCCCACATGTGCGCATAGGCCTGATGGGGTGTGGGGTTGCAGAGGAAAGGGGGTGTCGAATGGGTATTCACAGAGTACGAAGGGTGAATGGGGTGAGTCCTGTCAGGGCCTTCTGAGTCGTCCCATTGGTGAGGTTCCACCACATGTGGGCATAGGCCTGTTAGGGAGGGGGAGTGTAGAAATCACGAGGCACAGATGCGTTTGGAGGGGTTTAGATACGTTGTGCGTGCACTCCTGATGCAGTCTCCCCATTGGTGAGGTTCCACCACATGTGGGCATAGGCCTGTTAGGGAGCACGGAGGAAGCGGGACGAATGGGTATTCACAGAGTACGAAGGGTGAATGGGGTGAGTCCTGTCAGGGCCTTTTGAGTCGTCCCATTGGTGAGGTTCCACCACATGTGGGCATATGCTTGATGGGAAGGGAGAGGGCGCGGAGAGAGAATTACAAAGTGGGCACCAGGGGGGCCACATAAGCCCCAGCTCTTCTGCTGCCTTCAAGTCGCCCTGTTGGTGAGGCTCCACCACTTGTGGGCATAGGCCTGAACGGAAGGGGGGCTGTGGGTGCAGAAAACGCAAGATACAGATGGGTTTGGAGGGGTTTAGATACGTCGTGTACTCCTGATGCCGCCTCCCCATCCACCACATCTGGGCTTAGGCTTGATTGGGGGTCGCTAAGGAAGAGGGAAGTGTGTGTGTTTGTTTGTTTCTCTCACTTGGTTCAACCAATAACGCCCAACAGCTAAGCAAACTCTGCAGCTTACCATTGGGAATTTAGCAGATTGCTTTTGTTTTGTTTTGGTTTTTTTTCTATTACACCACTTTTCCCAAACCAAGTGACATGATGTGTCCAGACAGGAGCAAGGGACATAGACAGGGCATACCTGGTTTATCCTCCTTATAAGCTCGTACTCCGCCCACTTATTGCTGCGCTCGTCATTGAACCCCTTGATTCGCTCCCACCGCTGCAGCACTCTGCGATTCGTGGCTCCTGCTGCTGCCACCTCACTGCAATGGGGGATAATTACCGACAAAAGAAGTACAATGGGGCAAGATGGAAAGAGGTGATTGCATCATCCGCCGATAGACTTGCTGCAGCAGCCGGGATGGAGCAGAGGCTGGACTAATGAGAATTCTCAGAAGCAGCCAGGAATGGGACAGACAGAGGCAGGACTTTTCACTTCTACTATGTCCCACCACCCGCCTTGACATGACAGTCGCCTTTCTGCTGCTTGAAGCACCCTCAGCTCTTCCTCTCCCACAGCTATCCCCAACCCCACAATTTCAAGCCACTCACCTCCGCACTCTCACTCACCCACTTTCACAATATGCACTCTATCACCTAGAAAGGCATATTTCCGCAGCTTGAAACACCTGCCGCTCTGCCTCTCCCACAGCTGTCCCCAACCCAAGCACGTCTATGTGCGTGTGCCCGTAATTTGCATGCGCTCTCACCTTGACAGCCGTTTCTCCGTTGCCTGAAGCACTTGCAACTCTGCCTCTGCCACAGCTATCCCCAACTCCACATCCTCCAGCCTCTCACCTCCGCACTCCCGCCCACCTTCACATAGTATAGAATATGCCAATATCCCACCTTCACATAGTATGGAATATGCCAATATCCCACCTTCACATAGTATAGAATATGCCAATATCCCACCTTGATAGTCGCTTCTCCGCTGCTTGCAGCACCCTCAACTCTGCCTCCGCCATAGCTATCCCCAACTCCAACTCACCTATCCATGTGTACGTGATTTGCATGCGTGAGTGCGCTATCCCACCTTGATAGTCGTTTCTCCGCTGCTTGAAGCACCCTCAACTCTGCCTCCGCCATAGCTATCCCCAACTCCACATCCTCCTCACCACCCACTCCCTCCTCCCCTCCCTCCACCTCTCCCTCCTCCCCTCCCTCCACCTCTCCCTCCTCGCCTCCCTCCTCCCCCCTCTTCCCTGCCCCGTCTCTGTCCCGTCTGTTAGATTGATCACTGGTCCTCCTTTCCACCTCCAGCCTCACTGCGTCAGCTCTCTTCCTCAGCACTTGCGTCTGCAGGCACAGGTCGCGATACTCCTTCTGCCAGAGGGGACGTAGAGGGAGTGAGAGAGAAAGGAGGGAGTGAGCGTGTTTGCTTCAGCAGCAGTCCTCCTTTCCACCTCCAGCCTCACTGCGTCAGCTCTCTTTCGGAGCACTTGCGTCTGCAGGCACAGGTCGCGGTACTCCTTCTGCCAGAGGGGACGTAGAGGGAGTGAGAGAGAAAGGAGGGAGTGAGCGTGTTTGCTTCAGCAGCGGTCCTCCTTTCCACCTCCAGCCTCACTGCGTCAGCTCTCTTTCGGAGCACTTGCGTCTGCAGGCACAGGTCGCGATACTCCTTCTGGCAGAGGGGCCAACGAGAGGGAGAAACGGAGGGACAAGGGGGGAGAAACGGAGGGACAAGGGGGGAGAAACGGAGGGACAAGGGGGGAGAAACGTCTCTTACTCAGCACTTGCGTCTGCAGGCACAGGCCGCGGTACTCCTTCTGCCAGAGGGCAATGGAGAGAAAGAGCGAGGGAGAGGGAGAAACGGAAGGACAAGGGGGGAGAAACGATGGCCGCTGTGTTCCTTCTCAGCACCTGCGTCTGCAGGCACAGGTCACCGTACTCCTTCTGGCAGAGGGACATCGAGAGAGGGAGTGAGGGAGGGAGCGAGGGAGGGAGCGAGGGAGGGAGTGAGAGAGGGATAGGAAGGGAGAAGGGAGCCTCGGCTCTCCTTTTCAGCACCTGCGTCTGCAGGCACAGGTCGCGATACTCCTTCTGACAGAAGGAATCGGGGGGGTGAGAGAGGGAGGGAGTGAGCCTACTTGCTTCAGCAGAGGTCCTCCTTTCCACATCCAGCCTCACTGCCTCACTGCCTTCTTTTGGAGCACTTGAGTCTGCAGGCACAGGTCGCGATACTCCTTCTGGCAGAGGGAGCATAGAGAGAGGGAGGGAGGGAGTGAGGGAGGGAGTGGGGGAGGGAGTGAGAGAGGGGTGGGGAGGGAGAAAGGGGGCCTCGGCTCTCCTTTTCAGCACCTGAGTCTGCAGGCACAGGTTGCGCTACTCCTTCTGTCAGAGGGGATACAGAGTGAGGGTGTGAGTAGAGGAAAAAAACGAGGGATGGGGAGGGAGAAAGGATGCTACGGTTCTCCTTTTCAGCACCTGCGTCTGCAGGCACAGGTCGCGCTACTGCTCCTTCTGGCAGGCGGAAAAGTTAAGCCGCAGGTTAGAAACGTAAGATAACGAAAGGGTGTTTGCGTCACAGAAAGCAAGGGCAAGCGTGGACAAAGACTCTCCTCTGGCGGCTTCGGCTCTCCTTCTCAGCACCTGAGTCTGCAGGCACAGGTCGCGCTACTGCTCCTTCTGCAAGAGGGAAAGGGGTTGTTTTTTTGAGGCGCCTCAAACTTCGGCTCTCCTTCTCAGCACCTGAGTCTGCAGGCACAGGTCCCGCTGCTCCTTCTGCCAGAGGGAAAGGGGTTGTCGCAGAGTAGGAAGGTCAAAAATACTTTTGAGGCGCCTCAGAAGACCCGCTACTCCTTCTGGCAGAGGGAAAGGGGTTGTCGCAGACTAGGAAGGTCAAAAATACTTTTGAGGCGCCTCAAAAGTCCCACTACTCCTTCTGCAAGAGGGAAAAGGGTTGTTGCAGAGTAGGAAGGTAAAAAATACTTTTGAGGCGCCTCAAAAGTCCCACTACTCCTTCTGCAAGAGGGAAAGGGGTTGTCGCAGAGTAGGAAGGTAAAAAAAGCGGAAGGACGTTTGTAATGAAGGATGCAGATAACGAAAGGACGCTTCATCAGCATCTAGCCATCGACCAACACACTTGCCCTTCTCACCTGCCTCGCCAGCACCAGCTCCTGTGTTGACTGCGGCGCCTGGCGCAGCTGACTCAGTGCAGTAGCAGTGAGATCTACTCACCCACACCCACCCATCAACCAACACACTTGCCCTTCTCACCTGCCTCGCCAGCACCAGCTCCTGTGTTGACTGCGGCGCCTGGCGCAGCTGACTCAGTGCAGTAGCAGTGAGATCTACTCACCCACACCCACCCATCGACCAACACACTTGCCCTTCTCACCTGCCTCGCTAGCACCAGCTCCTGTGTTGACTGCGGCGCCTGGCGCAGCTGACTCAGTGCAGTAGCAGTGAGATCTACTCACCCACACCCACCCATCGACCAACACACTTGCCCCTCTCACCTGCCTTGCCAGCACCAGCTCCTGTGTTGACTGCGGTGCCCGTTGCTGCTGACTCGCCCCAGCCCTTGCTCCTCGCCCTGTGCTGCCACCAACCCCAGCAGCAGCAGCAGTGGCAGCAGCAGCAGCAGCACCACCATCTGCACCTGCCTCTCTTACCTGTCTCGCCAGCACCAGCTCCTGTGTAGACTGTGGCCCCTGGCGCAGCTGACTCGCCCCAGCCCTTGCTCCTAGCCCTGTGCTCCGACCAGCCACAGCAGCAGCAGCAGTAGCAGCAGCAGCACCACCACCGTCACCACCGTCAGGAGATGAGAATGATGCATGCTTTGCTGCCTTGCGCAAAAGGTGCTTTGACGTGCCACCACCACTGCCGCTGCGGTTGTCACTGCCACCAGTCATCCCAGCCGTACTTCCCCTACTCGCACTGAGAGGCGCCTTGGTTGGTGTGGTCAGTCTGGTGATAAGCAGGGAAAGGGAGGAGCAGAGAGGGGTTGAGGTGGCTAATCTGGTGATAAGCAAGGGAAGGGAGGAACAGAGAGGGGTTGGGGTGGTCAGTCTGGTGATAAGCAAGGGAAGGGAGGAAGGTAGCGAGGCTGGGAACACGACACTGCCACCAGTCAGCCCTCCCGTTCCTCCCCCACTCGCACTGAGAGGCGCCTTGGTTGGGGTGGCCAGTCAGATAGTAAGCACGCAAGGGTGGGGAAGGAAGGAAGAGAGGTTGAGAACACGAGTGCTGTTGTCACTGCCACCAGTCATCCCTTCCCTGAGAGGCGCCTTTTGAGTTGGGAAGGAATAGACAAGGATGATAACTTGTGAGAAGCCCCCAATGCACTTGTCCTAGTCTTGTCCCTTCGTCCTCCACTCCACATCTCTCCACACACACTCCCTCCACCTCTCTCCACACACACTCCCTCCACCTCTCTCCACACACACTCCCTCCACCTCTCTCCACACACACTCCCTCCACCTCTCTCCACACACACTCCCTCCACCTCTCTCCACACACACTCCCTCCACCTCTCTCCACACACACTCCCTCCACCTCTCTCCACACACACTCCCTCCACCTCTCTCCACACACACTCCCTCCACCTCTCTCCACACACACTCCCTCCACATCGCTCCACACACACTCCCTCCACATCTCTCCACACACACTCCCTCCACCTCTCTCCACACATACTCCCTCCACCTCTCTCCACACACACTCCCTCCACCTCTCTCCACACACACTCCCTCCACATCTCTCCACACACACTCCCTCCACCTCTCTCCACACACACTCCCTCCGAATCTCCTCCGCCTTCCTCCCCACAGCACTCTGCAGCAGCACCACCACACCAACCTTCCCTGAAACCCAAACTTTCCACACACAAACAGACTCAACTCCACTTACCCCAGTGACCAGTCTTGTGCCTTCCTCCACATCCGTTCCCACACATTCTCTCTTTACCTCCTCCACCTTCCTCACCACAGCACCCTGCAACCCAAACTTTCCACACACAAACAGACTCTCCTCCACTCCACTTACCCCAGTGACCAGTCTTGTGCCTTCCTCCTCCACATCCGTTCCCACACATTCTCTCTTTACCTCCTCCACCTTCCCCCCACAGCATCCCAACTACCCTTCCCCCCTCATCCCTAATGCACTTACCCCAGTCTCGTTCCCTCCTCCTCCGAATCAGTCCCCGCACACTCCCTCCGAATCTCCTCAACTTCCTCTCAACAGCACCCTGCAGCACCACGTATCTACCCCCTGGAACCACTGCATATCCCCCACTTACCCTAATCTCGTTCCTTCTTCCTCCAAATCAGTCCCCGCACACTCCCTCCTGATCTCCTATGCCTTCCTCTCCACAGCACCCTGTATCACCGCCACAAGCTCCTATGGGTGAAGCCCAAGCAATCTACATACCCAGAAGCGCGCAAGATCCCAACTCAACTCACCCTAGTCGTGTTCCTTCTTCCTCCAAATCTGTCCCCGCACACTCCCTCCTTATCTCCTCCGCCTTCCTCTCCACAGCACCCTGCAGCACCGCCACCAACCCCTCTGGATGAAGCCTCGCGCGTTCTAAAAAGCTTCGCACCGGCAGCTCGCTCCATGCTATAGGCGCCAGATCCGCCAAGCCTCCCGGAAAGGAGAGGAGAACAGTAGGATCGGTGGGGGTAGAAGAAGCAGCAGCAGCAGCAGCAGCAGCAGCAGAAGAAGAGGCAGTAGCTCCTCTGCTTGGTCCTGCTGCTGCAGTGCTAGCAGCACCAGCTGCGGTAGCAACAGGAGGCGGAGGGGGAGGCTGAAGAGTAGACGAAGTTGTGTTGCTGTGAGTTGTGAATTGCTGTATGGCACTGGTGTGATTGCCTGACTGAGCAGAAGCAGCAGCAGCACCTGTACCAGCAGCAGCTGCAGGGGAATGAATGGCATCAGACAACCGGGCCTGCAGAAATCTCTGCAGGAGAGAAAGTGCCTCATCAGTCTCCGCATCAGTGGGGGGTGGAGGCGATTCTAGCTCCGCCGCTGCTGCTGCTTCTTCTGCTGTTCCTGCTGCTGATGCAGCTGCTGCTGCTGCCAGTCCTCCAGTTCCTGCTGCTGTTGTCGTTCTTGCTCTTCCAGATCCTCGTGTGGACGCAGCAGGAGCTGCAAGGGCAGGGGAAATGCGTCCCTTGCAATCTCGCACGCCGCGGTTCCCAGCCTCCAGGTAGGTTCCGAAGCCGTTGACTTGCAGCGAATGCGCGTGAAGCACCGCCGCCCTCGCCCTGCCAGTTGTATGGGGTTACAGTGTTACAAATGAGGAAAAATCGTGAGACTTGAAGTCACAAAGACCCCGGTTCCAACCCCCAGGTACGCTCGGAAGCCGTCGACTTGCAGCGAATGCGCGTGAGGCACCGCTGCTCTCGCCCTGCCAGGTGACTCAGGGGGTTATCAAGTTACACAGTACAGTACACAGAAACATGAGAGCCTTGCACAAAGTTGCACACTGGCTGTGGTTCCCAGCCTCCAGGTATGCTCGGAAGCCATTGACTTGCAAGGAATGAGCGCGAAGCACCGCTGCCCTCGCCCTGCCACGTGTGTTACAGAGTTACAGTGTTGTGTAACAAGAGGAACACACGTTTGAGCATTCTCAAAGAGCTGACTTCCGAGTAGACTCAAATATCGCGGAGTTACAGTGTTTGTCAACATATATTTTATATGTTGTATTTGGTTTAGTCTAGGTGTTACTGTTTTGCCCTACTTCTAGATTAGGGTTTCATACATATTGCTTGTAACTTTGTTATTCTAGTCAATTCTTAGATTGTGACATGGTATCAGAGCGGTTTCCTTCCCTTAGGCGATTTTTTTTTTTTTTTCTCTTGACACTAGTCATGGGCCCACCACCCGCGCGCCTCGTAGCGCCCCGTAGCCTGAAGTGCCCTGCCCAGTAGCGCCAGAGTAGATCGCGCGCCTTCTCCCCCGCGCGCGTCACCCGTTTAGCCCCGCGCGCGTCACCCGTTTAGCCCCGAGCGCGTCACCTGTTTTGCCCCGCGCGCCATCCGTTTTCTGCCTCACGAGTAGCTCGGTAGGGCCACTAGCGCGCAGCAGACACACGAGCGCGCGCAGCCGTAGCCGCATGTGCAACCGCGCGCACGCGCAGCCATAGCCACACGCACGCGCAGTCCGTTAGCTGCGCCCGCTGCCCCACCCGTCGCCCGTTTTCCACTAGTCACCCGCTGCCCCACCTGTTCCCGGAGCCCCACCGTAGCCGCACAGCAGCACGCGCAGCCGCACGCTCGAATGCACGTGCAGCAGCTCGTGCAGTCCGCGCGCCGCCCCACGTTGCCCGTGTAGCCCCACCCGGAATCAGCCGCCCCACCCAATACTCCGAGTAGCAGAACCGCACGGCAACGGACAGAACCGCACAGAACCGTACCTGCTGCCCCACCCGTTCCAGTCACCTCACCCGAAATCAGCCGCCCCACCCGGTACTCTCCACGTGCAGAACCGCACAGAACCGCACTGAACCGCGCAGAACCGTACGAACCGCACAGAACTGCACATAACAGAACTAGTAGCAGCTTAGGCTGCCCCCACTTCAACCAGCAGCAGCTTAGGCTGCCACCAACAGGACCAGCAGCAGCCTAGGCTGCCACGAGCAGTACCAGTTGCAGCTTAGGCTGCCCCCAGTTAAACCAGCAGCAGCTTAGGCTGCCACCAGCAGAACCAGCAGCAGCGTAGGCTGCCACCAGCAGAACCAGTAGCAACTTAGGCTGCCCCCACTTCAACCAGCAGCAGCTTAGGCTGCCACCAGCAGGACCAGCAGCAGCCTAGGCTGCCACGAGCAGTACCAGTTGCAGCTTAGGCTGCCCCCAGTAAAACCAGCAGCAGCTTAGGATGCCACCAGCAGAACCAGCAGCAGCATAGGCTGCCACCAGCAGAACCAGTAGCAGCTTAGGCTGCCCCCAGTTAAACCAGCAGCAGTTTAGGCTGCCACCAGCAGAACCAGCAGACGCTTAGGCTGCCACCAGCAGTACCAGTTGCAGCTGAGGCTACCCCCAGTAAAACCAGCAGCAGCTTAGGCTGCCACCAGCAAAACCAGTAGCAGCTTAGGTTGCCCCCCCCCAGCAGAACCAGCAGCAGCTTAGACTGCCCCCCCAGCAGCACCAGCAGCAGCTTAGGCCCACCTGTACGCACCCCCCTCCATTTCTAGCTCCTCACATGGCGTCTACTAGGGTTCTCCAGCAGCAGGGCCAGCAGCAGCACTCCCGGCAGTGGGGACCTGCGGGTCCAAAGTGTGGCGCCCCCAGCAGTGACTCAGCTGGCAGTGAGCGAGACGTCGGCCCCTGCGGGTACCGGGCCCTGACGGGCCCTGGTGCTGGCACTACCTGCTGGTGTCCTGACCACTCTGCGTCCCACTGCTACTGTCGACTCGACGACCTCCACCGTGAGCGTTTTGGTCCTCACGCTATTACACCGCACTGGCCCTCACGTCTTCGTCAGAGCACTGCTGCACCAGTTGAGTCTCACCTGCCTGGTCTAGGACCGTTCCCGTCTGCACGAGTAGAGACCTGTGTTTACAGTCTTGGTGCGTGTGTTGTTTCCAGTCCAGGCGCCTCTGAGGGTCTTTGTGTAGGAGCTGCAGCTACCACTAGTCTAGCACCAGCCTTTGTAGCTAGTTCGGGTGCGACCCCACAGACTGCACGGCTTTCCTTCACCCTAGACTCAGGAGCGTCGAGCTGTTTCTTTCGCGACTGTACTGACCTCACACCACTGCGCACTCCAGTCACTGTCGCCTTGGCTGACCCCTCTGTGGGACGTGTAGTTGCTCGCAGCACCACCACTCTCCCGTGTCCGGCGGCTCCCTCAGGTTTTCTTACAGGTTACTACACCCCCTCGTTCTCTAGGAACCTGGTGGGTGTCAGTCACCTCCACGACCTAGGTGTAGTCACCACTTTCCCACTGGACGAGCCTGTTGCCCCCTGCACAGTCGGTACCACTGGGGCCTCTCTGGCCACTTTTCACAGGGAGCCGGGCTCTGGTCTGTACTCACTACACACTGGGTCCCACCGCACTGGGTCGGGCCAGGTCAGGTCAGGTCAGGTAGCTGCTGTGTCGTGCGACTGTCGCTCCCTCACCCACCCGTCTGTCCTCTGGCACCACCGACTAGGTCACCCGTCGTTCCCACGTCTCAGTAGGATGGCACGTTATCGTCTGGTCTCAGGTCTCCCAGAGTCGCTTGCCCCGCTTCCTCGCTCGCCTGCGCCGCTGTGCACACCTTGCGTCGAGGGTCGGCAGCGCGCTGCCCCTCACTCCTCCTCGTTTCCCCCCACCACAGCTCCCTTCCAGACCCTGCACTTGGACGTCTGGGGCCCCTCCCCGGTCCTTGGACCACGTCAGGAGCGCTACTTCCTGATTGTGGTGGACGACTACTCCCACTACACCACGGTTTTCCCCTTGCGACGGAAGGCCGACGTGCCTACCGTCCTAGAGCCGTGGCTACTAGCGTGGGGTGGTGCCCAGGGCTTGTGTGGGCTTCGCCTACACTCGGACCGTGGTGGTGAGTTCTCTTCCACTCGTTTGGAGACGTTCTGTCAGGGTCGGGGAGTCATTCAATCGTACACGTTACCAGCCTCGCCGCAGCAGAACGGGGTAGCCGAGCGTCGCATCGGCCTGGTCATGGAGGTTGCCCGGACCTTCATGTGCCATGCCGGTGCCCCTCAGTTCTTGTGGCCTCAGGCGGTACGTTACGCCGCGCACCAGCTGAACCTGTGGCCCAGTGACGCACGGCCACGGGTGACGCCGGTCTCTCTCTGGTCAGGTGTACAGGGCGTAGCAGCTGACTTCCGCGTCTGGGGTTGTCTGGCTCACGTTCGCGCCCCTGGCGCGAACAAGTTGTCTCCACGCACTCGTGCCTGCGTCTTTCTTGGCTTCCCGTTGGACGCCTCCGGCTGGGTGTTCTACGACCCGGTCACCTGCGGGTTCTTCGCTTCTCAGGACGTCACGTTCGACGAGTCCGTCTGTTACTACAGAAGTCGCCCCCACCGAGGTACTGAGGTCTTTTCCCCCCCGCTGTTCCTCATCCTTGAGCCCCCCCCCAGTCGCCCCGGTAGCCCCCTCCCGCTTCGCGTCCTGCCCCGTCAGGTGTGTCGCACGTCACTCCACAGTCGTCCCCCCCGCAGCGTCCAGTCCCTGTCGTGTCTGGGGGTGCGGGAGGTACAGTTGCGGAGGGTGAGGGTGCTGGGGCTGCAGGAGCTCGTGGTGTCGGTTCAGGGGGTGCAGTGGGTGTGGGCGTGGAGGTCACTCCTGTGGAGGACACGGCAGCCTCGAGTCGGCGGCCTCGCCCCGCCTCACCCCCCGGCTTCCCGGTCGTCCCGCAGTTCCCTCCTCGTTCTCCTCTGCGGCCGGTTGCTGCGGAGCTTGGGGGTGCTCCTACGGGAGGTACTGGAGGCCCCGGGGGTGTCACTAGTGGAGGTGATGGTTCTGGGAGTGCTGGAGCTGGAGGCACTGGCACTGTGGCGCCTACACCTCGCACTGTACGTTTTCTGACCCGTGAGCAGCGTCTCCTCCGGTTGGAGAGGGAGGAGCGTGAGCGGTTTGAGAGGGCACAGCAGCAGCAGCAGCAGCAGGAGCAGCAGCAGCAGGAGCAGCAGCAGCAGCACCAGCAGCGGCAGCAGGAGCAGCAGCAGCAGCAGCAGCAGCTACAGCAGTAGGAGAGAGTAGAGGAGTCACAGCAGCAGCGCGAGAGGGTAGAGCAGGAGTCCCGGTCCCAGCAGCGGGTGCAGCTGCAGCCCCAGCAGGAGAGAGTACAGGAGGAGTCACGGCCGCACCAGGAATGGGTAGAGCAGGAGTCCCGCCCGCAGCAGCAGGTGCAGTTACAGACCCAGCAGGAGAGAGTACAGGAGGAGTCACGACCGCAGCAGGAGAGGGTAGCGCAGGAGTCCCGCTCGCAGCAGCGGGTGCAGCTGCAGTCGCAGCAGGAGAGGGCGGAGGCGGAGCCACAGGAGCAGCAGCAGGGGCCGGTGCCGTCGCAGCAGACGCCAGAGGAGGCGGAGCAGCAGCGACTGCGACTACACGACCTCCCCGACCCAGCACCTGCACGCTTTGTTCGTGGTCCCCTACCGTCCCCTCCTGTTCCCCCTGTTGAGTCCCTTTCCTCGTCCCAGTGGACTCGTCGTTCTCCCCTCAGTCGTGCTGTGTCCCCAGAGCGTCGTAGGTCCCGTTACCGTGCAGACGGTCCGTTCCACCTTGTTCTTTGCTCTCGTGTTCCACCTCCTCCTGTCCT